CCACTTGTCCTGCTCCCTCTTCCATACGATGAGACTTTGTCCGCCGCCGCTCTTCCAATTATAGACTTACACCTTCGCAGATTTCCGCGCTTTTTTATGCAGATCAGTGAACACAGGAGGTTACTGTAGTTTTGGAAGACATCCACGTGGCGAGAAAAGGTTCGTTGCTACCGTAATCTGTCTTTCTTCCCTTTACATTCGGCGAAAAAACAGCCCGAGGCGAAACAATGAGTACGGGAGTGTGCTCCGTTTGGCAATGCTTTCAAAGCAACACGAATGAGCACTTGGCGGGGCGAGGAGGCGTCGCGCCACCGCCCGTCCATTTATTATTATTCTCTGTATTATTCTTGCGCCTTCCGGATTATTTTCGCTTTTCCCATCCCCGCGGACCGACTCGTCACCTTTCTTTCCCTTCCGAGGCAAACTCTTCCTCCTCTTCTTCATCTTCATCTCCTACTTTTTGCTCCACCAACAATTATCGGCCACCTTTTGCCGGGGCTCTTCCGCTTTTTTGTTCGTTTATTTCTCTCTGCCGATGAATTATTCACTGGAAGATTCTGCACTTCTCCGCAATTTTCGCGTCCTGCCCGTCGACTCCCCCTGGTAATCTTCCGTAAATCCGGCGTTGACGTCTTCAGAAATCATCCCCGTCTTTTCGTGATTTGGCTGAAAGTGGCCGCCCCCTTCACTCGTTTCTTCTCGGTGTCCAGTTTCATTTTTCACGGTGGTCCTTGCCACATTTTGTGATTCTATAGCGGGTCCGATTGGTTACGCGATTGAGTACTGATAGATTCCCATAGAATCGTGCTCGGATTCGCCTTAAAAACGAGTGCAGCAAGTCCGACGGAAACGTCCCATTCGGGAAGAAATTCTTCGAAAAGTTCGAGGCACGCCGTCCACCAGGGACCAATTGCTCGTCATCATTTCTGCTGACACCTGTCCGTTTTTCTTTTGTCTCCACTTCTTTTTTCGTGAAAGACTTCTCCGCAGAATGAGGGTGTATGTTTCTGATCCGAACTTTTCACACATGTGTTTTGAGTCAATTCCGGAATAATGGGCGTCGCGTCGAAAACAAGAAGTGCCCGTTGGACTCGGCTTCTGCTCGTCCGATCGGTCAGATCAGTGAGCATGAAAGCGGTGCGCCGTGCGAAAAAATGCACCGCACCGAACAGAATTCAATTATTCGCCGCCCTCGCCCCGTTTTCGGGAGCCTCGCACTCTTCCCTATCAACTCTTTCTTTTCGGTTAGGTTGAGCCAAGTTTGTCTGTTTTTCTTCTTCTTCTGCTTCTTCTTCTTCTTCTTCTTCTTCTTCTGTTTCTTCTTTGGCCAAAGACTCGCGTGATTTTCTGCAAGAGTTGCACACGTTTCCCTCAGTGTGGACGACGTGCGCTTCGCCTTCTGAAGTCACCGTCGAAACGAGGTTCTTCTGATCTGAACATTGATACTCTTTCGCTTTTCTGCTCTCGCTCATTCCAATTGGCACTTTGAGTGCTTCTTGATCGTTGTTTTGTCTCAGAATCTTAATATGAACATTGCTCGTGAGAAGAAAAAAAGAGTTTCGAGAAGCTTATAATATCACGTGGGCTGCTCATGCAACTCATGATCGAATCAAGACTTTCTTATCGGAGCAAATCGGACAATGAGCACAAATTCGAAAGATGTTTTTACTCTGATGAATGACCCAAATTAGTGTGAATGCAAATCCGCTTTTCGGTTGGCAAGGAGATAAATCTACGGGGCTTCGTGTGCTCATTCCGCCCCGCTTTCCTTCTTCTCCTCCTCGTTATTTTGGACTCCTCATTCGTCCGCACGTCTTCCCCCTTTCCGCCCGTGCTGTCTACAATAATACCCGAAAAAAGACAGAGCACAAACACAGCCTACGAGACCAATAATTTGGCCAATTTCGTCTTATAGCCTCGCCATTTCGCTCCTCAAAATTCGTGCCGTTGTGCTCTGCGCCCGGCCGCCTCGTCGCCGCCTCCTTTTCTTTCTAATTACGCGTCGCTATCTGATCGGCCTTTCCTCATTCAGCCCAAAATTCACCTCCTCGACGCCTTCTCTTTTTATGTTTCACACAAGCAGCCCGTCCGAGTTCATTTGAGAAGTTGACCGTGAGCCGCTCGAGTTTTGAATTTCACGCCCTTCGCTCCCGTCCCTTCCCCTGCCACGTCATAACCTTCCCCTCTCCGATTCCCTTTTTTGTCCTTATAAATACTTTGACCCGTGTTAAAAATATGATTTCAGATGGAATAGAACGTGTTGCGGGAGAATCGCTCGAAGATGAAATTCCGTTCTCTGGCACTGTCCCTCCGTGTGTTTGGTGTCAAGAACCGTCTACTGCAGGCCAATCAGAATGAGGTGAGTCCGTCAATCATTCGAAAAACTTTGAAGGTGTCTTTGGCACACACTTAGACGAAAGGGCACTCTTGCATTTTTTATTCGCTCTTTCCAAACTTTCGCTTTTTTTCGGCTGTCCTTCGTCTATTTGTCTGACGGGATTAGCGTCCATTCGTTCGAATTCACTTCGTTCAACTCATCAAAAATGTTTCATCGCAAGCGTTATTTCGTGAAGAGAGCACTTTCCTATTCCCAGAGTCACAACTTCTTGGGAAATTCATAAGAGCGTGATTGCTGCAGACACCTCAGAGAGTCCGCACTTGCAGCGGCCCTCCTTCCGTTTTCCTTCCACTCATCCCCTTGCTCACCGAGCACAGATCGCATTTCATCGCATATCAGGCAGAGAACACTCTCTCCGCTGCGCCCACTTTCTCCGTCACCTCTTCCATTTTGGGGACCAACTGGACTGATCGAGTTTCGTGCCGCCTTGAGCCAAGCGAACTTCAAGATGTCTCTCTTTTCCATTCTTTTTTTTCTGAAAGTTTTCGCCAGCGCAAACACGAAGACCTCCTATGCTTGTCTTGCCGTATAAATGCCATAAAAGTGTGGGCGGTGGATCGGAATCGACCCCGCCTCTGCCTCTTCCGAAGACGCCGTCTGACCGACTGTTCCCTCATCTCTCTCTCTCTCTCTCTCTCTCTCTCTCTCTCTCTCTCTCTCTCTCTCTCTCTCTCTCTCTCTCTCTCTCTTTTACGCTGTAAAAAGTCCACTCAAAACCATTCGAATCGTTCATTTTCACCAGAGTTCTTTCCGAGTTTAACTGCCCCCATCGGGTCCCATTCTCTGCCCCTTCGTACCCATTTCCGTCGAGTCGAAAGGCCCCCCTCCTCCTCGCTTTCCTCTGATAATTCGATTCGAACCCAACACCCTCCGCAGTGCCCGGAGAGAGCACGTGCTCAACGTGTTTATGCTTGCTCTTTGCTTTTTTCTTTTCTTCATCTCTCGTTGTCGAAATTTACGAAAGTACGCAGAAATGAGAACACTCTCTCGGAATCATTATGCTGAACTTTTTGAGAGTGGAATTGAACCTCATTTTTCAAAATTTTGGTGATCTCTACAAAATCTACAGTAATCCTTTCCTTCTTTTGATTTCTTCGCTCTCCGTTTTTTGAGAATAACACACTAGAAAATAACACTGATTTTTCATGAACCTCCATGAATAGAATAGTGTTTTAGAGATTAGGAAAGCCGTGCAATTACCACCTGCACTGGCCGAATGAGGATTTCTCGCACAGCCGCCGGAATCCTTCCTCCTAAACGATCCACGTGTTTTCCGACTCGGTTACCACACACATCTCGTTCAAAATTGTCATCATCACAGTCCGCCTCATCCAACGGGTCGAGTGCGGGGCGAAGGGACACAAAACAAACAATTGATTTATATATTGTGGCGCGCGTCTCGATTCCATCGCCCTGACCCATGAACCTGAAGTCCCCTCCCAACTTTGTCTCGTCTGAATCCGGTTCTGCGAAATGAGGCGGCGTCGGATCTCCGTGGTCGCTTTCCGCCCGAAACGACATATGTTCGGGCGATTAAAATGATTGTCGAAATTGAAATTAGTTTCCCCGCCCCCGGCTGGCTGATTTGCCCCTCCCCCGTCGGCACATGTGGTCCCGAGCATCCTGGGAATCAGAAGTCAATCGGAAGCGGCGAGACTCGGAGCGCCGTCCCGTGGAAACCTTCTCTCTTTTTGTGTTTGTCACTACGTGTGTTTGCGAGACTGTGGCGCCGGTTGCGGGTGGTATGTATATTTAGTGGCAGGCAGACCCCGACAATTCCTCTTGCCCTCCTCCCTTTCCCGCATCTTCTTCTTCTTCTTCATCTTCCTTTTCCTCTTCGTCTTCCCCACCTTCGTTTCCCTATTATCGCCCTTTCCAGACAACTGTTCATTTCTCCGTCAAACGTAACAATCCATTTATCATGCGAGTGGAGGGCGGCTCAAACCTCACTTTTTGATCGAGCTTTCACATGAAGTCATCCGTCACTTTCCGTGTTTTAGAGATATTCAGCCATAATACACACACCCTGCCTCCCCTAAAACCTTCTAAAAGTCGTTAACTAAAGTGCCACTTGATTGTTCCCACACGATCAAACAACTGCTTTCCATTTCCCTGATTCTCCATAGGCCATCATGAATAATCTTTCTTCACAATAGTTCTTCAAAATGTCCATCTGCAAATCATTGTTCTCACGGACTCTTCTGATTTTTTTCGTATTTTTCTTCTGAACCGCAAAGCAATAAAACGGCCGTTTCGCTCCGTTCCGCACTGGAAATCTGGCACCAAAACGTGCGGCGTAAGGCTATAATTTATGTGCCATCGCATCGGCTTCAGGAGCTCTCCCGTCGCTCGACAAAACGAGCAGCAATTTGGGACGATGAGAATGGCGCGCCGAGCGGCTCGGTGAGCCCTGTCGCCGAAATCGCAGTCAATCAGCTCCGAATGCATCTGAATTATTTGTTTGTGTTCTCCTCTCTCAGCAGAAGCAGTCCGTGTCAACGACGGCTGCACACGGCGTCGCGAGGAGAGCGATGCCTACAAAATTGCTGTCAATTTCGCGTTTCTCTCCGCCTCCTTCTATTCATTCCCGTATAATTCTAGCCTATAAAGTTCGCTCCTCTCCTCTTTCCTGCCACGTCGCAGTCACGCACAGCCCACTCGTCGGATCGACGAGGAATCCGTCCGAGCACCGGCTTCCAGACTCTCCGCTCGAGTAGATGGCCGTCGGAGCAGACGATTTGAACACGTTTCCACTGAAACCAACACTTTTTCCCACTGCTCTTTCTAGTATCTTTCTCTCAAACTCTAGATCCAGTCTGTACTGTTAAAACAAAGAAATCTTCTCACGTTGGGTAGTATTTGCAAACAGCCACATTGTATTTTTGTCCGTCAAGTGAGCCGTCTTGTCGAGCCGAGCACTCTCGAACTGCACACCCGACCGTCCGTGTCGTTCCCCACATTATCTGAACGTTCCGATCTTTCCGCCGATCCCATCTTCTTTTACCTGTGTCGCGTGCCCGATCCGCTTGTCGTACCGTGCCAATTTCATCTCCTTTATACCTGCGATCGCAATCTCATCGCCCATTCTTTCGATGCCTGTCTAAAATAAAACGCAAATAGTGGTTGGAAGTGATTACAATGCTGATATTATGGAAATAGTTCGAGAGCACTCAAACACAATGTTTCGCAACTCACCACAACCGCTCCCTCCACCGAATCCACGTCTTCAGTCCGGAAATAGAAGGCATTCTCCCCACGAACTTCTTCCAGCCCACCCGTCAATCCGCTCTGTTTTTCCATTCCCAAATCACATTGCTCGGCTCTATTCTGGGCTTCCAATTCGAGTCCACAGTCCCAATTCTGTCCGAAGTCTACTTTCGTCTCCTCAACCCAATTTTTAGCTTACCAATTTGAGCATGTTGGCTGCCGGTGGCAAGTAACTATCGTCAACGACGTACTGTCCCAGAGCCACTTTCGAACGAATTTCATTGTGTTTCTGGAAGAGTTTCCAGATGGTAACGATACGATTAAGGGGCTCTCACGTCAAGTATCAAGTTCTGAAGTTTTGCAGACAGTTTTAATCCACAGTGTTGAGGGGGCACATTTGTGATAACGGAGAACTGGGAGGGACGGGGACTGCTCACTGAAACCACAGGGAGTGCAGTGCACCGATAATAAGGTCGTCACCACTCACTGACGAGAATGTTGTACGAAAGGGCGATGACGGCGAACGCGATGAAGAACCCCTTGAGCTTCATTTCCCATCTGAAACTTGCCCTTTCGCGGAGAACAATGAAGCCGTCGTCACCTGTCTCCTTCCGAACTGGTTCCATTCTCTTTGTTGGTTTTCTTCGTTTCTTCGTAGTCCCACCCTCGACCAACTGTTCGTCTCTCTTCCGCTGTTTCTGCTATTTGCATACGTCCGTCCATTCTCTCTCTCTCTCTCTCTCTCTCTCTCTCTCTCTCTCTCTCTATCTCTCACACTCTCCAGTACAACGTACCCATCAATAATCGTTCCTGATAAATACTCGTTTGTTCGAATGGCCGCTCTCGGAAGATTGAAATAAAATCGAGAAATGAGCCGTCGACTGTCCTTCTTTCCGTCTGTCCTTCCTCTCCGACGTGTGCCCTATCACTTTTGTTGTTTTACTCCTCCACCACCCAAGGCGGCGAATGAGTAAGCACAAAGAGTCGGATGATAACGACAGCCGCCCCCGCCGAATCTCGTTGGTGGAGCTCAATTCAATTGGGTCACTTAATTATAGTCCCCCCCCCTTGTCTTTCCTTTTCTCGTTCGCCTTCTTTCCGACCTACTCGTTTCTTTTTTCCATCAATTCTCGATTCAAGTGTTTGTCGGTCGGCAGCTCATACATTTCGAAAATCTGAGTGAGCCGCGGGCCTCCTCCTCCGCCGTTTTTGACATGAACCCGAGCCGAGCTCTGGATTCGCAGATAATACATTTAACGAGTCGTTTCTCGCTCGTCCTCCCCCTCTTCCTTTTCCACTTTTCCCCCCTTCTCGACATGACGTTTTTGCGGTCTGACTCGCTCTTTTTTCGCGCTCCTGCAGCAACTTGCAAGAGGGTCCGCAAAAAGGGAAATAATTAGAGAAGACGCCGCGGGATTCCCCAGAACATAACTTTACGCTCTCAACTTGCAGGCTATCGATATCTTCTCGCTGGATCCGCCGCCGGAGAGCGAGACATCACTGGAAGCGGATTTCGTGATGGCACAGGCTGAAAACGCGTGTCGGTGAGTAGTTATTGTCTGAAAACGGAAAAGTGAAAAGGAAAAGGGGCAAAGAGTGAAATTTCAGTCGAAGAAGGACAAGGAAGTCGCAGCAGTAAGTTACCTTTGTCCCACCGAACCGCTCTTTTCCCTTGTTCAAAATGCACCAAGTCGACCCCTTTCGCTCGCTTTTCCCCTTCCGAATTCTGTCGCATTCCAGACTGAAACTTCTGCGTGCTGATGTTCCGGTTGATTTATTACCCGCCGGATGCTCTCCCACTGACCTCCAACCAGCTGTAAACGTGAAAGAGAAGATTGAAGTGAATGGTGAGTGCACCGGAAGAACGGATATCTGCGGACGCATCAATGTTCTTGCAGGCGAATCGCGGCTCGTCCAAAAGAAGAAAACACTCTATCCGGAATGGGAAAAGTGCTGGGACACTGCGGTGGCGGATGGACGCATCCTGCAGATAGTGCTCATGTTCAACCAGACACCGGTCGTCGAAGCCACGATGCGACTGGAAGTACGTGAGAGACTCGGCGCGTCCCTCAGGGAAACATCTTCTCCCCGCGCACTTTTTCGGGTCCACCGCCATTTGTTCAGCTTCAACAAATTTCGTGTTTATGGCCGAGCAACGACGGCCGCCACGAATTATTACCCCTTCGGATTTCTGGTGTTTGAAAGTTTAGGGAGCACGAGAGATGACGACGTTTTCTTTATCGTTTCCCCGAACGTGTCAGTGCCTTTCAGTCATCTCACGACGCCTCTTTCTCTCATTTCGTTTCCTATTTGGACGGCTGAAAGGCTCTAAGAAGTCGAAGGTCACCCGAACAGATTCCATTCCAAAGTGCTTCAGAAAGACGGGGGAAAATTTGCCCATCGCCGCCAGTCAGTTGTTGTTCTTTCGGTTTGGCCTCGTAAACCTCAGTCCACAATTATCCGCCCATGTGAGCCCCTTGAAGAATGGAGAACTCTCCGCTTCTGACGTACTGAAATTCCGTTTCTGTTTCAAAGTGGGCGTGTCTTTCCGACTAGGGCTCTTTCGCCTCCTTGAATTTCCTTTGGTCCTTGGCTTCGTTTCTCCCAAAGTTCTCCTATTTTTATTCCGAATGACCGAAGTTCTGAACGACATCTATGAGGCGATTCGTCTTCTTATCAAGGTGAGATTATGAGCCGCTTCTCGATTAAAACTTTTAGAACACTGAGTAGTGAGTCAGATTTCGGTTCGACCTGCTTAAAACGAATTATTCGGAAGATGAGTGACTTCTCAAAACACAAGTGCAACACGGGCAATCGTCGGCCCGGTCCTCCCCCACTTCCCAACTTTTTCTCCTTCTCCTTCTCCTTCTTCTTCTTCTTCCCCATTGTCCCTCGGGGCGAATTCAAGCCTTTGCCTTTTTATCCGTCGCTTATCCGGGCAAAGTCGAAGAGTCCTCCAGCTCCTCCCACTCCTCATCCTCCCTTTTTTCCCGTTTTTGATATGCTATTTGTGTGCTCTTCTCACAAAAACGAAAAGAAGACGGAGAAAAAGTGGGAAACGACAAGTATGAGGTTGAAGAATAACGGAGGAAAAAGTTCGAAAAACACGAAAAGCGGGGCGGCGATTTTCATAAACCTGCGCTTCTGCTCAAGGATAAAACTTAACGCTTTTCGCCTCAGGGCAATGTTTTGTCCAGCAAATTTTCGCCTCGTTTTCATATTATTTCTCGCCTCTTACGGCCGGAGCGACGCCTCGCAAAACAACTCCACGTTCCGGCCGTTTCTCGCCACTTTTTTGTTTTTTCGGTTTTCCGAAACACGCCTACTGTAGTGAATCGCTTTGTGAAAAGGCACGTGTAAAGGGATGGCAAACGGAAGACAATAGTCTCCTGGAAACCCTTTTTATTCCTGTTCTTCTCGCTCTCTGAGTGTTCACTTCTCGAGACGGAGCGCGTGAATTTTTTATCAGTTCTCTAAAGAATAAAGACTTTTGAGTTGCTAGGCAGGAATTACCCCCCGAATCGTTGCCGTTAAAACCACCAGAATTTCGTGTTCCTCCGAGAGTCCTCTGTTCCCTGGAATAAAACTGGTAACCATGGGCGGCCCATTCTCATCCATAACTCATAGCCTCCTCCACGTCACACTCCCAAATTCAGTTCTTCTTTCCGAATGTCGCGAAACGCACACAAAACGGAGCTGACTGAGGAGTCGGCGGTCGAAATTGAATTTCGGTTCGAAAAACATACGCGCGCATTTCTGCCCCGTTTGCCTCCGAATTCGGCGACGACGACGACGGCGGCGGCGTCTGACTCAAATCAGAGGAAACTCAGTCGTGTATCTGCTTCTTTTCAGGACATCATCTCAAAATGCAAAAGCGACGCGATCACACACATCTGGATCAACACTAAGCCAAACGGAAGGATTCTGGCCCAAACACGACACCTCAAGAATGCACGTGAGTTTGCGGAAAAGTCGCACGGTGTGTTCACAGAAAGGAGAAAACACCCTGATTTGCATCAGAATCGCTTTTTGATTTCTCCTGAGAAAGTCATAGTTGGGGGTGCCTTGCAGTCGAAACGCCGCTATTCGTTCGTCAAATGCGAGTGATATCTTTCTTAACTTTCCGTGCACGTCATCGTATTCTGGAGCACCACTTCTCCCGCCACGTCATTAAATTACACCCATGATGTGATCGTCTTTTCAAAGAAAAAGTGGTATAAAGGACTGGTGCTCCGACGTGTTTCCTTCCGAACTCTCCGTGATCTCGCGTCACAAATCGGAAAGTGATACCTCCGTCCATCCATTAGGCCTCCTGTTTCGATCGAAGGCAATCTTGAGCTCAAGAACTTTTCTTTCTCTTTTCCTTCTTTCTCTTTTTGCTGTCAAAAAGAGATTAAATGCAAACAAAGCACGTCAGACGACCTCTTCTTTCGGAATTAATCAAAACCTCATTCGCCACACCAAAAATGCAATAAACTGTAGATGGGAGCCTCGAATGCTCCTTGCCCGCATTCGGTCTCTTTGACCTTTTGAGATGATGTGTGGCTGTTGCAAAACGTGCTTCTTCTCCCCGAGAGGTAAGCCAGTCACAGGACGAAAGTATGCAAATCTCGGTGCGTCCCCGTCGCGCCCATTTCCCACAACCCAAGGTGCCAATCTGTCGTTTCTAATTTGCATTTTCCAACCAACTTGGGCCCGCCTGCTACACTCTTCCGCACACAATCTTTTCTTCCTCTTTTTGCCCCTTTATTTGGTCATTTGGCCATAATGCTCTGAAAGGTTACGGTAGCTGGGCGGAGCATTCAGATTGAACATTCAATCTCGCGTTTCCGTTTTAGTTTTGATATGCTCATTTTGTCATAGTTACAACAACAAAAAACGGGACAGTGCTCGGCCCCTTCCTTTCCATTCACTTTTGGTCCGACTGTACGGAATCCGAAGATCGCCATTCATGTCAAGTCCGTTCGAAATTCGCCCAAAAGCAGGTATTAGAGAAACGAAAACAGGGGTCACGCAGATGACGTCACACTGCCTGAATCTCCCAGTGTATAACTGTCAACCGGTTTCGTAGCATTTGCTGCGAATCTCTAATTACCGCACTATTTCGGTGGCGGCGTTTCCTTCGGTCGACCGATTCTCTAAATGTTTTGTGCTTCTTAATTTTGCGAAGACGAAGAGACACAACATCTTCCCCTCCTTCTTCGTCTTCTTCTTTGTCGTTGCCTGCCATTGGCGGCCGCCAACTTGGCCAATTTCTTTTGGCGCTCCTCCCGATTTTTAGGCCCAACTAATGACTCCTCCCCCTTAATCCTGTTGGCTGCCTTCCGAAGTGTTTGAGTTTTGGCCTAGGCACTCACTGAGAAGCACAACTTGTCAGACAACAATCTTCATTTCGATTTTATTTCAGCGGATGACGATCACCCTGTAGAAGACATCATGACGTCTAGAAGCAACTCCGGTCCAGGCCTGCAGCGCCGTAGAGGTAAGACTGCACAGCGATGCGGAGGAACGAACAAACTTTTATTATTCTCTTTCAGGAGCCATAAAACATGCGCGTGTGCACGAGATTCGCGGCCATCAGTTCGTGGCCACCTTCTTCAGACAACCGCACTTTTGCTCGCTTTGCTCCGATTTCATGTGGGGTCTCAACAAGCAGGGCTATCAATGTCAGCTCTGTTCGGCCGCCGTCCACAAAAAATGCCACGAGAAAGTGATAATGCAATGCCCGGGAAGTGCAAAGAACACAAAGGAAACCATGGTGAGAACTCTTCCCCTTCCCCAAAAAAGATCTCAATTATACTCTCTTCAGGCTCTCAAAGAGCGCTTCAAAGTGGATATTCCGCATCGTTTTAAAACGTACAACTTCAAGAGTCCCACTTTCTGCGACCACTGCGGCTCTATGCTTTACGGGTTGTTCAAGCAAGGCTTACGCTGTGATGGTGAGTTATCAATTCAGTCGCCAGAATACGGAATGCGTCCACCATCGCTTCCCGTCTACATTCATCTTCCTCACTGATACTATTTCAGTATGCAACGTGGCGTGCCATCACAAATGTGAACGACTCATGTCCAACCTGTGTGGAGTGAACCAAAAACAGCTCAGCGAGATGTACCACGAAATCAAGCGAGGCACCCATTCGACTGCCAGCTGTCCCCCGAACATTGCCAACTTGCACATCAACGGAGAGTCGAAGAACAACGGAAGTCTCCCAAACAAACTGAAGAACCTGTTCAAGTCGCATCAGTACAGTGTGGAGGAGCAGAAGGAAACCGACGAGTATATGGACAATATCTGGGGAGGCGGCGACGGACCAGTCAAGAAGTTTACATTGCCGCACTTCAACATGCTCAAAGTGCTCGGAAAGGGATCGTTCGGAAAGGTTATACTGGTCGAACTGAAGGGAAAGAACGAATTCTACGCGATGAAGTGTCTGAAGAAGGACGTGATTCTGGAGGACGACGACACGGAATGCACTTACATCGAACGGCGAGTACTCATCCTCGCCAGTCAGTGTCCCTTCCTCTGTCAGTTGTACTGCTCCTTCCAGACAAACGTAAGCACTAATTTCTGACTTTAAAACATAAACCATCTATTGATTGTAGGAATACTTGTTCTTCGTGATGGAATACTTGAATGGCGGTGATCTGATGCATCACATTCAGCAGGTCAAAAAGTTCGACGAAGCACGCACCCGATTCTACGCCTGCGAGATTGTCGTCGCTCTTCAGTTCCTTCACTCGAACAACATTATTTACCGGTGAGTGATTGTGTAACTTTCAGATTATCAAATGTTCGTTTTGCAGTGATCTCAAACTCGATAACGTGCTTCTCGATTGTGACGGACACATTAAACTGGCCGATTTCGGAATGGCCAAGACCGAAATGAACAGAGAGAACGGAATGGCGAGCACTTTCTGCGGAACGCCCGACTACATCAGTCCGGAGATCATCAAGGGACAACTCTACAACGAAGCGGTCGACTTCTGGTCTTTCGGAGTGCTCATGTACGAGATGCTCGTCGGCCAGTCGCCGTTCCACGGAGAAGGAGAGGACGAGCTGTTCGATTCGATCCTCAACGAACGGCCCTACTTCCCGAAGACCATCTCGAAGGAGGCGGCCAAATGTCTGTCGGCTCTGTTCGACCGCAACCCGAACACCCGTCTCGGAATGCCTGAATGTCCGGACGGTCCCATCCGACAGCACTGTTTCTTCCGGGGAGTCGACTGGAAACGATTCGAGAACAGACAAGTTCCTCCGCCGTTCAAACCGACTATCGTGAGTTCACCCCTCGTTTCCCCTTTAGCTTCTCATTCTTCACTTTTCAGAAATCCAATTCGGATGCTTCGAACTTTGACGACGATTTCACAAATGAGAAGGCGGCGTTGACGCCGGTGCACGACAAAAATCTCCTGGCGTCGATCGATCCGGAGGCGTTCCTCAACTTCTCCTACACTAATCCCCATTTCTCAAAGTAGTCTCCCGAATCTCGACTTCTTCTTCTTCTTCTCTTAGTCCGTTCCCAGCGTTTCCGAACCGGTAATTCATCAGAAAAACTGTGAACACCCGCCCGCCCATTTCTCTTTTTGTCGCATAATTCGTCCGCTCACTCGCTCCTTCCCCATTTGTTGCCACGTGTACACTTCCTTCACTGAATAGATTTCCTTTCCACTTCCTTTTCCCGTCCCTACTAGAATCCGTTTGCCATACTTCCCCGTCCCTGAGTTCTGTTCATATCACCCAACATCTCTCTGTTCGTCTTCTTCTTCCTCTGTCGCTTCCTCTTTCCCTTTTGCCCTTCTGTTCGCATTTCAATGCATTCACCTGTTTAGTGATTACACTGTATTGTCTCACCACTCTATTTTTCAACGAACAACGGTATTTAGTAACGAGAACAATATTTGTTTAAAGTGTTAATATGAACAACAAGAGCAATAAACATTCAGAATTGCAGATCCTGAATCTTCTTCCGTGTCTCTTCGTTTTCTTCGTCGGCTCCTCCGGCACATCCGCATCCCTTTCCACTTCCACAGCCGCCTTCCTCCTGCGATGCTTCCCTCACTACAGTCATTTTCGTTGTTTTCTTCGTCTTCCTCACTCCAAGGTCTGTGTTTCCAGTGTTGAGACCTTCGATAAGTAGACACGCTTTGCACATTTTCTGACTTGTCATGTACCCACATCTGAATGTTCGTTACATTTTGATATGAATTCTGTGATGCATTACCTTTCACACGTCTTCAATGTCGGCATTTCAACTTCTTTCCGGACGGAGAGCTTCTCTCCGCTTCGGATAAGATCAAGAATGGCCCGCGGATGCACTTTCTCCAAATCCCTCACGTATTTGCGTGCGTATCCTCTGTACGCGTTCGGAGCGTAAATGCATTCTGTGTAGAAGTACTCCAGTTGATTGGTCCTTGCGTACATCACAATATCTCTTTCGAAGCAATACTTGAGTGGTTTGGCACGTGGCAGATCTCCTTCCTCCCCAGTGACAATGTTGGTGCATCTCTCCAGACGGGCAATGTCTCCTCGAAGCACATTCATCAGAACCGTTTCCGCCATATCATCTGCGTTGTGCCCTGTCACTAATTTCGTGGCTCCGATTTTGAATGCTCCACGATCAAGTGCCTGCCTCCTGAATACTCCACAGAATGTGCAATTGTTCTTATGTCCGATCTTCGCAACAATCTGGTCCATCGTCCATCCGTAAAGGTCCTGATAACTGAGGATTGTGAGTGGCAGGCCGTACTCCACTCTGTTCTTCTCGACTGCCAAAAGGGAGTCGTCTCTGTATCCCTTGATGCCTTCGTCGATCGATAGCAGCTGCAGGTCTAGTCCGTAGTCGTGTCTTTCATTTAAAGTCTTCATTACGAAGGCTAAAACGGTCGAATCCTTTCCGCCTGAGGCCCCAATCGCCACGCGTTCCCCTTTCTGAACATTCGTGGATTGTAAACATGAAGTTTTCTCAGACGAACCTTGAAAAGATTGTTCTTCACAATGGTTTCGTGCACGTCATCTTCGAAGTTCCTCGTGAAGCACGCGCCGCACAACTGTTCTCCGTCTTTGGCTTTCCGAATCTTCGCAGCATTCGAACACCCTTGCTGTGATTGGCACGGAGGTGGTCCTTTTCGTTTTTCCATCTAGATTGTTTGGTTCAGAACATAAAGCCATGCGTCAGAGATAGATGATATGATCAACAATATTAATCATGAAGCAATAAAACCAAGGTGTCCAACTAAATATTTGTATTTTTTTCAATTTTAAGCAAAGTAAATATTTAGTCCCAGACTCTCTGTATATACAATTGGATTAGACGAATGTTGAATGATTAGTCTGATGAACTTCCGGGCTCTTGAGAGACGGAGACGGCAAGTGCTCCAAGCAAAAACGGGCTATCATCATTGAAGACTTCGATTTGCGGGGCAAACTCTTTGAGCAGTCGAAGAGCGAAGTCGGAGTACGGAAATATGTACAGCATTCCACCGGGAACATTTGCGACGCCTGATAACCAGATTAAGTTGTTACTTGAGAAGTGGATTACCTGCTGCATCTTTGTTAGTGAAGTAATTGACTAGGGGCTGCAGGTCTTCAAGATTCTTTCTTCCACAGATTACTCCAAGACTCAGTTCTTTCGAAGTGCAACACGATAACTTGTCATAAAGAGCATTGTTGGGTGTGTGAGGATTGAGACTAAGTCTGGAAAAGGGATGTTCGTAAATATTTGAGAATGGATTATGATTGATACCTTTGAGTTATATTTAAATGAAGAGGAGCGTCGTCTTCGTCACGAAGCAAGTTGACCACGAGGCGTTCTGCTCCGTACACTCGATAGAACTTGACCAAGTAGTCTTTTTTCTTCAGTGCCATTTTACCACTCCACGTGGCTGCATAACTTTCATCAAGTTCTTCGAAACTATGCACTGTATCTTTCGGTGATCCTGGAGGAGTTCTGGGTCCTTTCGTTCTGACAGGAGACCTTGATGCTCGTCGCTTTCTCATGTACTGCTTTTCCGGTTGTACGGACGTGTCTTTGGCATAATCCACCATAATGGGACGTTCACTTCCAGGCACGGATTGTCCTCGTAGACAGCGACAAGCTTCTTGAGATTGATGCGTGTTTTCGAATACAATATATGCGATATCCGATCCGTTGCTGTATTCTATATCGTCGATGAATCCGTACGACCCGAACACTTTTTGCAACGTTTCCTTATCGCATGCCTTATTGAGCCCGCCAACGATCAATTTCCGTGAAACCTGGCTCTTTCCGTAACCAATTTTCATCCGAGATCCACCAATTCGAACTTGCTCATTTTGCTCCCCGTTCTTCGCTTCAATCGCTTGATCGACTGTCTGAACGTTTTTATTTATACCTAAACGGAAACACGGATTTGTACTGACCGTGAACATGACGAAAGCGTAAGCAGCATCTGTATTTATCGGAGTCTTGATGTCCACTTCCTCCACTTTTCCGTATTTCTCGAAAACACTTCGTATTTCGCGTTCTTTCACATCTGATGGCATATTTCCGACAAAAAGGGTACGAGTTGCTTCGTCATCGTCTTGCTTGAGTCGCCACGTGGAAGGCTCCTTTGTCGGACGGCTACGGTTGTTTCCACCGGGATCTCGTCGATCGCCTTGTTGTGCACGATTGAAACGATCAGGAATGTACTTCCCTTCCTGATCTCTGAGAATCCCTGCCGGATCACACTGGACATGCTTTCCGAGCACGTCTTTCAGTCGCTCCATCATCGTGTAGCGCACCTTCCGGGCGCATTCCTTTCGTTCGAAATTGACGTACGCAAGTCGTTCGTCTTCTTCTGGGTTTTTCACGACTTTTATCTAAAGCTACTCTTCATATTATTGTTTTTTCTTACTTAACAGTGTACCTCAAACGGGGCGTACTTCCTGAACTCATGAGTCAATTTCTGCTTGATTTCATCTCGATCCATAGCGTCATCGAATCCGGAGATGCGCAAATTTAGGTATTCTTCTGGTGAATGACTTCCGAATCGTTCTCTGCGTGAGGAACTTTAGAGATCAGAAAATAATGTGAATAATTTACCGATAATAGCTCGAGAGTCCATGGAGGTTTGGTCGATAAGAGGACCTGCTTCGTTCTTCTTGCATTGTGGGCTGAAGGAATACAGATGAATACGGACAAGAAACATCTTCGTCATTTCGTTAGAAGGAATACAAGGAATATTTGACAGAAAGTGAATTGGTACAGAAACAGCGACGATAGGGAAAGTAGGACGAGTACTAGAAATGGACTAACAGCCAATTAAAAGACAGAATAGAGCACAGAACAATAAGAAGAATCTGAAAATAGACAGCTAAACCTTCTTTTAACGTGGAATTCAACGATCTCAGCCAACAGATCAATTTTCCACAACTGTGTGTGCAATTTGACGTGGCAGTGTTTGCTGCAGTGTTTGCACAAATTCCATTGTTGACCGTAGTCAAAATTGAGTTGGACGGCCCAAATGCAATATTTCAACTTGCAAATTTGCACGTTTCACTCAGATTTCAATCGATTTTCAGGTCACGAGCTGACTTTTTGTGTTAGAGTTATGCATTAGCTATTAGAAATTCCAATTGAAAAATTATTTTTAAGTAGATTGACAATACTCCGAAATTCCGTTGCCTGCTGTTTATTCTGTCGCCACTCGATGTGAAAAGGGCGCTTCACGAGTGTTGCTCAATTTTTCAGCAGCAATGTAGTGCGACAAATCTCAAACACAACATGATATCATTCCGATGTGATTAATCTGCGCATATTAAATCACTTTCCACTCTCTCTAATACGCGCTTTAGTTTATAATAATTATTTTCCCCGTTAAATCAACTGCGCTCCTTCTCTGATATAGTTTAGTTCCTCAACCGTTGTATTTTTCAGAATGGTTGCCGCCGCCGCCACTCGCAACATGCTCCATCAATATGGCCGTCGCGCCCTGGCCATTTCGATGGTTGCCGCTGTCGGCTCGACTGCCGCTTTCTTCTTCGGATACGTCCAGCCAAGACACGAGAAATACGAGCGTTTCTTCGCGTAAGTGTTCAAAATTAGGACAATTGAAAAATTTGAAAAAAGTTAATAGGAAGAACGTGTTAGCAGTAATAGCGGATTCGTGGCTCTCAACCACATCTGATTTGTAGTAATCAGAGTGCCACAAATAGTCATGAACAGAAAAGGCGGCGAACATGTCCAATTCTCTCAGCGTTGACTCATTTCTATCCGCTAGAATTAGCAGCTGAAACGCGTGACATTAAATTGAAATAAGCGACTTCAGCAAAAGCTTTAAAAGTAAGCTTTTTCTGCTGTGGCAGAATTATCATAAATATTTATCGAACAATCAAATTTTCAATTTGCAGCAACTACGATCCGTACACCAGAATGAAGGAGATCTGTGCCGCCAACAAGGGATACATGCACACCTGCCCACAGGAGCTCGCCAAGCTGTACGAGGAGAAGGGCAAGCCGATCGCCGATTTGTAGATCAATTCGACCTTTTTCGTGTAAAATTCTAGTTGGATTCCTCTTCAATGTTGCGACATTATGATAGTTTTGTCTTGCTCGAATAAAGAAGTTTGTAATCCCTGTTACCCAGTATCTTTCCCCATCAGAGGTGTGGTTCCTCACGGTGCGGTTCCTGGTGTCTCGTCTCTCCGTTGCCTCATTCACAAAAGCACTCTTTCTGTCCGAACTTTAATTGATTCCCGTGCTACCGTGGGCACGCAAAGCCGATTGCAGTCGCCCCAATCCGCTCTCGCGTGTTGCAGAAAACAAGATCGTATCGGACTGCGTGCCGGCGAGGTCTAATTGCCTCTTGAATAACTGACGACCTCGAAACATTCAATTCGTTCTTTTCCCCTGTCGGTTCTGCTGAAATTTCAAGTGCGAGGAACTACAGTAATCCACTCCATCGTCCCCAATAATCGGTTTTGTCCTTTTCCGTTCCGAGAGGAGACCGCCTCCGCCCGACACCGCTTTCACCCGCGTTCTCTGCCGTTTAGCAGGTCCGCGCGGGCATCTTCCGTCCGAGAGTATTCTGCTGAATAGTAACACTTATCGATCGATACCAGAGAGTGCGCAGACAATACTTTTCCCTCCAAGCCACGTCACGAGCTCTATTTCTAGAAACTTTTATTCATTCAAACACTGAAAGTTATTGCTTCCGATTCCCGTAATAGAAAATTGAGAGCCAGACTCATTCGCGATCGTTGCTCATTCTCAGTTTGTTAATTAACAAAAGTGCACACTGATAACAAATACTCTCTGACAAAGTTCGAGGAAACAACATTATAGTTCAGTTTTCGCTTCTTGCTGAATCTTTAAGCGGTCATCTGAAAAGTCAACGGGAAAACCTGTTCACCTTCCTTTCTCATTCGTACTTCCAATTTTTGGTTGGTAAAAGAAAGAAAGCTAATTGATAACTAAAGATGAAAAACGGGCGACTCGACCCTCGTCGCTGATTCTTTTCTTTCATTCTCAGAAACGACTAGTATTATGGTTAGAAGGATTAGCTGCCCACCACCAGATTGGCGGCACTTTTCCTAACTCATTCGATCGCGTTAGATTTATATTTCGCTGTTTGAACTTCTCCCCCATCTTCCCGAATCGGGAATCCCGATGTACAGCTGCTCCAACACAACCAATGCATCCCTTTTTATCATTTGGAATTCCGATCGATGCCCGCGTCATTGTTCCACTGCTCCCACCGAGAACCCATAAACAGTTTTATTAGTTTCCCACCAACATTTCCTTTTCAATTCTGAACAATGAAGCGGAGAGAAGGAAAAGGAAGGTGAGGCACCAGTTGCAGATGAGTTGGTTCTTACTCGTTTCCTTTGCAATCAGTGTGACTTTAGCTCTGGAAAGCCTCACAAAGTCAGATGGGGTATCCGGGTAACCATCCTGACGTCGTCACCAGTGCGGACTAGCCTCTTCTGACAATTTGGTCGCTTCGTCTCGCGCTCTCTCCTGTTTTCAGTGCTGACCGAGGCAGAGCAGCACACTCCGCTCGGCGCACACACTCCGCTCCTCGCACACTCAAACACGCACACGTGTATATATCTCCTTATATTTTGCTACTTGCTCTCTACTCTTCTTCTCCTTCATCTTCTTCTTCCGAATGCACTTTATCCATTCCAACTCCATCCTTTTTTGCAGATTGCCGATGAATTAAAAGTCGGAAGTGATGGGGAGAGGGCACCTCGTGTTATTGCTCGGGCTCACGATCGGTGGGTTCAACAAAGATCCTTTCAATTTGAAAAAGATATAAAGTTGCAGGCGTATCCACTGGCAATGATGAACTGCAGGAGAGGACGAATAAATTCATAAAGGAACGGCTCGTTCCGGCGCTCCGTCTAGCAGAAGGTACGTTTTTCATACAGAAAGAGAGAAGAAAATGCTCGGCAAACATTCCGGGTGGTCGAACACGAACATTGTTCGCAAGAAAGTCGATATTTGAACTAGAAACCTGAAAAAAGTGGAGGCCAAACACTCTATCAGGAAGTTTGAAGTAACGCGAAACTGGAGGAAACAGAGAGATCACGCTCGACTGGTTGCTTCGAACTGATGAAATCATTATTCAGTGAACTCACTTCAACTCCAAATTTGCTCACATGAGTAGATTGAATCAAAGTTCACGGGAAAACATTTCTATTCTTAACAGACATCATCATCCGACGTTGATTGTACTTTTTCCCGGAAAAGCAATAGTAGTTGTGCCACTATACTTGCACTTTCCGGCTAATCCGCCAATATCTCTGACTGCACGTGACTTTTGGCTCGAATAAAATTGAATTCTGCCGCTGATTGGCTTGTCCGGTTATAGTTTGCTTCATTCACGACTTCTGACCGGATTTGTTTCCAGAAATAGCAAATTTTTATTCAAAATGAATGAGCTCGAGCGACAAGGCACAATGACGTGCAGTTGTCACACTAAATCCTTTTTTCAGTCAAAAACATTGACTTCGACCGCGTACGTCTCTGTTACTGCTCGAAAGAGTTCGGTTGCAATGCCCGAACGACGGGATGGGTGCCAGGGTTCGGAGAGGACATGAACCTGACAGAGCCCGAGAGGAAATTGTATGAAGTGAGCACATCGGAATGGGATCGCCGAGAATGCAAAAAGATGTCTTTCAGAACACGTGCTACACAGATGGGGACTGCTATCAGACGGCACGGCCTTACCCTGAAATCAGCTCGTTCGGGTGCATGGACATGAAATCGGAGAACGATCAGACGGACTTCCACGATACGGTAGCGAGAGTGTGCTCGAATCACTCGGTCGGAGCCCACGCGGCCTTCTGGATCTGCTGTGATAGCGAAAACTTTTGTGCGAATGAAACAATCATTTATGTGGTGAGCGAGCGCTTCGTGATCTTTTTACTTTACCTGAAGCATTCATTTCAGCCTGCTCCACCTGAGACGTTCCTCTCCGGCTGGATACCTCGAGTGATTATCTTGATCTTCCTTCTTGTTTCGGCAATTGTCGGCGTTTTCTTCTTAACGAGCACAAAGTGGAAGGAGAAATGGCAGTGGTACAGGAAGTTTAAAGGCAAGAAGACCGACCAAGGGTCACAAGATTTGGACAACATCGGCAGCGATATAACTGGGGACAGTTCGCAGTACGATCCAGGTGCCACCATGAGCACATCTGCAGAAGGGAACGAGTTTGCGGACGGACTGCCTCCGAACGCCTACCAGATGCTCATGGCCCTCGAGGATACGAGTGGATCCGGCGGCGGACCGAGCCTACTTCACGAGATCACAATCGGACAACAGATCACTCTTATGGGAAAGGTGGGAGCGGGAGGATTCGGCAACGTGTCATGGGGATACTATCAATACGAGCCAGTTGCCGTCAAAGTGTTCAAGGCGAACGACGAGAATGCTTTCATGAAGGAAGTGGAAATCTTTGAGACGAACATGCTGAGACATCCGAACGTGTTGCGGTACATCGGAAACGATCGAATCGGTTCTTTCTTGAATTTGACTTTCTCCAATTATGCTCTCATGTTTCAGATGGTGGATTGACCACAGAGTTGTGGCTCGTGACCGAATACCATTCGAACGGTTCACTTCACGATTTCCTGGAAGCCAACACGCTCTCGCTCCAAACCTGGTTCACTCTGATCCGATCAACCGCGAGCGGACTTTCCTTCCTGCACACCCCCGTCGCCGGAACCAAAAACTCGGCGAAACCTGCGATTGCCCACAGAGACATCAAGAGTCGGAACATCATGGTCAAACACGATCTGACCTGCGCGATCGGAGATCTCGGGCTCTCGGTGTCGCTCAATGTGACCACGAGGACCATGGACGGACAGTACAACCCAAAAAGTGGCACAGTGAGATATCTGGCGCCCGAGATTCTGGACGGAACGATCCCGGACGATCTTTTCGAGAGCTTCCTGAGAACAGATGTGTACGCGTTCGCCCTTGTGATGTGGGAGGCGTTGGCTCGAGTTGAGGAGCCCGGAGTGACCGCTCGTCAGGCAGGGACCACAATCCCGTACTATGAATGGGCGGAGAGGGATCCATCTGATGCGAAAATGAAGGATATTGTGTGCACCAAAAGGCTGAGACCACCAGAGAATCCAGTTTGGAGGAAAACACAGGTAGGAACACTCATAGTTTCACGCAAAAGGTATTGGTTTCTTCTGTTTCAGCACTTCAAAGAGATCATGAATGTGATCAGTACATCATGGAATGCCAACCCGACCGCCCGTTTCACTGCACCACAAGTTAAAGTGCGACTCGAAAAGGAGTATATGAAAATGCGGGAGATCAAATTCGTAGCGGAAAATAAACTCGCTGCACCGGAAGCGCCGGCCGAAACTCCAAAACGTCTGCCAAAAGGACAAAAAGAGTTCGAAATGGTCCCGATGGTATCACTGGTTTCTCGTGGTGCAAAGGTCTACGATCAAGGTACCTGAAACCACTGAATTGAACAATATCTGGAATGTCCGTTTTCAGAAACCGTGGAGAATCGGAACGGGCAGTTCAAGGCAAAAGACGAGATTAATGACCCGCTTCTGAGCTGAACTGTAAAACTCGCTTAGGTGCTGAACCGAACTGTACAATAATCGGCAACCATATCATTGATCTCGTGAACATTTTCCCTTCTCTGTATATAAAAACCATCTCTCTCTCTCTCTCTCTCTCTTTGCCATCTGGAAATCACCAGCTCTTGTCATTTCTTCCTTTTGACTTTCCCCCAATTTGTGATAGATGTACACCCTTTACGCTTTACAGTCACCGTGAGAATTCCTGGTAATCGAATGGCCATTCACATATTTTTCCTGACTATTTCTGTCTCACTGTTTCTATTTTGTAGAAAACCAAACCCAACTTTGTCCTTTGTTCCAATCATTCTTATTAAAGCCGGACTCAATTTTGAAATAAAAAATCATCGAATGCTTTGAAATATGTTGACGATCAAAATTCCTGTTGGATGAGAAGCAAGAGCCTCGAAATTGATTTTGACAGAAATGGCCGTGGCCTAAGTGGAAACCTAGGCCATCCGAGTCATTTTTTTTTTGCCTTTAAAAAAAAATTATTTGTCACTCGTCTTCAGAATGGACATAATCTCTCTCACAGAAGCGTTTCTCGCTCGCGTTTCGCTTTTTGCGGAAAGGCGCTGCTTATACCGAGACGCGTGCTCGAAGGAAAGACGGTTAGTTGGGCAGAACGGCAAATACTTCTCCGCCTGCCATTTTTTTTAGATTCTCTCCGTCCGCCAGTCGACGAATGCGAAGAAGAAGCGTTTCTCTGAGAAGCTGAAAGAAGAATGAAAACGTGAAATTTCTAACGGTTTTGAGATGCAAGAAAGCGGCTGCGGGCCCACGCTCGAAGTCTTGTCTTTTATAGTTCTTGATAAGATTTCTGGCATAATGAACAGATGAATATGAATATAAACATAATAATAATAAGCAAAAGAATAAAACTAATACAAGACAGAAGTTCTGAAAGTGCACCAGGATTGAGCTTGGTTTGGCTTTTTTAAAGGAGGCGACAATGATAGGAGAACGGAAGGAAAGAAGAGGGGTCACACGTGAAATTGAAGAAAAGAAGAGTGTGCAGAAGAGATCAGAGCATAAAAGTGTGCGCGGAATAAAGCATCGGTGCCTACGGACGGTCTAATTCTCTTCAGACCGTCCCAGAAAATCCCTGTTCCTGAATTGGGCCACTTCCTGGTAATGGAGCCCGCTTTCGGCGCTCCCAGACGTCGTTCTTGCCCTGGAAAACAATGGGTGATTAGGTGGAACGAAACGGAAAACACAGAAGACTTCAAATATCACACAATGTTATGAAACGTTTTTCCAAGCCAGGGAACACTCTGACTTCTTTCAAACGTCTCGTTTTTCTCTCTCAACAATCGTGTTTGTTGGGTTCAATCTCTTACCCGTAATTAATGCGAACATTTGTCTGAAATTGTCAGTTAGCTCTTGCCAGTTCTCATTTGAGTATGTTTCATGCATTCAACTCACATCCATCGGTTTCCATGAGCAATACGGCAAAGGAAGACCGTCCGGACCAGTCGGACATGGGGCATCCAGTCCCGGAATACCCTGGTCTCCCTTCTCTCCCGGCGGTCCTGGTCGTCCGTCGATTCCCGACTCTCCGTCGTTTCCGGGCGGTCCTTGTGGTCCCTGCAATCGTTCCCTTTCATTCCCTGCCCTATTCCCGATCCTCTCCCACCACAGGCCCCGGATATCCCTTTGGTCCCTCCGGTCCTTGCTTTCCCTGCAAATCGAGTGTTCTTCTGATTCACCAAACACTTCACAACACCAAAATATCGAGATAATAACGAGTCGGAGAAAAGAAAGGACCAGGGTGCCACTACATCCAAATACCTGTTTTCCTTCCGTTCCATGCGGTCCTCGCAATCCCATTGGTCCCGGCGGCCCGGGCAATCCGAGTGCTCCTGGTTGGCCTGGAAGTCCCGGCGGACCGAGGTCTCCTTTCTCTCCCGGTGGTCCTGGTAGTCCTGGAGGTCCCCGAGGACCGGATTGACCACCACCGCTTTCGGCAGCTCCCTGAAATCACTCGTTCTCATAAGAGCGTCGATAATCATGGACTCACCGGTTGCCCTGGAAGTCCCGGTGGTCCGATGTCTCCCCGTTCTCCTCGTTCTCCAGAATGTCCCGGAAGACCTTGGGGTCCGCGTTCACCTGATGGGCCAATCGGACCATGATGTCCCTGAGAAACAATAAATCATTACTCTGTTCATTTTCCGACTCTCTCACTCTTGGCCCTGGCGGTCCTGGTGGTCCTGGGATCACATTCTTCCCTCTTAACTCGGAGATTTCAGCAGTCAGCAGAGGCATCAGTTCGGTCTTCAGCAGTGTTTTGACATCTTCGTTGAAGGTTCCGTTCGGCGCGACCAATGATATTCCATGACGGCCCTATTTTGTAAAGAAAGGATAGAAAAGGAACAAGGCAGAAAGACAAAGAAGAAGAAGAAGAAGGGAAATGCATGCAGAAGCAGAAGCAGAATTCCTTCACACTCACTCTCCGTCCTCGTTTTCCTGGCGTTCCTTCCGGTCCCGGCAGTCCCATGTCCCCTCGGAGACCCTGTTCGCCCTGAAGAACTAGAAGGATTAGCAGAAACACACACGCATTAGACACGTCATTCCGCTAAGACATTCCATTCAAACCTATTCTCCGGCACTCCATCCCCCTCACCTTTTCTCCTTTCTCTCCCGGTCGCCCGTCTCTTCCCGGTGGTCCCGGTGGTCCGACGAGAGCTTTTCCTCCGTTCAGAAGACTCGCGGCTCCGGGCGTTCCTGGTAATCCCTTCTCTCCCGGCTCACCGCGCTCTCCGCGTTCTCCCTTTTCTCCCTGAAAACCGCATTGTTTCAGTCATGAAGTTCACGAGATAACGATATAGTTACAACATGCTTACCGGAGGGCCCTGAGGTCCTATAATAGTTCTTCCAGGCTCTCCTGGAGGTCCCTGAACTCCGTTGCATTGTGACACGTGGCACACTCCCGGTGGGCCCGGAGGTCCAGGCGGTCCCTGGATACCAGGAACAGAAGAAATTGACTGACTTCTCGGATAAGTGGAAAGGAACGCAGTGTCGCCCTGAAAGACACGGTACCAACTCGATCACAACTTTCACAACAAACGAAAACAAAATAATTATCGAACACACTCACCTTTTCTCCTCTTTCCCCGGGAGGTCCTCTAGCTCCGGGAATGCCGTCCCTTCCCGGATTTCCATTCTCTCCTTTCGGTCCGATCTTTGATTCTCCATCGAATCCAGGCAGTCCTCGATCTCCCTTCGGTCCTGGTCTTCCATCTCTTCCAGCGAGACCGGCTGGTCCTGGAGGTCCCGGAGGTCCTGGTGGGCCGAAATTAGAAGATTGGTGATGTCCGATTGGTCCAGTCGGTGGCCCTCCATATGGTGACGTCATGATTCCCCGATCTCCTTTCGGACCCGGGAAACCTGTCGGGCCAACAGGACCTCGCTCTCCTCGATCTCCTTTTGGTCCGGGTGTTCCCTGCAAACGAAACAGTTGAATACTGAACTTAATAGGACTGAAGACAACACAAGTGCATGCGAATGCTGGGAAGGAAGTAAAGCATACCGGCAGACCGCGCGGACCATCCAAACCGATCGGACCCTGAATTAGTTGCGATTTGGTGGATTCTGTTGTGGAAGAGAGAGTGCAGGTGAAGTGGAGATGCAGAGAACCAAAATGTTAGAGAACGATTCAAAAGGTTTGCGATTTTCTGCGTCTGGTGCATAACAGAGGGTACAAAGATGAAATTATGAGTGAAAAATAAACACACCGGGAATCCAGGATAGCCGCGAAGTCCTTTCGGGCCCTGAAAAGTGATTGAAATAAGAAAACTAAGCGTGAATCTGAACGGAACCGCTGTGTGTGTGATTTCCCCGAAAGAAATGTTGAAAAGCATCTAGAAGCATCACTAATAGCTATCAAAGAACAACGACAAAAGCACAGTACCGAAGGACCGGGGGGTCCCGGCATTCCACGTAATTGAATGGCCTGTCCGTCTGGCGAGTAGAGCATTCCGAACGCGCGCATCTTCCGAGAGATCGTTTCGTCGAGACTCTGAAAAGAAAACGAGTCACGAGACGAACACGGAAACGGAGGAACAACATTGGAGAGCGGCACTCGGGGACGTCGGTAGTAAGGAGCTGGAAGACCTGGCAGACCCTGAAACGACACACTCACTACACAGAACTCTCATTTCTCTCGGAGAAGTGTGTGGATAACTGAATGGATTGGAACGTTTAACCTACTGGCCATCCAGGCGATCCCCGCAAACCCTAAATCTTTCTTTGAATCCAAACTTTTTTGATTAATCTACAGTAGCACAGTTTCTGAAACATGAAAAAAAACTTACAGGCGGTCCGACTGGTCCTCTTTCTCCCGGTGGTCCTGAAATTCAAAATCATGAAAATCATGACTGCAGTCATTTTCGGTTCCGTTCGGAGCGCCCTTTCCGCTCCCTAACTCCCCTCTAACCCCTTCCTCGGGCGACCTCTCGGCGCTCTCCACTGCAGTACACACGCATGTGTTCTCTCTCTCTCTCTCTCTCTCTCTTCACTTTCGTCACCCTCCAGTAGTATAGACACACTGTTGTACATTCACTTCGTGGCCGTGTGGCCTAATGGATAAGGCGTCGGTCTCCTAAACCGAAGACTGCAGGTTCGAGTCCTGCCTCGGTCGAAATCTTTTGTTGTTGTGATGGTTGGCGAGAGATAGAGATGGAGGCAAATTGGCGCGAGCTCTTGCCGAAATCACTTCATCAATCACATTCAGTTGGATTGGATTTGAAATCTTTCCGAACAATCAAAGGTGGGAGGTGTACGGAACTGATGGCTCCAACTTGATTACGTCAGAAAGAAATTCATGTTCAGATCCACCTAACTTTACTATTGGAAAGTGTAAAACCACAATTAATTATGGATGATGCTCACAGACGCTTTCTGTCAATGAACGCCATTTCAGATGTGTAATCTCTCAAAATCCAAGAGCTGGACAAATTGCAACATCTTGTTCCGTGGAATCAAAGTGCTTGTCAATTGCTGATGATCAATTTGTCACGTCTTTTCATCCCGCCGACCACAGACACCATGTCATCTTGTCTTTCTTTCCCTGACTGTTGTAACATGAATTGCTTCCAAGCTCTCCACGCAATTCAAAAGCATCAACACGATTATACTATCCAAATAAAGTTGGCGCGATTTACAGCCAACACGACGGGTGTGTCCCGTTGGTTTACGGTTCCTCAAGTGGCTGTTAACGTCATCCCGGAAGGGCCTACCTGGGGGGCACAGACACGAATTCCTCGCTTTTCTGCTCCTTGCCACGTCATCTGCTTCTTCTCCGGGCGATATGGGCGGTTCTTCCATCTGCAAAGCATCAAGTGTATTCGGGAGTTTCGTGTGGAGCGGCGGCTCGTAACTCGCATAATTTATGGGCTCCCCCTGTCAGGAGTCCCCGTTTCTTGTGAAGAGAAACGGAAGAAAGATAACACTTTTGAGTTATGGCCTCCGCGTTTCTCAGCCTAGTCTGCGGGAAGCCATCACGCCGAATTCGCGTCAAACTACCGTCCCAAACCGAAAAAGTTTCACACAAGTGTCGTCCGTCATAAACTCAATTTGCCATGTCACTGTCAAGGTCTCTCTTGGCACACTTCCCCTTCTGTGTCAAGCTGATTTGCCCCCCGCGCGTCTGCACAAAACGGAACGGATTCGTAATTGGACGGTACTGAACATATGTCGAAGATGGTACCACTACCACCGATCTGAGCGTCGTAACCGCCAATTACGATGAGGAAGGTGCGAAAATTATAGAGTCGGAGGGCGCATCACTGTGGTGACACAAAACGATTTGGAGAGGAAACGTCTCCGTGGGTGGAGGTGGATGCCACGTGGCAGCCGCGTGTACACTTGACATCTCAGGCAGACAGTGCAAACGAAAACAGCTGGACACGTACAGGTGGCCGAGTGTTTAGAGTGCACGGACGGACGAAGATCATGTTTACAGAAGCAGGTGATTGTCATGAATATGATCATTTTATGGGTGATTCCGGTCATTCAGAACAAAATCATATGACTGCTTCTGATTCTGTCTCAAGCTAAGAGCTAAAATTTTAAATGTACAGTTTCACTTTGTACTCCCTACCAAAAAAGCTCAAAGCACTCTAGTTTATGAGTATTCGATTTGATTGTTTCCCAATTGGGAGTGCGAGCGGAGCACTTGAGCACTCTTGACAGTAATGCGATATGTTCGTCGGCAAGGCGTGGCAGTAGTTGGCCCCCAAATGGTAATCATTCATACCTGACCGGCGAGCTGATCGATGCGTCTCTCAAGCGTCGAGATCCTCGACTGTTGTGCTGTGAAGACGATGCAAACAAGCAGGAACATGAGCACGTGGGGCACAGCGGCTGCCACGAACTGTCTGTCTATCCTGACTCTTGGCGGGGAGATCCATGGCTTCTGGGGCGGCCAACGGTCCGAAACGGTCGACGAACCGTCCGAACCGACGACCACCACGTTTCCGGATGGTGATGGTGACGTCATCGGTTGGGCGACGTCGTCATGCGAAGCGACTCTGAAAACGGCTGATAGGAAGCGGAAGTGAGAGAGAAAGGAACGGAGACGCAGGAAAAGGCACCTGTTGCACACTTCTCGATTCTATACAAACGGTGGGAGTGGACCGACGTCTGTCTATAGGCACGCGCATCATTTTATGACTGTCTTCTCCATTTTTTGCGTACTTGATCGAGGCTATTTATCGAGGAACGAAGGAAAAGGAAAGAAATGGTAGGCTTCACGACTTCATGACATCAAAAAAACCGATGGCGTCGCTTTATACGACTGCACCGCCGCCCCGCTATTATAAGAATACGGAGGAAGAGAAAGAGAGAGAGAGAGAAGAACGTCTTCCCTAAAAGTACACAAAAAGATAATAAATTGGAGGAGGGCCGCGTGGCGCCAGAAGAGGACAGTCCAATTAAATGGGTGTTGCAAGAGAGGGAACGACCGGGAAAACGGACAAAGTGTGGAGGTCGAAAGGCTTCCAGGTGGGCGCTGCCAAGTTTTGGAATCGAGTACACAAAAACGTAATAAACGCGCGAAAACGACCACTTTGCCGTTTAGCCAATTACCCCAGAAGACCGCAGTGATAACCTCATTGAGGAAGCCTCAGAAGCCATTATCGCGCAGTTAATAGGTCCAGAATAAATAGAGACGAGGGGAAGGAAAATGGATGGAACTGGTGCAGGATGAGTAGATAGGGACCAGTTGATTAAGACGGTAAATCAGACAGATAGATCTGGATTGCGCAACGGTCATCTCGGAGTGATTGGAGGAGAGGAAGAGGATCAGAGAGAGTCGGAAGCGGCCAAGGAGCCTCATTCGCTCGGTGCGCAATAACGATGTTATCCGGACGAGTGGACTGTTATGTTTATGACAACAATGCCATTTTCCGATGATGTGGCATTTTGTGAGGACAAAGGGGAACTAAGATGATAAGGATCGAAACGAAGGCAGGCGGGGAGTCTGTGAAGGTGGTAGCGGACAATAGGATTACAGACACGACGGCTAATTGGCTTCAATTCGTAGGAAGCGGTCAGCGATGGACAGCTGGGCACCGGAGTGATATCGAATCAAAAAACGAGCCCGCTTTTCTCTTGTCTCCTCGCATCAATTGGCCCCTCTTAGTATCATTTGCGAAGGAGAAGAGACGGGGAGGCGGCACCCCCTGCTGGCCTACGGACCGCCCACTTTTCGACAAATAACACACGCACCGAGATGCTGCCTACCGGTAAAGGACAAACCGAAAACGAGGTGAGCATCGAGAGCAGGAGAAACCAACCATTGAGAGTAGGAGCACATGGAATCATTGTGAAAAAGAAAAGTAGATGAACCTGAAACTTTTTAAAAACTTCCATCCGAAATTAGTATTTGGTTGGAAGAGTATAAAAGTGTAAATGCGAGCAGGCAGCAAGGAGAAGCAGTGCGGTGCGAAGAAGAGGTTAGAAGTTGATTGAAGTTGACCGATGAGTCGAAATGAGATATGTTGTGACACCTCGTGTTGTGTCGGCTATCTCTCCGCCGCTCCGCCGGCTCTTCTAATATTTTGTCACCCCAATTTTTCACAGACCTCCTCCTCTTCCAGAATGTCGACGGGAGGTCCGTCCATTCTCTCTTTTCGGTGTAACAAAGTGGTCCACCGATGTTTTATGGGCTCGGAAACACATGTTCTTGACGAGACACGTTCGCAAAAAAAGATGAAGAACAATGGGGGGCGCCAAGAAACGAAAACGAAGGCCGTTGATGGAGCAAATGGGAACAAGATGCCCCCGCACGGATTCCCACGGTGCGGAAAGCATCAGTAATGCGGAAAACGGACAACATCGTGTAACTGGCATCGCAATGGAATGGAAGGAAAGAACAATGAGCGAGAGCAGAGAGGACTGTCACCGGAGGAAGGGAGAGCGAGAGAGAGAGCAACGGGATAATTGCAATGTGATGCAAATGGATTATGGAATGGCCAATGTGGGAAACTGTACCTGTGCCCAAGTCTGATTCTCATTTGACTAACCGTTGGAATTGGTGGAAAGGGCATGTTTGGACGGGTCATCACAGGCGAGGAGCGGATTGCATAACGGCCGAGTTCAAGGGTCTGGGAGATCACCGGAGGAGGAGGACACGTCGAACGGAAACCCCATTTTCCCAAAGTTTTTCATTTTGATAGCGTCAGTTGTACTTGCAAAGAACGCACCTGTTGTCGTTGTTTGTCGGTTTAAATCAAAGAGAAAATGAAATTATACATGGGGGAGCTGTATAAACTACTATGAGCCCTCGAAAAGTTTCAAGGGCCAGTGCCATCCGGTCGTCCGTTTGCTCTCAGCACGCAACCTTGTTCGTGTTCCCACTGCTCTTCCACTTGTACCATTCCGTTGCATAACACGTACCAATGGCGCAACAATCTCCTTCTTTTTCCTCTTTCGGTAACCTCTTGAGATCGAGTTTTTTCGAGGTATTAGGGAGGACGGGAAGACCTTTGTCCGGCCGCCAACTGTCATCAATTTGTGGAAAAAAAGATTCATGTTGCGATGCGATTAATTTGAGAAAAATGAGAAGGAAGGAGAATTGGGACAAAAAGAGGAAGGTGATGAAAAGTAAAAATGCGCGGAAGGGGCGACGATGGAAGAAGCACCACCTCAGAATGTAAATGAAAGATACGCGGAGCCCATTGTTCTTTGTCAGCACTTGTGCTTCTCTCTCGAGCGACAGCACCACCTAAACTAAAAACAATACACGAGAAGCAGTGAGTCGCGAATAATCAGTTCATTGTTGTCCCGAAATGTATACATGCGCCCGACACGGCCACTAATTAGCCAGGACGAACTCGGAAACACTTTTGAACTTGCACAACTTTATTTACACATTGCTCAACAGAGAAAGGGGAGGTTAGATCGGTGTCTGACAGCGTCTTCCGGTGAATCCGAGGTTGCAGAGACACGTCAGCTGATTCGTCGTTCCCAGACACAATCCACGGCCATTGCAGTCACGGGCAGAGTCGCAAACAGCTGAAATGGAACGATTTCGATATGATAAATCCACATTTCCTTACTCTCTTCACAGCTCTTCCCGGAGAATCCGAGTTGGCACGCACAGAGGAACGTCTTCTTTGTTCCGAGACAAGTGCCCCGATGGTTGCAGTCTATAGGCCCGCAGGGTTCCAGATTGGACGGAGAGAGCAGTCCGTTTTCCTCTTCTTCCCTCTCTCTCGCCGCTTCTTTCAGACTTTCCACCTGAAAACTCGAATTGAATCTCTTTCTGACCTCGCCATTATTTACCGCTTTGTCTAATTCCGCTTTCACTTCTTCCTGAATCTCATTTGTTTCTTCCACATTTCTCTTCTTTTCTGTCTTTTCTTTGTCATTTTCATCAGATTCCACATCTGAAAACATAATTTGTTTGGATTGTTTTCCAATTACATATAAACAGATCATGTCGGGCAGTTTATGGACTCACCGGACACCTCAACTTCTCCGGAAATAGTCCTGTTTCCATCGGACGCTTCAACCGATTCATCGTCGATTTCCACTTCGTCGTCAGCTCGAGTCCACGTGGCAACCAAAAAAAGACAGACCAATGCGTACTTGAACAACATTTCCTGTAAAATGGACGGAAAGGTGTCAACACAATTATGAGAAAATTTTCGGTTGTAAGTGAGGATTTCTGGGTCAATAGTTCTTACTCGCATCAAAATTGAAAAAAAAAGAAAGAGATGGAAAGTGGGAGTAAAAAATGAGTCGGATTCTAGGGCGGTTACGTAACTGTTTTGTGCGTTCCGGCCGGTTTTGTGGGGATTCGCTTCGGATGCGCAGCCAGGAAGCGTGTCGAATTCGGGAGACTCTGAGGCAGAAACCAGATGATTGCGACACAGAGTCGGGAAAGAATGAAAGAATGGAAGGGAAGGGACGGCAACGAATGCACTTGATAACTGGATCATCCACTTATGGAACAGTCTGGTTACTTCAGGAAACACATTCGAGAGGACTGTTTGGGTGGACGCCAAAACACTGAAACATATCTGCATATCTAGATGGAATGCACTCGCCGACCAAAACATTAAGTATCAGTGAACAATATCGACTTTGCCAAACGAGAACTCTTCCACTTCCACTTCCAACACTTTATTCGATGATATTATCTGTGACAAAGAGTTCACTCCTTCTTCTCTTCCTTCTTTTCCTCTTTCTTCTCTTCCTTCTTTTCCTCTTTCTTTTCTTCCTTTTTCTCCTCCTTTTTCTCCTCTTCCTTCTTCTCCGGCTCATCCATATCCACGAGATACGCTTGCATTCTGATCACGCCTTCCGGCTTCGTTTCGGCCGTCCACACCTGCAATCATCTAGAATCCATCTGTTTTGCTGCAGCTTCTTCTCACCTGTCTCGGATTGACGTTCGACTCGGGGCACGTGATGTGGTAGATGGCGAAGAAGTGCTTGACCGGATCGATGCCGGCTTTCGGTCTCAGCAAGATCTTCACCACCGCCGTCTCGCCGGGCTTCACGAATCCGAGCGGCGGACGGACGCGGAAGATCTCATTGTCGGTGCACTTGACTTTGTAACAAGCGCGCTCTTTCAGAGTGTTCGTGATTGACACCGGAACCACCGCCTCTTCCTCCTTTCTGTACCTGATGACAATTTTGTCAGCCGGATCAACCTTCATTTTGAACTCTGGCTCTCCGGCTTTGTTTGGAAGTGGCATCTGGAGAGCAGGAGAACGAATGGAGATTGATGGATGCGAACTTACGTTGATCCCGTTCTTTGAGCAATGCTTCGAAGGCTCTAATCAATTGAGAGAATAACTGAAAAACTATGAGAACGGACGGCATAGCAGAATTTAGAACACGGAAAAAAACGAGAGGGTTCACGCTTTCGAAAGTAACAATTTAAGAAATCCTTCATTCGTCAACTATTTCAGTAGTAGGTCTCTTTATAAATATATCCTCCCGGGAACTTGCGAACGAAGAACCGACGGAACTCGTCATAAAGACCAATGGCAAAGGCAAACGGCAGAGCGAGGAATCCGATTTCCAGTCTGAAAGCGGCAGATTTGCTTCGTCTTCTCCATTTCCGCTTCCTACCTGAACCCTTGGACACCGAGAACTTCGTTGACGTAGGGTGTGTTGAGAACGAAAGTGGCGAGGAAGCAAGTGAAAATGACAGAAGTGTTGAGCACGTGGTTTCTGAAAGATGGAAGGAAAACGGATGAGAGCGAGGACGAATAGACGTACTCGAGTCCCTGCATGACCAGAGAATTCTTTCTCGTTTTCGACGCGAACAAGTCCGCCCATTGAGTGACGACGATAGTGAAGAAGAACGTTCCGTAGCAGCACGCCTCGAGCGCCTTCCTGTTCTCGTAGCTCCACTGCTGTCCGTAGCTGTCTTCCAGATCGTCAATATACTTGTTATCCCACATTTCACTGATGTTTATCAGATCTTGAGGGAACCATCCGTACGACATCATCAGCACTTAAAAGTAAGATGATGGTGGTAATATATGAAAAACCACAGTACCAAAGTATGTGGTGAACCCAGCACAGGCTTGAATCGCACCGATTTGGAGGTAAGAGAACATAACCAATCGCTTATTCACAAGCTTGTCGTGGACTGGATTGCGAGGAGCTCTCTGCATAATGTCACTTTCAGGTACTTCGTAGGCGAATGAGATGGCCGGCCAAAGGTCGGTTCCCAGATCGATCATGAGGATGGCGATGATCGACATGGGCAGGGGAAGTCCGAACAGCACATACGACATGAACGGAGTGATTTCTGGAAAGAAGAGTGTTGCTTTAGAGGGAATCATGTAATCCACCTGGAATGTTGCTGGTCAACGTGTACGCAATCGACTTCTTCAGGTTATCAAAGATCAGCCGTCCTTCTTCGACTCCGGTCACGATCGAGGCAAAGTTATCGTTTAGCAGAATCATGTCAGCTGCCTGTTTCGAGACGTCCGTCCCAGCTATTCCCATAGCAATTCCTCCAATAGTACTTTTTCACAGCCACTCGCTTTCGTCTCTCACCAATGTCAGCCTTTCTGAGTGCAGGAGCGTCATTCACTCCGTCTCCAGTGACTCCAACCACATTTCCAATTGACTGGAACGCCTCGACAATCTGCAGTTTCTGCGCGGGCGACGTTCTCGCGAACACAATCTGAAATGGTATTTAATTGCACTGGATTCTTGTCGGCGCACCTGATGGTAGTTCGTGACGATGGTCTTGAGCGTTCTCTGCGACATCGTGCTCAATTGTTCCCCGTGCACGACAATCGCTCCCGTTCTCTTCAGTCTTCCCTTTCCGTAGATCTCATCGCTGCCTGGATCGCACTTCGGATCGGCCACCACGATCTCAGTCACTTGCTCGTTTTCCTCAATGATATGCACTTGCGTGGCGATCGCGCGGGCAGTGATCGGATGATCTCCAGTAACCATAACCACGCGGATTCCCGCATTCTGACACACTCGGACTGCTTCTGGAACTCCCGGACGAGGCGGATCGATCATGGCAATGAGGCCTAGGAATCGCAGATCTGGAAGAGAAGAAGAAGACTATTTAGAGGCAGATGGTGTCTTACTCTTGATCGGAAAGTTGGGATCTTCCATGTTGAACTGATATCCAGGCGGGTACTTCGAGGGACTCATTTCAAAATCGCAGAATCCGAGAACTCGTTCACCATAAGATCCGAGCGTTTCGTAAGCCTTTTGGAAGTCTCTCTCGAACTTCTTCGACACGTTTTTCGTCTCTCCTTTATCGTAATAGGTGGAGCACAACTTCAGAATCTTCTCCGGAGCGCCTTTCATCACAATCATGTTCTGTTTGTTGGAAAGCGGATGGATCGACAGTTGGTACTTGTTGGTCGAATTGAACGGAATCTCTCCGATCTTCGGCATTTCCAATCTGAACGCATCCACTTTTCCGTCTCCTCGAATCATCTCGCAGTATCTCATGATCGCCACTTCTGACGCATCACCGTTCACAGCTCGTTTGGCTAGCGGAATATCGTACTCAGGAACCTGAATTATTGAAATTGAATGAGCCAGATAGAATCCTTACTCACTCGGAAGTGGGATCTGCTGCACAGCGTCGCACATCTCAACAGTTTCTGATACGATTCGTTGCCCACGTATCGTTTCTCTCCAGCGTAGTTCTCGTTCGGCGGAAGGAGCTCGGCGTCCTGAATCTGTCCGTCAAACCACAAATGAGTGACAGTCATCCGATTCTGAGTGAGCGTTCCCGTCTTGTCGGAGCAAATAGTTGACGTGGATCCGAGGGTTTCGACTGCTTGCAACTTCTTCACCAGACAGAACTTCTTCCTCATTTTGACGGCGGTAAGGGTTAGACTGACCTGAAATGGCTAATGAGTTCCAAGGAACTTTCAGTGACGAATTACTGAAAGTGTGACGATCCTGTAGATAATTGGATACCCGTAGATTACAAAACCCGTAGTGTCAAACCCCGTATTATTGGGGCACCGGACAGAAAGGGCGCGCTGTTCGCAATCTGGTCGAATTTCTAGGCCGCGAAGTGATTTTCCACTAAAATTGGCCTAACTTTTCAAACTCGGCCCCGAGGTCGCTCAATTTGCACTGCAAAAAGTTTCTCAACAAAGCGCCATTTCTGTGCGGTGCCCCTATAATAGAAAAATGCCAAGAAACCCGTAGAAACAAGTACGCAAACACAGATACGCCAAAATGAAGAAAACTCAGAATATTGGACTCCTCATGGTATTGTTTAATCGTTCTGTCAAATTTTCATTTCTCAAATGAATAGTTACTAAAAGGGCGAGAAAGGCAATCAAAAATGAGTCAAGACAGTGTGCGTGCACCTCCCATTAGGCCCCCCGACCATTTCTACGGGACTCGACTCTATTGGTTTTGTAATCTACAGGTTTTGAGTTTTCTATGGGATTGTCACTCTCTCGAATTACTCACAGTGACAGTCGGGACAATTCCTTCGGGCACATTCGCTACAACGATTCCCATGAAGAACACGATGGCTTTGAGAATAGGATATTCATAAACGATGGCCAGAACGAAAAAGGCGATTCCGACAGTGAATGCGACGACGGAGATGATTCTGATGAAGTGAGAGATCTCCTTGGCCAATGGGGTCGGTCCGGAATCCACTTGCGTCGTAAGAGCGGCGATTCTTCCGACGACCGTCCGATCTCCAGTTCGGATCACGATTCCCTCTCCGGAACCTTCCAGAACACTCGTACTGAACAGACACAGATTCTTGGTCTCCAGAGGGTTCTTGCTTGTGAAATTAGTGTTGCGAGTCTGTGGATCCGATTCTCCCGTCAAACTCGAGTTGTCCACTTTCAGTCCTCTGGCTAGAGTCACTCGCAGATCGGCCGGAACTCGGTCACCTCCTCGGAAACGGACAAGATCTCCCACCACGAGGTCTTTCACTTCGATCTCTCTCGTCGTTTTGTCTCTGACGACAAGCGTCTTCGGAGGGATCATATTGGCGAACGAGTCCATCAAATTCCCGCTCTTTCTGTCCTGGTAGAAGTCGAAGAGACCCGTCACAGTGACGACAGTCGCCAGAATGACAGCCATGTACATCTGGAATGAGTGCGTACAAAAGCATTCAGCAAAAAATATCTCACGTTATCCTTCGGAACTTCCTCGTCTCCGCTCATCGAAAGATCCAGTCCGTATCCGACCGCCGACGCAATCGCCGCGCACCACAGAAGGAAGTTGAAGCCTCCGAACACGGATCCAGCCAATTTCAGCCATTTCGACGTCTGTTTGGGCGGAGTCAATGCGTTCGGACCGTCACGTTTCAGACGAGTATCCGCCTCGGCCTCCGAAATTCCGAACGTTGCCGAGGTGCTGTATCTTTGGAGAAGTGCTTCCAGAGCGATTTCATGGTCATCGATAACGATATCCTTTTTGAGCTCGTCCAGCGACTTGTTTGCCTTCTTCTTCTTGCAGCAGTCGAGCATTACTCACAAGAGAACAATAAAGTCGCAATGAGAAGAGAAACGGAAGACGGAAAAGTCACGTGGGATGCATAATTCCACGTTTTTCAGTGGAATATCACGTGGTGACACTCTATTATCTAATCGACCGATCTAGCATGGTACCCTACTTTTTCCTCTACAAAAGGGGCTCCAAATCAGAAAAACGTCAATCAGAGACTCACTCTCTCCACTCGACTCACTCGACTTGACTACCAGCAACAATGGATCAAATCCCGCCGTACGAGTTCAATAAGTACGTCTTCGCAGCTCGTGCTGCCGTCGTCACGTGCTCTTCGTTCGAGCTCCTCTTGGTGCTGTTCGGATCGCTCGGCGACAGCAACATACTCGCCAAGCTCTTCTACTTCATCTTCCTCGGAGGCGCAGCGGCCGTCTCCGCTCACAACATCGCCCTCAACGTGGACGGTCGTGAGGAGATCAAAAAGGTGCTGGGATCAACGGAAAATGAAGTTCGTGGCCGATCTGCTGCTCTGGTGGCCGTGCCGGCCGTTGCCGGAGTGTTCGTGTTCCTGTGCGTCTCTGGCCACGCTTTCTTCTCGCTCTTCGTGCTCATCCACGTGCTCGCTTCGGTCGGACAACTCGGACTCGAGGCGTACGAAGTTAGCAAAGGAGGAGCCGGAGCCGGAGCCGGGGCCGAGGTTTCGCAGGTTATTCAGCAACCACAAGCCCCGCCTGCTCCAGAAGGACAGCCTCAGGCACCACCGGCACCACAGTGAACATCGAACTATGGTTGAATGACTCATTCTTCGAATAAAAATTTGTGTTTAAAATGTCGTATTGTTTTTGAAATGTTTCTCTGAAAACTTCAGTTCATTATCACCCTTTTTTGCCCACAAAGCCATTTTCTCGTCGTTCTTTTCCATTTACCAGTAGTCATTTTTTTCTGAAAGTTGACAACACCGGTCCATTTCCAAGTCAATTAGAGAGTGTCGGGTGGGGACATGACCTTCCTCTTCTCATCCACAAGTGACGACTTCTTTTCAGTCGCTGTTTGTGTACTACACAGGTACTCGATCCCTCCCGCTTCGCTCGCTTCGTCCTCCGCCCAAATGTAATTAACCCCCGGGACGTTTGGAGTGGAGACCCAGCTATCCCGCATTACCTTTCCGCCAGACGCAGTCGTCATGAAACGCAGCTTACTTCTGTTCCTCTTATCCCTGAAATTCTGTCAAACTCAATATGTCACTCCGCAATACGCTGAAATCAGAGGTACTGTAAGCATTTTCATCCATTTTCTGTACACTTCTCAGTCCTGTTATATTATTCTGAGCTTTCTCTTACCCAAATGAACGTGTTCAGCTGTGTCCGCCATGTGCAGCAGTGATGGGATTACTGCTTCGATCGACTTCGACAAGCCGTTCACTGGCAAGATCTACTCGCTCAACTATGCGGCCGTAAATGACTGTCTCTACTACAACAACATCGACAGAGACACCGTTCTCTTCTCAATTCCAGCTCACATTTGTGGGACCAAGTTACAAAGAACGACAAGAAATGTAAGTGTTGACCTCAAGATTCTCGAACAAAGACGTCGTCGCACTACTACTGGCAACCGCCAATTATTTGGAGCGATGAGTTTGCATCGCGCACAAATTATTGGTGAAAGTAGGACAGTGACATAATAGGGAGTGTGGGTTTCACTTTTTGATCGTTCCTTTCTTTTCTCCTTTTATAATTTCGACTTCAGATGATCGATCAGATGGAGAATAGAGTCTATGTGCAGATGGACAAGGACACGCAGACGTCTGCCGATAAACAATTCTCATTCGTGTGCAGGCTAACCGACCCGCTTAAAGGGTGAGCGAATAATGAGAAAGCAGAAGGAAATAAGTGAATTCAGGGTGGCGAAAGACAATGGAGAGGCCACGAAGGATTCGTACCAGCAGGAACCGATCCGGCCGGTGGCAAGCAGTGTGAGCACCAAAATGCACTCGAGCCTCATGCCCATCAAACCGGTAGAACGTGTTTTATTGTAATTTCAGAATCACCCAGATGCTCTTTTCAGTCAGAAGTGCGTCAAGTGTCCGCATTCTCTCGTGACTCCCATCTCGGCAACTGGCCTATTCCTGGAGCAAAGCCCTACGAACCTTCGATGAAGCCAGTTTCCACTTATCCAATGTCTCCAATCTCTCCAGAAATATCCAGTGCCACTCATTCCAAAGATGTCACCGAAGGCTACGTGACCCGTCCGATCTCCTCAGTTGGGCTGACTCCGCTTCCCGCGCCCCTCTTCCCCAACATCCCACCGCCCCCTCCAATTCAGAGATCTCCTCCAGCTGTGGCTCGAGTCTTCACCACTTCCACTCCTACTCCGATCTTCTTCACTTTTCCCACTTCCACAACTCCTCCGCTTCCTTTCCCGATCATTCCGAATGTGCATTTCAAACAAGGCGTCGGAGTTCCATTTGCCCCGGTCACTGCGCCTTCCACCAAAGTGGATGCCTCCAAATGGAACGACCCGAATGCCTATGCGACTGCTCCAACTATCACGAACAGTTTCGACTCAACCACTCCGAAGCCAGAAGAGAAATCGTATCGGGAACAACCGCCAACCGCCGATGCTCCATTCTCATCCGATCATTTCAATAACAACAATAATGAGATTGTAGAGCCGACCAAGACTGCAGAATCGGAAGTAAGAAGACCGCAGGCGGATGATCCGAATCGACACACAGTCACTTCTGTGCTCAAAACGACCCAAGAGCAGCAGATTGAGCCGGAAGTGACACTTGAAATCCAAAGGGGAGAAGGTCAGTGACATCCGGAAAAGGTATTCAATTGAAATGTTCTATAGGCCCATTTGCACCGCCCGTCACAACTCCCATCAAGATTGGGGACAATATTTCGCTTGTTGTTAAAGCGAAGAGTTATTTGAATGGTGAGCAGTGAGCATCAGTCACATTCAATACGAATCTCATTCAGACACTGATCAGTTCGATATGTTCGTCCATTCGTGCTTCGCAACGGACGGTAAGGGGACAACGAAAGTGCAAATGATAGACGAGAACGGGTGAGTGACTGCTTCGTTCCCATCCGAATCCTTTTTCATTCTTTCTTTCAGCTGCGTCATCCGTCGGGAGTTCGCATCCCCTCTGCACAGGGCCAAAGACGCCGAGCAAATTATGTTCTACTATGTCATGATCAAAGCGTTCAAGTTTCCGGGGCCAGACGACGTCTACTTCTCCTGCACAATCGAGTTCACTCCCATGACGAAAGCCCCGAATATCTGTTCGAAATTGCGGAGGAGGAGGGAAGTTCTGGAACCAGGAACTTCCGAAATGCGCTTGTTCGACAGTGTCAGCGTGGAGTTGGAGGACGGAGAAACGAGTGTGAAAACAGGTGAGAAGCCCAGGAAAGGATTCGGAACTCATCCTTTACATCCAGACAAACTTTCCCCTTCGTCTGCTTGTGACACGGAAAATAATCTCTACGTGCTGGCTATCGTCGTTCTCTTGGTTTCCGTGACGATCTCACTCATCTCCAATCTCTATCAGTTTATTAAAGCACATTCTAAACGATGACAGCTTCTTCTTCTTATTCTTCAATTCTCTTTCTTTTTTCTGTACTGCGGGTTTCTATGAACTCTTTTTTGTCATTCCGCTCCTATGAAATTGTATGCTTCTTCAATAAAATCAGCCGATTTTGTGGATCAGTTTCTTTCAAGCCTCCCCAATCTACCATTGAGATTCTTTTGGGATTCTTGGAATTATTCTATTAAGTTCCTCTCGTCCATTTTTTGCCCTTTCAAACCAGAAAAAACGTTGCCGAAAAAGAGAGAAAGTGGGATACGAATCACGTCATAACGGAATGTCCTTTTTCGAACAGACACACACTTTCTATTTGCTTACCAAATCACCAGATTCAAATGTGTTCGCGCCACGCTCGTGATCAAGGGCGACAGTTTTTAAATCACTTTTTTCTGAGTTTCTACTCTACCCGGATAATAATTCAATTTATAGGTACTAAGAATATCTCTATCAACGAAAATATAGGTCCCAGTGCTTTGTGTAGACATTCTGATTTTTTTTCTGTGTTTTTATTCGATAGAGACTGGAGATACCTACCTATAAGCTTCTTTGCCCAAGTCAATAACATTTTTTGAAACACTGGATCACAAGTACGGTTTTGGCCACCCGGAATCTTTGCAGTCCCCGCCCCCTGCAAGCCCTTTTCAATAGGTCAGCCGATGTTTGTGAACCGATCAGTCGACATCGTTATCAGTCTCTTCCAGTGCTCGCCCCTTCCCGCAGTGCCAGGCCGTTGATTGACCCTCTCGCAGTCTCTTTTCACCACTCTCTCCCGACGTGTGACGGTCACTTCCCTTGCCTCAGATGGCACCTCTTCTCGCCTGAAATCTCAAATTTTTCTCCTCTTTCTCCCTCGTTTTCTCACTCACTCTCAAACAAAGAACATTTCGGTAACAGCCGGCGGTCCTCTGCTTCGTCGAAGGTTCTGGTCGCACGCGCGCGAAAAACTAATGGTTTTTTCGATGTATGCCAGACGGAGGCAAAGAAAGAAGTCGCAGAAAAAGAAGATGACGGAGGAGAAAGAGGAGGAGGAAAACGGAGTTTGATGGGCGCCAGATTCGCGCGCGCGCCGGAGACTCATCGGGAGGGTGTCCTTCGAAAGAACGGACGGAAGAGGGCGCCTTTGATATCTCCTCACTCAACTCGATCTTTCTCTCCGAAAAAAACAACGTATTCAGAAACATTCATCCACATTCAATCACTCCTTTCCCTCTCCCTCCCTCCCTCTCTCTCTCTCACTTCTTTCTAATGGTTAGACAACTTTGTTTGATCACAGACTATTCCCTCAAAGACCTTCTCCATAACCATAGGACCTTTCCTCACTACGCAATAACCTTCCAATGTTATCTCCAATTGTGCACGTATTGCTCGGGGAAGCAATAAGATAACAGTAGTCTTTCTTCTTGTGCCTTATCGATCATTAATTAGTGATTGGTCCTTGTCAACCCACCCAACAGTCATAAGTTTGTCCAGTTACCAGTGTCTCACCGGACGGGTCCGTATCAGACTGTTCGGCGGCCCGCCTGTCTCGCACACAAACGAATCGGCCAAGTTGCGTTGTTGCGCAATTTACGGCTCTCCAGGGATCGGATTACAGCCGACTGTTTGCCCCGGGACGTCTTCCCCTGCGCTCTGTTGGTCGCCTTCTCTTATCGATCATTCAATAACAGCGTGAAGCAATTCGATGCAAACACGCCTTCATTTAGCCAGCTTCTCAAGTTGATTTACATAGTGGCATTCGTATTCTGACAAACAGAAAGAGTCCCTCCACTGTTTATCATGCGCCTAAAGTTTATCGGACTTTCCCCGTACGGTAGTTGCTCTCCCATCTAGTCATCGTCGACGACCTTTTCATCCATTATTCAAGCCAACAAAAGATTGCATAAGGGTGCACTACGGGGACCCTTGAACGTGTTCAGAAAACGTCTGTCACTCTGTCCTTACACCCACCCCTGCAGGCTCATAATACCATTCATGGTCGGCTAAAGCAAGGTCAAGCAGCTGCGCGTGTCCCCTCCCGCTTGTGAGGTCTTCTCACCCCGGTGTGGTCGTTTCGGGTCTCCCTAGATCCATCATCCCGCCCGTTGTGATTCTCGCCTCCCAAAAGTATAGCGGTCCCATGCAATTCGGCCAACTCTCGTCATAACTTTCGACGCAATCCACCCTAAAAGTGCATGCCGCACAAAAGAACAACAAGTTATGTTTATCTAGTTCCAAGAGGCATCAGATAACTGTCAATCTCTCCCTTTGATCCCGCCGATCCACTTCTCTCGTAACTGTTTGTACAAGAATAAAAGCAAGATCGTGTGACTGTCCCAGTCGAACGAATCGGAATAATTAGGGGGGATAAGCTAGCTTCTCACGCGAATGGAGCCATACATTATGTGACGTCACAAGCTGCCTATTTAGTAATCCGTCAGATTTTAGGACTGACTTGACCATTAGTGTGCTCAAGGGTTAGGGTAAATGTTGGTCGACACATTCATCTTGTGTGCAGGCGGGGAGCCCACTATTTGTTTATGGGTCCGAATTAGTGTGGGCCATGTACACTGAACGATAAGAAACGACTGGACAGGCGAACAGAACATACTCAACACCTCCTAATAAACCAAATATTCCTCCAACCCTCTTTCTCGTGTCTTTGTACTGCACTGATTACGTTCTTTATCAAAACTCGAGCTGTGCAGAGCCCAGTCTACATAGTTTTCTAATAAGTTTGAAGTTTCCCATAGTGTGCCGTCAAATACCTTTTGTGGATAGTCAGTTGGTGTCAGACAAAGGGTAAACTGATCCGTTACCCTTAATTAGCGAAAAGTCAACCTGAAGGGCCATGAAAACGTATAATTTGTTCATGAAACTGTAATTAGATGAGGTGGTGACTGCTGGCTGACCGGTTGTCCATCAACGATGTGCGTGTGTCACGTAACACTGGTAATTAGCTGCGACGTCGAAGGTCTCAGCGAGTGCGCAATCGCCCCTATTCTTCGTGTTCCGTCCGGTCACAGTCGGCTCTTTCCCGTTGCATCCTCCGATCCTCCTTTCCGTCGACGTCTGTTGCCCCACTGTCTCCGTCTCCTCCATCTGCCACACTCTCTCCTCTTCTCAGGCCATCCGTCCACCCGGTGTCGGGTTTTTTGGCCAGCGGTTGGCCCTCTCAATGCCCCTTCTCCCTTTATACCGAGTCGGATGAAACGAGCGGTCTCATTGAAATAAGAAACCGAGTGGTATGCACGGTCAACTCCTTCGGTCTGAACCCACTTTCCCCTTTCCGTTGTGTCATCACTAGGAGTCCCACGAGTTACTGCCTCTCCTTGATTGTTATGCACAAGTGAAAACCGTTTTGAATAAAAGTTTGCTCATTCCATTCCATATTCACTTTCCATTCCGATTCTACACTGTGATACCTAGCCGAGTGTGCTAAGTGTAAGAAGGCGCTAATCTTGCATCACTATCTCGCCATCGCATCTGGAGAGGCAGTAAATCGAAGGTGTCGATCTCGTCTCCGTCCTTTTACCCACTCGCTCCCTAGTCGGTCCTTCCTTTCTTCCAGTCTTTTACGTCTGCGCGTCTCTTTACGAGCTTCTGTCCGTCGGAGCAGGATCTCGTCGAGCGGAATAACGAGTATCTTGCTGTCGGCGAAACGAGACAGGTGGTCGACGGACCGGCAGCAAATTAGGCTACTGTCTTCAGAGGGATCAGCTGCCACCTCCGTCTAAACAACCCGCCATCTGCCTCGGATTTCCGAAATCTCCCATGTTTAACTTATTTCTATTTCCCTACTTACAATATTTTTTTTCTTGTAGAGGGCGCCGCAATAATTGAAAATTGAAAACAAAACATTTTACGGTAGTCTAATTACTTTCGGCATTGCAAAAAAGACCTTCTCTGTCTTTTTCTCTTCACTTTTTCCGTGCTGATTTTAAAGGAGCGCGCGCAAAATTTTCGGTGTGGGTCCCGCCACGAACAGCTATGGCCGTAAACTTGTTTCGCCGCAAATCTCGTAATCATCCCTGTCTGTCGGTTGGCCCTTTTCAGTTTCGTAACGACAGCTGCATTCCGCTTTCCTCTTTCCGTTCCGCAGCTTGATCCATCCGCGTATGACGCAATCAAACGGACACTACACTGTCAATTAACTGTCCGGGAGCCCATTGTCCGCCCGACGGACGAGCAGTCACTTGTTCCTCCGTTCTCGCTTCTTCTCGTTGATTGATTTACTCGCTCCCTTCTCATTGTAAATCTCACCTCCGAACATTTATTTCTTGCAGAAAACGGCATCGAATAGGACGACGAGTTGTGCAAAAGCACGTTTTTAGGGTTTCGCCGCTTGTCGGGCACGTTTAGGGATGTTTTCTGCAGATAGCGAGTATTATGATGGTGAGTCTTATTTCTTGCGATAAGCTGTGAAACCCTGATTGTTTTCAGACTTGTATACACAGTATAACATGAACATGAAGGCGACAACGTCAGCCAGCACGAATCCACGTCTATCACTGGACAGTGGTATCGGGCTGACGAATGACTCATTCTACTCGACTGATCTGAATGAGTCTCAGGTATGCTTGTGATTTTGTTTCACACAGTCCAAAGTACATTTTCAGTTGATGGACTTATCGGCGTCTACCGCTTCGGACACAACGTATGTCTTCAAATCGGGTCCTTTGGAATTCTCTCCGCCTACAAAGTGGGCGAGAGTTCGAACGCCTCCGAATCGGAAAAAGTCCACGGCTGCTGGAAATCGAGAAGAGACGAACTCAGATATTAACCTGTTCACTCCTCCATCACGAAAACGAGTCAGATCATTCATGTCTCCTACGGGCTCATTGAGAACGCCCGACTCCTTACGGAAATCCATTCGGATCTCAAGTCCTTCACCTTTCAAAGTGACAATCAGTAAAACGCCTCTCAAGTTGTCCAACAACGAAAATGTCACCGGTAAGTTGGTCAAAAGTTTCTTCACGATTTTACTATTCGAGTTTCAGGTTTCCATATTGGAAAAACAGGGACTTACTACAACAAAACTGTGTCTGGAAGTGCCTCGAAACGGTGCTTGTTGCATGCGCGACCCGATGGATTCACTGATTTGAAATCACCAAACTCTGACGTGAGTGGCTTCAGATGAATTCAATGATCGTCGTGTTCTTCTAGGTACTCGACCTTCCTCTGGAAGCGGATTTCGACGATTTCGGCCTTTTGTTTCCAATCATAACCCCGGAGAAAAGCAACAAGGTTTTCGAATCAACCGATGATGCGATGGATTACCATCAATATGCTGGCATGATTGAGAATGGAACCTACAATAGCTGTCCTGCTTCGGCTCCGGTCTTATCAGTTCCTCTTGCATCTTCAAGAGAAGAACCTGTTTCAAAAAGCACTCCGCTTGCTCGAACAGCATCCCGCAATCTTCTGAAGACCAACAAAGAGTCATTTGCAATCGTGACTCATCATCCTCTCCCAAATGTCCAAAAAGAGGCGGAACACATGAATCTGTTGAGAGCAGAAGCCGCTAAATCGAAAACTGAACTAGTACAGAATAAATTACCGTCACAATTGAAGAAGCAGTCGGTAAAAGACGAGATGGTTCGGGAAGCGAAGGAGAAAGAGATGCAAAGATGGAAGAAGACCCCGTTCGAAACACCAAAAAAAGAACTTCCATTGGTAAGCAAACAGGATTTCAGAAGATCAAAAGTACGAGAGTCACGTATTCTTTCGAAAATGTAGTTTCAAGCTTTTAATCTCCAGTCTCCAACATTTTCAAAATTAGAAAGTTGTGTGATTTGTAGTCAGAAACTCGGCTCGAGTGTCGATGCAATTACTCTATTTACCTGGCTCTCGGCTTCTGACACTGTTTTACCATGTTGATCAACACAAGTGAAAAGTGGGAAATGAACCGATTGTTTGCAGTACTCGGGTCGCTGGCTCGTCATCTCCACCGGCCGCACTCTCGCCCAACAGGAGCTGCTCTCCGACGCCAGGAACTTTTTCCGTACTCACCGCCCGTCGCCGTCACTTTCTGCTCTTCCGAAGGCTCCTGTCGCACGACGCATCCCAACAATTGCCCGCGTTACCCTGTTCAAGCACCACTACCGGTCCTTTCGTGTCTGAGATTTCAGATAGACACCTAGTCTAACTACGATGTGGTTGTTCATAGTACGCTTATTGCCTTTCTATATATTTGCACCTCCTCGCCAGTATTATCACACTGCTATTATGGCCCCGACGTGGCCAGACGTACTCGGGTCCCTTGCGAGATCCTCTCGAATATTGTCCATCTTCCCCCCGTGATTTGATGATTATCCATCCTGTTCATCCATTCCGACCACTGTATCTATTCTGATATTTTTTTGCACCTTGATAATAAAATCTGACATTCCTTCCCGTTCCTCAAACCCGCTGTGTTGCTTTTTCTGCCAAGTATCTTGTCCTCCCTACGCTCTTTGTCCCCTGAAAAAAATCCGTCGCTGTGTTTCTCACCGACTTCAATAAGCGCTTTGGCATACAAGTCTGATACCGTTCTTCAAAAAGTTTCGGCAAATAGCAACTTTTGGTCTCCGAGCACCGCCATTCCTCCCGCCCATTTTGTGCTCGGTCGAGCAGACGTGCAGGTGCTCCGCGGCGCCATCCAACCACCAAATCTGATGCCTTCCGCATTTCTAGTGCCCCGTGCGATGGCTTTCGTCGGACTCGTTTGGGTGAGTTGCACGTGACCGAATACGGTCGTAAAATTCGGAAAACCGTCTCTTCTGGCGTCGCACTCTCTCGTCGATTGGGTGGGAAACAGGGCCGTTCGAATGACAAAACGGCTCGACCTCTCCAACTTGCCAGCCGACAAACGCACAAAGTCAACGCGCTCCGATTGAAACTTCGACCGTACGCTCTGCTGTCGTTCAGTTAATCCCATTAAAACGGTTTCCTTCAAAAAACCTCCGTTTGCTAATTAATTAATTCCCATCAATTTCGTCGGCTACGGTGGATGCTGTGCCGACCAATAAACCACTCGAATTGTGTCCCGAAGGTCGCCTTTTCTGCGTCAAGTCTCTGAAATCTGTCGTTTTCGTGCTTCCTCTCCCTCCTTTTTCTCCATTTTTTCTTCTGCTCTCCGACGCCTTCTCTCTCTCTCTCTGCCATTTTTGTTTTGTCGCCCTAGAAATGCGCATAAACACGCGCACGTCCGTCTATCTTCTCGGATTCTCCGTTCTCTCGTCAGGTGCGTGTAATTTGAGAGATTTCGTCGTTTCCGCTGAAGCCGATTGGTGGCTCCAGCACAAAGATTTCAGTTTTTTACTTGAAAAACCAAGACCGCTTTGGATTTCGCACAAACTAGATACAAATATCTATTGGCAGTTTGGCACTTCATAACTCATACCGTAACCGTGATTTTTTATAGTCTCGCTGTATTCTTCATATCAGCAGCTAAAAACGTAACTGCACTCGGAATAATATAATGCTGTTCACAGAAGTAGTGGCTTTGCTATTTACGTAAGACTCCAAAACGTTGTACCCGTTTTGATTCATTCTCATCTGGCCTAACCAGTTATTTTATGGTCCCGTTAGCTTTTGCTTTAGTTCAAACATCAATGTGCAGTCCAACTCTTTCTATTCAGTTTAAAACGAACGAACGAACGGTTTTGCACTTTTCCACCAGCTGAACAACTTTCAAACGTGTTTGCGCATTCGAAGCAGTCTTCTCTTCTCTCTCCTGACCTCCATTTCTCTTTTGCATCTCATCATGAACGAACATCCATTGTGCTCAAAAGTGCACCGAACGATTATTGGTGCTGCTGAAGAAGACATTCATTGGACGAGCGGCTCCTCTCATAAATTACAAACGTTGTGGTGATAAGCGACCTCGGCGCCCCGACCGCCATCAATCAGCATTCGCAACGCAAGTGTTATTCTTGCGAGTCCATTAGTGTCCTCGTGGCTCTCTGATAACGCTCTGATTGATAGCGAAGCAACCGATTAGCGATGAGGCACGAAGCACGTACGGAAGGTGCTTCCAGTCGTTTCTAGACTTTAAAAGCGATATTTCCAAATGTCCTCAACCTTTCTTTCAGTTCTAATTTTCACTTTATCGCATAGGAATGAGTCACGAAGCGTATTACTCACAACACTTGTTTTTGGCAAATCTAATTTTCTCGCAGATCCATTGAGAATTCAATATTCAAAGCATTTCCCACGAATTTTTACTGCCTTTGCAAACAAATTTCTAGAGATCATTCCAATCACAAAAAATTAATCCGCGTGATAGCGAAGCTTGTGGGTGTGGGAGACCCGTCTCCTTCCGTGTCCGGCAGATACTTTGATCTTTTCTGTGCAGACAGGAATGAATTCACATGTTCTGTTCGGTGTGCCATTTGCAATATGATCATTCAGTCCGATCATCCAACCACGAAATCAGTTCTTCCCGAACGCAATCTTAATAGGATTAGGCCTCGCTTCAAAAGTTGTCCATTTGTGCCTTGTTGCAACTTATCGGAGAAGAGTTGCAGAGCGCGACGCACTCTGCGTGCCGCTTTGCCTGGAATTAGGGAACATTGTCTGCCATCGTGTCGAATGGAATTTCCTCGTTTCCCTCTCAGCAAACACCTGCCCTTTGACGAGTTGTTCTCACGCAAACAATTACTTTCCTTCCTTCCAGATGGTGCACTCCGACAACTCGACCGATTCGGCGGCCATGAACAACAACACCATCCTCACCAACCAGACACAATCCCTTTCTCAACAGTTGAGCCAGTTGACCGGAAACACACTTCCGCAGGTCGAAGACGTTATGGACGCGTGGCTTGGAGTGAGCACGCTGCTCTGTTCCTTCTCAAACACCATTCAATCTTTTCAGAAGCGTCAGTGGGACCTCACCAGTTCCGTCAAGTTCGATCAGGAAGTGCTCACGCCCCTTCGCAATCTCCGTGTCGCCCTTCTTGTCGTCGACTTCCAAAACGATTTCGTCGACGGATCGCTCAAAATCGGAGATGGAGATGCCGGGCAAGACCCAAACAAAGCGATCAGTCCTCTCAATGATCTACTCCAGAAGGACGGATGGGATCTGGTTGTGTACACGAAGGACTGGCATCCGCACAATCATATCTCCTTCCTCAGCCAGGCACACAATTCGGACCGAGAAATGGACAAAGCGGATCAGAATCGGACGCTGAACTACTTCGATTCTGTTCAATTCTTGAAGCCGATCAAGACCGAGCAGATCCTTTATCCGGACCATTGCATCCAGGGCAGCTGGGGTTCGGATATCCATCCGGAAGTGAGAATCGTTGAGAAGTCACAATATATCATGAAGGGAGTCGACCCATATCTCGATTCGTACAGCGCTTTCTTCGATAATAACGGACGCTCAAAGTAGGAAATGAAGCATCTTTCAGTGATTGCAAGTTTTGTTCTAGAACCGAATTGGAAGATGTACTTCACCGGGAGAACATTGATGCCGTCGTTATTGCTGGTCTCGCGTACGACATCTGTGTTCGATTCACTTGCCTCGACGCTGTCAAGCAGAAATTCTTAGCCGCCGTAGTTCCGGAATGCAGTGCCGGACTAACGAAGAAGGGTATCGCCGAGTCAGAAGAGGCATTCAAAAAGAACGGCGTGGCGATCATTTCGAAGGACGACGCACAGAGCATTTCGGAAGGGGGATATCTGCCGCAGGAATGGGTCCGAAATGTGGCTCTCGGAAAGCGTTTTGTCTAATTTACCGCATAATGCATGTTTCATACAACTTTCAATAAACACGTCTTTTGACGAAAACAAAATCAGTAGCACCTCTAATGTCGCTTTCAAACTTGTGGATACTTTGCTTTTTCGAGTGTGCCAACAACACTCCGAAATGACGCGGCCGTGTCATTGGTAAAACTTCGGCTGCGGTGTTGTGTACTCCGGGTGGAGAACAGCTCGAGTGCTTGTTTACGGCTGGTTTAGTCTTTCTCAAAGATCAGCGTGAACAAAAATGTCTGTATTTTAAGAATATGCGTTTTCATATGTTGCATCTTTTTTAAAGCTGTTCAATTTGGCCAGTGAAGAGAATCACTCGGCAGAACCATTCAGATGTTCGTTCCAGTTTATTTCACTGAAAATTTTCACAAAAATTTCTTGCAATACCCTGTTTGACCCTGATCATCATTTTCGTCAATTCTAATCAGTATATTTTATCAGACCTGAAAAAGCAGCCCGCACATGTCAAGAGATGTGAGCTTATCGCCGAAATCGGCTGAAATCCGATTTGGCTATGGCGGAACATCGAATGAGCCTATAAACGTGGAAGTCGTTGATGAAGAGCAGGTGTGGTGAGCTTCATTGGACACATTTAAAACGCGAAAATTATCAGGGAAATGCATTGAGTCAGCTCGGATTCTCTGTCACAATGTCGACGTCCTTCGTTGCTCCAGAAGAGCTCTCCGAATCGATCGACGATCTCACAATTTCTAAGGTAAAATCAATATATTAATGAGGAGCCGAAAAGTTTTTGAAATAGGACAAAAAGAAGATGCGGTCTGGAAAAGCGCCAGAAGACATTACTCGCAAACGGAAAGACACGACCAACTCGATCACTAATTTCTTCCATCGTTTTACTCGTGGCGACCGAGAAGAAAAAAAAATTGTGGAAGAAGAGGAAGAGGAACACGTCGAACGTCCCGAAAAGCTCATAAGTCCGGATTCAGAAGAGAAATGGTACGAATCGAGGCCGTTAGTTGGACAAGTTTTCGGTCACGAAGGAGATGCCGACGTGTACGAATGGGGAGAAAACATGACGGAAACTCTGGTCCGAGAGCCCTTGCCACTTGACCCGAACAACGGAATATTCGAAGAGAAAGGAATGCTGAAACTTCTGGAAGAGTTTAGAAATGGCGAGCTGCGATGGCTCGATGAGCCGCAAATTTCCGCGATGGGAAAAGTGAAAGAAGCTCATGAAGACATTTCAAACATTCATCTCAAAGTGTACGACATTGAATCGGCGCGGAGGAAGAAGAGAACACAGGAGAGGAAGGAGAGAGAAGCGTTCCAATTCGTGAGGTTTCCTGGGAGTTTCCTGACTAAAATAAAGTTTTCCAGTCTGATTCGGATGATTCGGAAGAAGAGCGTAATATTGAAAAGCTCTTCGAAAAGATGAATTCCCGAATGCTGGACATGCATTCCGCCCTTGACACGGTCCCTTTTTACGACGCTTCGCAGAATTCTCAAAATCGTGTCGACAATGACGAGGAGTACTTCTCCTCATAATCATAATACTCATTTTTCCATTCATTTTTTCTACTCTCATTCTAGTCATTTTTTCCGCATCCCCGTTTGCACACTCACCCGTTGAATTATTCGTATTTCCTCGCCTTTACACTTTGCATAAATGTATATTTTTCAGAGTTCGATCACAGCTGAATACGGATGTCGGGATTTTTCTCCAAACTATTCCCGGGCAATTCTTCTAGCTCGACGTCCAACAACACAGATCTCGGAAGTATGGAATCATTGTGCGTCGCCATAAACGAGCTGTGCAGAGAGAATGCAGGTTGGAAAGACCAGCAGAATCAAAACAGAATCTGTTTTCCAGATCATGTGGGCGAAAAAGCCGCCGATCTGGTCCGCAAGAACAAGGATCTGTTCGAGAAGAAGCCGAGCGACGTGGAGGCGTTCCTTCTGCACTGCAGTCCGCACGTCGGATCCGCTGCGATGGTGGCCGCCATCAAAGGGATGTTCGACGCTTCGGCAGCCAAGAACAACGAGACGGGAATGGACAGAGCCGTCGAACTGCTGAATCACTACTACGTCGCCGAGGAGAGCAGCTTCGTCGGAGAGCATCTCAAATACGTACCTGAAATCAGTAAGGCATCTTCTCCATTTTAACTCTAACCTTACACATTTCAGTTTTTCCACTTCTCCGCAGCATTGGAATCTATTGTTGGGAGAAGAAGAACAAGCCCGAAATCGGACAGAGAATTATTCTGAAAGCACTCAACTCCATGTACCCCCGTGGAGAGTACTGCTCGAGAGTTCTCACTTCGGCGCACAGCGTGCTCTTCTCGTGTGCTCTGAAAACGAAGAACTATGCGGAAGTGGAGCCATTCATCGATGTGCACATTGACGAAGTCGCCAACGAGAAATGCGTGGCCGACCAGGCTACGGAGGACCCAAACGCTCTCATGAGCAAATTCTCTAAGGTTATCCTTTCAATTCCAATCTTCCCCTTATTCCATGGACGTTTTCCAGAAAGGCCACCTCGGTAATCTGTCCACCCTTCTGCAACCAGTTCCATTCCTCAATCCCAAGTTTGTCCTCGAATACCTCTACAACGGCGCGTGCATTCTGATCGAACTGAAACGATACGAAGACGCCTTCCTTCTGCTCGAGAACTGCGTGTCGATTCCGGCTCATTCGGTGCAGGATCAGCATGTGGATGGATACAAAAAGTAAGTTTGTAGGCTGTAGAATAGAGCAAAAGATATTCGGTGCAGGTTCGTACTTCTCTCTCTTCTTCTGAACGGAAAGGTCATCGACTTCCCGGAGAAGCAAGTGGGAGCCCGTAATTCAAAATCAAAGACGAATGAATACAAGATCTTCGCAGAGGTCAAGTTCTCAAGGAGTGGAAATACGCCAGCGAAACTGGAAGAATTGATTGGAACATTGAAAGAGAGGCTGAAAAACGACGGAAACCTGGAACTCGCGAATTTGGTCGTGAACGAGATGAGAAAGAAAACCATTCTGTCGCTGACGAAGATGTTCGCTTCGATTCGGCTGACAGACATCGCACAGCTGGCACATATCGCATCGCCAACTGAGACGAACACTCTGATCAAAGAGTTAGTGGCCGAGCAACGGATTACTGTACGAGAAGAAGACGGCTTCGTCTTCTGGGAGGCTCTGAAGCCTTTGCCAACAAAGACCGACGTCGAACACAAAATAAAGACGTGAGTGGTTTGTTTCTGTTTCCCCAATAAGTACTGTCTTTTAGGGTGAACCATCTGAACGATCTCCTCATCGCAAAGAACCAGGCACTGAAGACGAACCGTCTGAAAACGGCAATATTCAACGAGGACGAGGGACTCAGCATGCCAGCGCACGACCAGTAATCCTCTCAGGCTCCGTTTTATCCGAACTCTCACTGTCTCTCTAAATCCCTCCGTCGGGTTCTCCTTCAATACTCTTCAATCTCTCCTTTCTTACAATCATGCATATAAACTTTTCCTTATTGAAAATTGAGACTATTAAATAAAATATTTTTGTGATTTTCGCTCTGACTTCGTATTTTCCTGGTTCGCCACCTCTGAATACCTGAATGGCTAGATTGTCAGTCGGGTGAATGAAGCTTATTTCATTTCTGTTTCTCTCCTCTCATTTTTATCAAATGTCCTCGTTTTTATCGTTGTTTGTCTGTCTACTTGACCCTTTCTCTCTTCCTTTCTCATTGAGAAACCTGTTGTTATTGCTTCACTTCATCGATCGAAACAACCGTATTCTGCCTATTCCCCGATGCCGTACATTCTCATTTCCACCCAAATCCGCATGGAATGTGGTCCCACGATGGTCGGCGACGGAGAGAGCGATCCGAAGTTGATGGAGAAGCTCGAGGCGAAACTGACAAAACAGCTGGGAAACGAGTTTCAGGTGATCGTTTTTCAACAGAAATTGAGAAAAAAGTGTCAGCTGCTAGTGTCTTTCAAGCTGTTTTTGCGAAAGTGTCCTTCTCAATGGCATTTATTCGTCCTTTCAATTGGAATATTGTCAAGTACGCGTCTTGTAGGAATACGTAACAAAATGGTCCCCTCGAAAAGTTTTGGATAAGCTGGAAGAAGAGGGCTGGACAATGGTCGGAATGACGGGAATCGGCCAGACGTGTGCGTGGACTCTGTACAAGGAGAATCCTGTGTGATGTTACAGAACCTGCCGCTCTGTAAATATTTGCCCCGCATTCAAAATAAAGCCTCCTTTTCTTTCTGTTTCTTTGCTTCCCCTTACTCTCACTCACACTCGGCTTCCTATAATTGCTTATTCGCCCATTGACTGACGGCCAACTTCATGGTGCAACTAGATTCCAGCCTTTTCCCAGTTATTTACAGTTTCAGATTGCATTTGCACAGATGAGAATACCGTAAAAGTGCTCGCTCAGTTTAATGGTAATTGAGGCTCAATTACTCTACTGTGAATGTTCGTGTTTCAGGTTCAGACGACAACTCTCGTGAAAGTGGCGGCGGGCGTGTTCGTCATGGGCTCAACTGGACTCTATCTCGCTCAAAAGTCCGTTCAGTGGAAAGTTCGGTCGTTACCGCACTACAACGAGAGTCTCAAAATTGTGCTCGAGCACCCGAAAGCCTTGGTGAGTCCGCCCGAAGCATCTGCTCACCGCTCACTCAAATTAGCCGTTACATATCGATTCTCTCTTCTTCAGGAAGCCATTGGAGCACCGATTTCAGTTGGCAGTGTGGAGCTCTCCGATCGACGTCACAACTACGTGGACAAAAAGAAAAGCAGGGTTGGTTTTTGTCAATTCATTTTTTTTTTGAATTATTCTTTTTTCAGTTGCGGATCCCAGTGACAGGTGTGGTTGATTGTGGTTTCATGGATGTGCTGGCAGTTCGGGAAAGCGAGAAGGAGGCTTTCGAGACTGCGAAAGTGCAACTTCTTCTGAATGACGGAATCTTCACAATTTTCGATACGGGACGATGGAAAGAAGAAGAGAAGCATGATGATTAAGAAATAGTCACAATTCATAGGAAAATTTAGAATTTGTTCGTTTTCAATTGTTTTTGTTATTTATGGTTAGCTGAAATTCAGCTTCAATGAACACGTCAACAATTCCCATCAGTGCAATTCCCATTTGAATGTTCCAATGCGTTCTTACATATCTTTCCCCTCATTAATTTCCTGTTCATTAACCTTTTTGCTCAAGGCGTCGGGTGAAGCCATGGCAATTTCGGAATGGATTCAGGCCTTACAAGGTGACCGAGGGGGATCCTTCCGCCGAATTACCGAACCATTTCAGATGTTGCCTGGCCCGGATTCCTTCAGCCGCACGTCGAAGTTCTTCTGCTCTGGATCACGTGGGCGGTCGATTACATCGATTTGGACTATCTTGAGGTAGGTAAGCCTTATCTTATCATTAGATTCGTTCGCGTCCACTCCCACGTTGCTTCCCGAATACATAACAGTCTCTTGTTGGCTTCATCAGCTGCGAGTCTCCCTTTCCGTCTGCGCTTCCCTCTTTTACACGCTCTCGTCTCTTCCCACTCTTTCTCTCTGATTCGACCCGAAATGGCTCCATTTCCCATTTCCAATGCTCTGCTTACACTAACATCGAAAACAGTGTCGCTCCGATGTTTCAATGGATTCACGGTATTATTCTGAATGGAGCTAACGCTATTTACGAGTTCGTGCCAGAGGTGTCACTTTCAGTTGAAGTCATAGTTATCGATAACATCCGTTTGTTTTCAGTACCTTCTATGGCTGCTCCTGCCGTTCATAATCCTCTTCATATTCCCCATTTTCCTCGTTCTCTTCATCTACGGATGTGTCATTTTTGTTCACATTTACGGACAACGTCATCAGATTCGTGAAGCATATCACACAAGGTGACAAATCGAATTCAACAATTACTCATGTTCTATTTTCAGTTACTGGGAGGGTGCACGAGTGTCAATTGCTTCATTCTGGGACGGAGTCGGAAGTGTGTGGCACGGATATGAACTGCGCGGAATCGAGAATGTTCCGGAGGAAGGACCCGCCCTCTTCATCTACTACCACGGATGTCTCCCTCTCGACGTCTACTACCTCATTTCCAAACTCGTGATCCACAAGAAGCGTTCCCTTCATTGCGTTGGAGACAAGTTCATCTTCAAGATTCCCGGCTGGCGGCCCCTTTGCAAACTGTTCTCGATCACTGCCGGAACTGTGGAGGAGTGCACCGAAGAGCTCAAAGAGGGAAATCTTTTGTGCATTGCGCCAGGAGGAGTCCGCGAAGCTCTTTTCTCCGATCCGAACGTATACGATATCCTGTGGGGAAAGCGGCTCGGATTCGCGAAAGTGATCATCGGGAGCAAGACGCCGGTGATCCCGATGTTTACCGAAAACTGCCGCGAATCCTTCCGCACTCCAGAATGGGGAAGAAGCTTTTTCCGGTGGATTTATGAGAAGACCAAGATTCCGATATGCCCGATTTACGGAGGATTCCCTGTAAAAATGATCACTCATCTGGGAAAACCGATTTATTTCGATTTCGACACTGTCACTCCTGAAGAGGTGGGAATAGAGAGGACACGGAAAACTGAAAAAAGTGAATTGCAGGTCCGTAAAACGGTAAAACGTGAGATTCGTTCGATGATTAAAGAGCATCAGAGACTGCCGGGAAGTGTGTGGCAGGGGATCGCGCAGAGATGGTCTAAGAAGAAGAGTGACGAGCCGGAGCAGGCAGTGAGTATTGTCAGTTCGGAACGGTGCTCCGCTTCTACCGTAACCGCTCCTAACTGCTTTTGTCCGCCAGTGTCAGTTGAAAAACTTTTTTTCTTCAGGAGCTTTTGCAAAGAAACGGAGCAGGAACGACGAGCCCGATGTCGGATTCCGAAGACATCGTCGTTCTGCACAGAGATCGGTCAGGCACCGACGACACCGAAGAGACGGAGGAACTCGGCGGCATCTGATTCCCTCCGTCCTCGCCCGGATCTCCATCCCCGTAATCAATTCATTCTGGTGTTACTTGCAGCTTTTCGATCTACTTGACCCACTGTTCCCACTCATTTAGCGTTTAACTGTGATATTTGTGTAATAGAGCTGTAACAATTTCTTTTTTATTTTCCCACTCATCATTTCGACATAATAAATATGGTTTATTATCTATTTCGTTCAGTTTCCGATGATTCGTTAATCATTCCAAATAATTTATACTTGTTTTTACATTAAAATCGATCAAGCAATAAAACCCAAAGAAGTTATCACAATTATTCTTCTAGTCATCCTTTCCTCCTTTCTTAATCGGAATCTTCACTTCTTCTTCTTCCGAGGCACCTTCCTCTTCTCCCCATCCCCATTCTTCTTCCGGTTCCACATTCTCATTCTGTTCTTCTTTCTGTGTGGATTCTGTATTCACGTTGCTGGCGGATTCGTGAGCCGGAGCATCTCCTTGGGTAGATTCTGTCTGCACATTCTCAGCGCTCGCCGAATTCTCGATTGGTTCTTGCTGATATTCGTATTCCTGCGTGGCTTCTGTGAGCACATTGTCAATGCTCACGGACTCTTCGACGAGAACATCGCGATGCTCTCCCGGAATGATTACGTCAGCATGCTCGGGAATGGATGGCAATGGCGGCTGCTCCAATTTATCAAAACTTGGCTTCTTCTCTTTGACTTCTGCCTTCTGAGTCGGTTTCACACTTCCATTCTGAATCGATATTTCGATCTTCACGGATTTTCCGTCAACTTTTCCTGCCGCCTCTTGCTTCGTTTCCTGCTCCACCGCAATTTCCTCCGCTTCCTCTGGAGTGTCTTCGAGGAAAAATTTCGCGGTACCTCCCTTTTCCGTAAATTTCGCCTTCAGCACCGTATCCAGATTGATATCGGCTAGAGTTCTCTTCTGGAGCAGAGGACGGACGATTTCCTCAATTTTGTCCGCCCCGTCACAAGAAGCAGCGAGCTCCTGCATGTCGAGTTCAATGAATGAGAGCTGAAATTAGACAACCATTCGTTTGTTTTTCATTCGAAATCCTTACGTATTGCTGTTTGGTTATTGAGGAACCGAAAACTCGTGTGACCACAGCCGGAGGAAAGAAAAATGAAACGCATTTTTCGAAGAACGGAGCAAGGCAAGTGCAGACAATTCGGACGGCTCGTGTGAAATTCGCCGAGTTAGAATGGGAGATGGCCAACCAGCTGAGAATTGATCGGACCGAATCGCGGAGCGAGATGACGACTGTGGAGAGTATGACGGGAGTTAGAATGAAACGGAGACTATTGAGAGCATCGACAATAGCATTCGCGTAGACTGTCATGTCATCCCAAAGACTGAGTTCAGCAACCGGCACAGGCGGAGAGTCCGGAGAGGATTCGAACTGGGGCAGGGAAGCAGGGTCTATTCCGATCATGACGATGTCTCGAGAGGATCCAGTGAGACGGTTCGTCGCGTCATGAACGTTTTGTCGGAATCTCTGTTCCACTAATGTGGTCAGCTTCCCAGCAATAAGAGGGCGGAAATCAATTCCCATTCTTCCGAACGAAGAAGCCATCGCCATCAGCTTATTCCACACTGCAGAAAGATCGACTGAAGATCTGAAACGGAAGAAGAATGACATGAAAAATAAAATAGGGAGACTCACTTGACATCCGCCTTCGTGATAAGATCCAACATCTTCTTGACATTTGAAATGGCCCATTGCGAAAGAATAGAATTGGGCGGCAGCACTGGCCACGACTCCCATCTCGGGTCCGCATTCGGCTGAAACACAATATTTATTTACACCTTTCCATTGGAAGTTTTCTCCAATTTCTTCTCGTCTATTAGAAAATTGCATTCTCAACATACATCTTTTCTGACAATTTCGTTTTCTGGGAATACAGCCAGATAGAGGACGAGGGTGTCGTACATGCTGGTTCGGTAGATTTCGATGACTTGCACAATAATATCGCTGCTTCCCTGCAAATTGATTTTTGTTTTGATTTTCTTCTCTCCTCCCACACCCCTAAGCAAAACCACAGTTTGTCTGTTTTCTTTTCAGTCTGAAAATGAAGCTTGGAGACACGGTTCCTAATTTCTCATTCGTTACTAACCTCCGAAAACTCGACAGCCTACACGGCTACATCGGAGACAAGTAAGTCATTAAAGCTAATTTTGCGTCATCCCAGAGTGTTTTAGCTGGCTTATGCTGTTCAGTCACCCGGCGGACTTCACTCCAGTCTGCACTACGGAGCTCGCCGAGCTCGTCAAGTTAACTCCGGAGTTCAAGAAGCGAAACGTGGAAATTCTGGCGATCAGCATCGACTCCGACGAGACTCATCGCCAATGGGCAAAAGATATCAACGCGGTGGCAAAGGGATATCTGAACGCAAACGATTTTCTGCCGTTCGAGATTATCGCCGACGTGGATCGATCAATTTGCACCGAACTGGGAATGATTGATCCCGAAGAGGTGAACGCGCAGGGAATCTGTCTCTCCGCGAGAGCTGTCATGCTCTTTGGTCCCGACAAGAAGCTCAAGGCCAAGATTCTGTATCCGGCCACCTTCGGAAGAAACTTTAAGTACGTACAGCATAGGTTCTTCTCGAGAAAGTACAATATCCTTTTGATTACAGCGAGATCCTCAGAATGGTGGATGGAGTGCAACTCGCTACTAAGGCTCCAGTAGCAACTCCAGTTAACTGGGTCTCTGGAGAGACCGTCATCGCCCAACCGTCTCTGAGCAACGACCAAGTGATCGAGCAGCTCTGCGGAGGGATCGCCGAAAAGTGCAGAACTCAGCCGCTTCCGAGTGGAAAAGGATACTTGCGCTACATTGAAGGAGACGCCTACTTGAAGAACTGATAATCAGATTACGTAACCATTCCGTATATCAACCATTCATGAGCGTGTTTTTTTGTTTTTTTGCTTACCGAAATATCCAAAATTTGCTTTTCCAAATATATATCTCTGTGTTGAAGAACAGCGATTCGCAACTGGTTGGCGGTCAAATATGGCATCTTCCGCACGTTGTTCACCACTTTAATTGATTCGGCCAAATCCAGTGGGCCGGCGAATTTGTTGAAAAGCTCTTCGAGCAAATAAGAACGGGCTTCCACGAGACGATCAGCTACTTTCTGTAGAACAGTCAGAATGGAAACGCCAGGAGGAGAGAGAAGCATACCTTTATCAGTGGATTTTTGTAGAGTTGTGTTTGCTGCTGAAGCTGCATTCCGTAGTTGGTGAGCGTGTAGGCCAGGTCATAGTAGCCGGCTCGTATGCAAATGTCCATGCGCTGAAATACGAGGTTCGCAAGGAATATTTAAAAATTTTTTAAAAAGTAGAACTAACAGAAGGAAGAGTGAGGAGTTCCCAGATAGGATTTGATTTATCTAACGCCTTTCTGACGAGTTCCTGTTCTTCCGCAAGCGTTTTTGCTTTGGTCCTGAACACTTGGAATGCGACAGTGAGCTCTTCTGCTTGTGCCGATAGATCGACGGTTTTGTCTCGCATCTCGCCAAACTGAATGTACACAATTTTTGATCATTTCAAATCGGGAACATACTGTTTTGGAGCAATCATGAGTAGCTCTCCCAGCATCAGCATAAGTTCCATAATTATTGAATGCCAGATCGCTTATTTGTGCGTCGATTGCTTTCAATTCACTTGCGAGCAACACTTTCTGCCGTCCTGTAATCAAATGAATGCAATTTCTATTACCGACTCGTAAGTAACTTACGCATTTCGTCAAGGCCCATATTTCTGATGTCGTCTCCATGTTTGAAATCCATTCGTCTAACTTCTAAAGGAAAGTAGTCTTTTCAGAACGGGGCGAAAAGAAATCGTGTTGGCGCGCCGTAAATCTACCCTCGACAGCGTGTTTGCACAGAGCCCAACAAAGTACGGCGCATTGCGTACGTTGTTTTTGTCAAAAAACTATTTGCAAATTTTGAGCTTTTTTTCATTCAATCTGAATTTCGTTTCGATCCTACAGATAGCTTAATTTTTTTGAATTTTTCAAGCGTTTTACAAGTCAGTATCCTAAAATATCTCAATGTTAAGATAAAATGGCTGATAGCGACATTTGCTCTTCTGCGCTGTACAAGGACAACGCCGAGTGGAAAGATATCACTCCAATTTACCCTTCCAAGGAAGAGGAAGTTGCTGTGAAAATTGCTGTGTCAGAAGCTTGTGAGCTTTTCATTTCCATCATTTTCTATTCGGTTTTTTAGTCATCGACGCATTCGCCTACTTCCGTGCTGTGCTCATCAAGAATGAAAAATCACCTCGGGTGATGGCACTTCTGGAGGACTGTATCCGTCTGAATCCGGCCAACTACACTGTCTGGCAGTACCGACGTACGTGTCTGACCGAATTGAAGTGGGATTTGAAGAAGGAGATGCGTTATCTGGATGAAATCATCCAGGAATCGCCGAAGAACTACCAAGTCTGGCATCACCGTCGTTTCATTGTCGAGTTGATGGGCGAGACTGCTGCTACTGACGAGCTGCAATTCACCGCTGATGTCATTCACGACGAAAACAAGAACTATCATGCATGGCAGCACAGACAATGGGTCGTTCGCACCTTCAAAAGCAAGATTTCGTTGGATCAAGAGCTCTCTTTCGCTCTCCGTATGTTGCTCATCGACAGCCGCAACAACTCGTCATACAACTACCGCTACTTTTTGCTCACTTTGTACGACAAAACAGAGGATAAAGAACAGATGGACATCGAAATCAAGTAAGTTTCCCTTTTCATCGGGAAGGTTCAATTTAATATGACTTTAGCTTGGCGAAGCGGTTCATTGAAAATCTTCCGAACAACGAAAGCGCTTGGAACTATCTTTCCGGACTTCTGATTTCCAACGGAGTCACTTCGAACGTTGACGTCGTCAGTTTCGTTGAAGATCTGTACGAAACGACTTCGGAAGACAAGCGCTCCCCGTTCCTTCTCGCGTTCATCGCTGATATGATGCTCGAGAATATTGAAAATAAAAAGTCGGCCGAGGAAAGCGTCGACAGAGCTAAGAAGGTACGTAATAGTGAGTGAGAACATCTCAAACAATAACATTCCAGCTCTACGAAGATCTCCAATCGATTGACCCGGTACGTGTCAATTACTACAAACATAAGGCTCTTCACGCGCAGAACTTGCTCGCCAAAGGCCAAACGAAAGTGGCCGCTAAGTGATTGCATTCTTTCGACATTCCATGTGTAAATTATATTTTGAATCTCTTCATTTGTCCGTTTGATGTTTCTACTTAGTCAATTAATCCTAATCTTGTTTTGTCTTCACTTTTGTCTTTCGATGGGTTCAGAAACCTGAGTATTTCGGAAATGTTTGGATGCCTAGAAGCCTTACAGACTTGAATCCAGATGAATCAGTTGGACATGAAGACAGTGTTTCTCTTGAATCGCAATGCGAAATTCATCGACAAATGCTACGAATCATTTGATGTATCAGTCAAGGAAGGTCCACAACCGAGAAAATTGCAAATGGATAAAACCATTTGGACGTGGTGTTTGGAAGGAATCTTCGAATTGCACCGCATTCTAAGCGACGTCTATCCAAACGGAAATCTGCAAATACGGTTTGCCGTCGCCGATTTCATGGGAAAAATGTTAGATACCGAATGGAAAGACCAGTTATTGACACGAGCCGAACTGGTCGAACTGATAGAATCAGTGAATCGGCCTTCCTCGAGAGCCACGGATATTTCTCCGCTTGGCGGACTGACAATGGCTATCGAGGCACTTGCCATGGAGACTCCGATGCAGAAAGACGAGAATTACGATGCAAAATACAATAATAGTACGTATAACTACATACGTCCGTGTTTCAACTGTGGTTTTCAGAAAGGCGGACGCCTAGGAATTCGGAGGTGATGCGCTTCAAAGAAGAATTGGCCGGTTCGGATTCATCCTTCGGCGTTATGAACAACGGAAATCTCATCATTTATACGCGTCTAAAAACAGAAAAAGAGATGGATCGGCTGAAAAATGATGTTGCGAAACTGGTGGTATCACGCAATAAAATTGCACGCTCCGATTCAAACAAAACGTACGAACGCATGAATAGCTATTGCGTAGCGTTTTCGAACATTTCAGATTTAGCCCGATCACCTCTCTGCGAGTATTCATAATCAATGTTTATGCGACCGGAGAGAAGTGCACTGTGAGGACGCATCCTTTGAAAGAGCAACCCGGAACGGAATTCCTCAAATTCTGGGTCATCTCCCGGAAGGCGGTAGATATGCTCGACGCCATTCATTCGCTTCTGCTGAATGCATTCGACCTCGCCTCCACGACCGTCACAAAGATACCGATGAAAGAGGACAATCGGGACTGCACGAAGTACGACGTCGAACTGTTCCATTCGGCAACAGTTCACAGCATTCTCCGGAAGACCAAACTGGCTCAGGTGAGAAATTACACTTCTGCAAACAGAATAATATTAAATCTTGCAGAGAGACGAACAAAAGGCATACGCAGATTCGGGGTTGACTTACGACACGATGATGCTGACATGGATGACTGCTCCGAAGACGAAATGGTCACTTGTGGGTACTTCCCTTTCATTCGCCCTAATTGATGTCGCTTTATCAGTTCCCCAACTACCGATCGTCGGTCCCATTCACAACAGTGCAAGCGTACTCTCGCCCTTCGGCCTGTTTGACCCAATTCGTTCGCGACGGAAGATGTGTCATGCTTGATCTCGAGGTAGATTGGCCCCTTTAAGTGCAGCTCCTATGACATCTTTTCAGAAAACGTTGACTCCCGAAGTTAATGTTCCTGATAAACTCGTTTCGCACGTTCTTATGTCGAACAGAGGAAGAATATTTATCCAGGAAATAGATTTTACGAACAGCAGTGAGCACTTTCCAAAATACCAATTTCCATTCTCGCCCGAGATTATTCAGAAAGACGATTCGTTGGAAAACTGCTAAGACCGGAACGGTTACGTCGTCCGAGAGAACCGCTGAATATGGGTCAGTTCAAACACATGCTGAAACAGGTCGAGTTGAGGTTCGTGGCCAAAGCCCGGTTGGAAGAGAAAACGGAGAGCAGGAGGCGCACAGACATCGAGCAGCGGTTGCTTCAAATCTCTAAAAATGTTCCGAAGTTTGCGAAAGACACGTTCATTTTCCATGAAATTGTGCGAAACGAACTCGAACCCCTGATTACCACAATCACTCAATTCACTCTCTCTTCATATGACCAGGAAAAGTGCAGAGAGACAGTGATGAAACTGCTGCAAATGCGAACTCAGCGAGAACTGATCATTCCCGCGACTGCGAACATCGGACTTTGTTCGGTTATGGATCTGGCGGACGCTTCAGAGCAAATGCGGGTGGCTCTTGTGGAACTGGCAAGGCACATTATGAAGTATACAAAGTATTCGGATGCGCACGCGAATGTTTACAAAACATTCATGGCGACATTGAACGTGGATAAGCTGATGAGCGTGGATTTGGAGGATGAAGATGTGGTTGACAAGTGAGTTGCTCTGAAGGTACGAGTATTATCAGTGAGAGTGCTTCAGGCAATTTATCACATTCCCATTTTTCGGACAAGACGATTCGACAGACGGACTGTCTCCACTGGAGATATTCATGAGGAAACGGAAGATAGACGCTGATGAAGACATAGGCGGAGCCAAGAAATCAATAAAAAAGGAGAAGGAGAAGCCAGTTATACAGGGAAAAAGTGAGCCAAGAATGAAAGGACATAAAGGATCAGTTCCTTTTCAGAGGTAAACATCAATATCTTCGCGAAGATGTGCGCGGTGATTGGACAGAAAGAGAACGACATACGGCGGGAGTTTGTGGGAAGAGAAAAGTTCGGAAACAAGGCGATGCTCTACGCGAATCTGCTCGACCGGAACGACAGACCTTCCAGCCCAGCCGACAGAATCAGAAACAAAGATCGAGGAGGATCGGGTACACCACCACCGGGTCGCAGACCATACGGGAAAATCTAATTGTTATATGGGTATTTTGAAACGTGTCATGTTCTTGAAATGAAAAGTTTCTCTAAAATGTGCTCGTTTGTGTTCTTTTTGGTCAATACTGCCATTAAATAACTTACATTGTCAGCTTTTTGTTTCTTTTTGGCTACGTTAGATTCTCAGATGGAGGACGAATCCAATCTGCTTCTGAGAGTGGATCACGTCAAATACAGAAAAGCGGGTGATGGGCGGTCTCCCATCGGACGCCTGTCCGTCTATCGAGAGTACACCGAGTGGAGAGACAACACGAGTCCGGAAGTCCTCACTATCAAATTCACTCGTATCATAGGTAATCACTCACAAGGAATGCTTTCGAAATGCATTACTCGGTTCGTACCGAGACTGAGAACCTCAAAATACAAGGAACACTCTTTTGGTGTTTCTTACTTTTTGATTCTACATTTCGAAGTCATCCCTTGCACCCATTGTTTTTTCCGTTTTTTTTTTCGTTTTTTTACGTCAAAAACCCAATTCAGCGATGTAAAAAAACGAAAGAAACGGAAAACAAACATACGCTGAATAGCCCCATAAGAACTGCCTAAAGTTTGGTTTTAGGTCAGAGAGTCTCTCCTCCGCACAAATCGAAAGTGCAGCTGCAGCTGAGTCTCCAGAACGAGGATCAGGCGACATTCGTGTTCTTGCGACCAGGCGCTTCGAAAGAAGAATTGATTAACGAAAGAGATTCTGTGAAAGAGACACTGCAGCAAGCACTTATTGCCCACCGACAGCACGTAAAAGAGCTGGCGCAATCGAACGAAAGCCAGATGAAGGACACGGAACTGAAAGAGAAACAAAAGATTCTCCGAGAGGATCGTAATCTCGAAAAGCTCTATCAGAACTTGGTGGCGACGAAACTGATTACTCCGCAGGATTTCTGGCAAGACTACTACCAACAGGAAGGAGTTTCCGAGACTAAGATCGGAATTAACGGAGCATTCCTCGCGAACATCGTGCAACAAGAGGGAACGAATGGGGTCAGACTCAACCTCAATCAGGACATCATTCAAGCTATTTACACCACGTATCCAGCCGGTGCATTCTGTTCTTAAAAGGTCTCTGTTCTTACTCATCTGATTTCAGTGGACAAGAAGTTTCACGAATTGGTTCCTCATGAGATGTCCGAGACAACGTTCTGGACGAAGTTCTTCCAGTCGCATTACTTCCATCGCGAGAGAGACGTTCTTCCGAATCCGAAGGACCCTTTCGCCGATTGTGTCAAAGAGGATGAGGACGAGATGAAGAAGATGTCGAAGGAGGAGGTTCATAGAAAACGGTTCGATCTGGATCACATCGACGATAACGCCTTGAAAGATTTCGTGCATGTACGGTGAGAGGTGTATTCTCCTAATCGATTGTTCATTTTCAGAAAGAAGAGCCGAAGATGACAAAAGGCAACTTGATCAAGAGATGCAATTATCTATCGGAGAAAATTCTCGCCACTTCTTGGAGGTCCGGAGACGAAGCGACGAGTTCTGTTAACAATAAGAAGAAGGGATTCGCAGTGCTTGATGTGGGTGCCCTTTTTTCGGTGTAATTATAAACGAAGTGAATTCCAGAGGGTTGTTGCCGAGACGGAGAGCCGACTGGAATCAGATGATTTGGCCGAGAAGACCAAAGAGGAGGAAGTGCAACTGATTCGAATTGATTCGTCTGTCCAAGTGGAGGAAGCTGTCTACCCGGCGACCGACATGACGCGGTACAAAACGATCATCAGCGATTACTTCGACAATTTCACCGTCTCGGATATTCTACAAAGAAGCGAAATGGTACTTGATCAGCAAGAAATGGAGGCTCATGAACTGGAAGAAGCGATGAAAGAAGAGCCAGAAGGAGCCCCGCCGCCGGAGAATTGGTGCGAGACGCCGGTTGAACTGACGAAAGTGCGCGACGTTCACAGTGCGGTGAAAGAGCTGTGCAGACAGTTCTGGCACTGTTTCCCGCCAATATCCGTCGAAACAGAGGACAAGTTGAAGAGAATGGCGTCGACTTTGAAAAAGTACAAAGAGAAGGAGCTGCCGACGAAGGGAATCGACGAGGTGAATTCGGAACATTGCCTCCAGATGATCAACCTGGCTCTCGAAAAGTACGCAGTTTATGCGCAGAAAAAGAGGAAATGATTACTGTCTCATTCCGTCGTTATAACGCGTTAGTTGTAATTTATATTCTGGTTTTTGTTCATCTTCATTCCGATCTTTTTATGTGAATTGAATAAATCTTCAAAAATAAAACCCTAATTATGTTGCGATTATATTGTTATCCGTGCAATTCCTATTTCATATCTCGCTGACAGTTTTTAGAATTTTCAATATTGGTTTTCCCATCTCAGATGCAAAGATTTTGTCAGTTAGCTCTCAGAAGCAGAAATTTGAAATTCGGGCTCGCGAGGCGGCTGACATCTACGGAAGCGTCGAGTTCGGAAGAGAATGCTCCGCCGCCGACACTCCGACCTGATCTCAACTTTGAATTCCTATTAGACGACAAAAATCTGGAAGTGATCAAAGAAAACATTTTGTGCGTCGTTACGTTCCGTTTCAGTTGATCATCTCACTCGTTTAGGCATCGGAAAGGAGTCGGCGATATTGACAAAGTACGCGAAAAATGGGCGGTCATTCAAAGTATGATGCATTCTGGAGAGAAGAAGCCGGACGGAATCACCGAGTCAAAGTACGCACAGCTTTGGAATGAGCTCTACGACGAAGCGTTGCTCATTCCGAACATGACACAGGACGGAGTGCCACGTGGCGGCGAGGAGAATGCGAAAGTAGTTGGCGAATGGGGAGAGAAGCGAGAAAACGAGTGCCTAACGGCCGAGAAGCTCGTGCAGACGTGGAGGTCCCTGCTCCACCCGACAGACGCATCCGGACAGAGATCTTACGTGTTCCTCGGCGCACTGGCCAGTCTCGAGAAGGCTATTCTGGACTATGCACACGAAAGAGTTTGTGCCCTTGGATTCCGACCCATTACTGTTCCGGACATAGTCTCCGGAGAAGTGACGCATGCGTGCGGAGTCATGCAACGTAGCGACCATCCGATTCAGTACACTCTCGTCGGCGATGAGAAACACACCAAGCTGTCGGGCACCGCCGAAATGGGAATCGCGGCCTTCTTGAGAGGAAGGACATTCCAGGAGGAGCAGCTTCCCATCCGACTCGTTTCTCTCAGCAAATGCTTCCGAACGGAGATTAGCAAATCGGCCAGCGAAGCCAAATTGTACCGAGTTCACGAGTTCAGCAAAGTGGAAATGTTCGTGGTTTGCACCCCCGAGCAGAGCAATGCCGAGCTGGATTTCCTTGTGGAAGTGCAAAAAGGAACATTCCAGGCACTGGGAATTCACTGCAGGTAATACAGAGAATTTTATAGAGAAACAGAACCTCTGGGCGTTGCAGACAGCTAGAAATGCCGTCGGAGGAGCTTGGAGCCTCAGCTGCTCGCAAATTCGATATCGAAGCGTGGATGCCCGGAAGGAAGCTGTACGGAGAAGTGTCTTCGGCCAGCAATTGCACGGACTTCCAAACACGTCGCCTCGGGATCAAGTACAAAACGGCCGACGGGACGATCAAGTTCGCGCACACCTGCAACGGAACTGCCCTCGCTTCCACGAGGACATTGATTTCCATTCTGGAAACTTTCCAAAGTGTACACTTTTCAACTGGCAGATCCTCTTTTGAATCGTTTGTTTTCAGGACAAGAAAGGACTGGGCGAGCTTCCAGAAGTCATCCGAAATCGCATAAAACAACGTGGAGGCCCTCTCCGCTTCCAACCGGCTAAATCTCTTGCTTAGAGTAAGAGTCGGTAGGACTTTCATTTCTATTAGCTTTTTTTTCGAATAAAAACTTCCGATTTTTTGATCTTCAAATGCAAAAAATGAAAGGGATCGGATTCTTTTTTCTTCTCCAAATTGTGCTCATCGAAGCCGTCCAAGGATCGAGTGAATTTCTCTCGTGAGACTCCGACATATTCTTTGTGAGCAAATACTTTAAGATCCACAATCAGTCTGGTCGGAATCGGCGCTTTCACTCTCCTTCTCGGAGCTCTTCTCGTTTACGCCTGTCTGGCCGACGTGAAGCACTGGCGAAAAAGCATCGACGGACGGGCGCAACTCGCGTTTCCGACGGCCGAGTTGGCAGAATTCCAGCTTCCGCCGATTCACGATTACGCGGAGAATCTGGTGACGCCGTTGGAGCCGGATACGACGAAAAAGACGGAAACGACGCAGATGGAACGGACGCAGAACGAGAAGACACTGCGGATTGTGCGAGGTTGCGAACTGGGAAAGAGAGATTGAATCGATTGAGTATTTCAGCCATGTACACGTCGTCGAACAGAGATGTCCCTGAAGCCGTCCAACACGTGAATCTCTTTCAGTCTCTCGTCCAATACAGTCATTTTGCAGAGTCTCCAATCGAAAGGACCCAATCGTTTTGCGAAGGCGTCCACCGTTTTGAGCACTATTTCGGAGACGAATAGCGAGAAGGAAGAACAATCGTCAAAGAGATCCCCTGAATCGCAATCTAGAAAATAAAACACTTTCGAATTTTAGCTATCTTCAGACCACAACGTGCTTTAAAAGTTAAACTTCTTCTGAATCGTAAATTTTGTTTGTCAGATTGCTTATTTTCGGAAATATTACAGCGATTTGTGCTGTCTCCAGAAGTCTTCTACAACCTTCTCCATGCTTCTCAAAATCCATTCCCATCAAAATTCCCCAATTGCAATTTCGCATACTCCGAGAGCAGTTTCTCCGGCTATAGGCACTTGAGGCAACCTGACAACCTGTTACAGTCGCGGTAAAGTCGGAAATGTCCAGATTGCTGAACCTTTTAAAAAAATTCCAGCAATCTGGATATTACCGACTCTCGGGCTCTTTACAAGTATCCTTTCGAATCCCGCCCCATCAGAATTCCACATTGAGAACGGCGGACGCTCGGACGGCAGCCACTCCGAGCGAGCAGAGCCACTTGCGTGCGATCCTTCGACTTCGCCGTCCCTCCTTGCCGTCTACGCACTTCTGCCGCTTTCAGCAGGTATCTATTGCCTTCTCCAGGCTTCTCTAAATCCCTCTTCATTAGAATTCCAGATGCCTTCTTGAGGCGTCTCAGAGTACGTGCCTATCAGAATTCCACTATGACATCGTCGAGAGCAGCCACTCCGGTAGCAGTTCCACACTACTTTCAGACAGAAAGAGATTGTAAAGAAACTGAATAAATTTCATAGGGATTCTGAAAAAGTATTCTTGTATTTCATTCATTTATTTTTATGCTTTCTGGCTGTTTCATATTAATTCTTCTTGATGTTTTTGCCGGTGTCCACGGCGGTCCAACATAATAAAACTGCACAGAATAGATCCGCACCATAATAGAACTGCGACATAATAGAACTGCGCAGAATAGAACTGTTCTTGTGTATTTATATGTATTTATATCCTTTCAATTAACTTTCGCAAAATTTTTCGTCTCGAACAATTAAGCAGAAGACCACAGTTTATACCTAGAAAATTGGTTTCCTTCCGTTTTGGATAGTACAATAAATTTATTTTCTGTGGGTTTTCGTTACCGTAGAGAAGAGGGATCACGGAAGAGAAATTAATGAATGCAATAAATCGATCACGAGATTCAAAAATTATCTTTTTCTACGCATCAATTATTCTACAGAAAGGTTTAAAAGGCGCTCCAAACAGTTATATTGTGGCCGGTTCTATTGTGTCGCGGTTCTATTCTGCGCAGTTCCATTATGTCGCGGTTCTATTCTGCTCAGTTCTATTATGTTGGACCGCCGTGTCCGCCGGGCCTCCACACTCAGCTAGCGGTTTTGGAGGCCCGGCGGACACCCGCCGGTTTTTGAAGCATCGTACTGCGCCTTGTTTAGCAGAAAGTGGCATTTGTTGGATTTTGACAGGGATTTCAATAAAAATCAGAGGAGAATCAATGTAAAAGAGCCTGAAAGCATAAAAATGAATGAATGGGATACAAGGTTACTTCTTCAGAATCCCCATAAAATTTATTCAGCTTCTTCACGGCGAAATCTCTCGCTGTTTGAACATAGCATGGAACTGTCACCGGAGTGGTTGCTCTTCGAGCATCCGATGATGATATAGTGGAATTCTAATGGGCGAGGACTCTGAAAGCTTGGAGAAGAGAATAGAACCATGTTGCAAGCAGGAGAAGTGCGCAGAAGGCAGGGAGAGGACGGCGAAGAGGAAAGATCGCACGCCTGTGGTATCCGCTCGCGTGGAGTGCCTGTTCTCCGAGCATCCGATTATGATATAGTAGAATTCTAATGGGCGAGGACTCTGAGAACCCTGGAGAAGAGAATAGAACAATGTTGCAAGCAGGAGAAGTGCGCAGAAGGCAGGGAGAGGACGTCGAAGAGGAAAGATCGCACGCCTGTGGCTCTCATCGCTTGGAGAGACTGCTCTTCGAGCATCTGATTATGATATAGGAGAATTCTAATGGGCGAGGACTCTGAGAAGCTTGGAGAAGAGAATAGAACCATGCTGCAAGCAGCAGCAGCGCGCAGAAGGCAGGGAGAGGACGGCGAAGTGGAAAGATCGCACGCCTCAAGGTATCCGCTCGCGTGGAGTGCCTGCTCTTCGAGCATCTGATTATGATATAGTGGAATTCTGATGGGCGAGGACTCTGAGAAGCCTGGAGAAGAGAATAGAAGAATGATGGAAGCAGGAGAAGTGCGCAGAAGGCAGGGAGAGGACGTCGAAGAGGAAAGATCGCACGCCTGTGGCTCTCATCGCTTGGAGAGACTGCTCTTCGAGCATCTGATTATGATATAGTAGAATTCTAATGGGCGAGGACTCTGAGAAGCTTGGAGAAGAGAATAGAACCATGCTGCAAGCAGCAGCAGCGCGCAGAAGGCAGGGAGAGGACGGCGAAGTGGAAAGATCGCACGCCTCAAGGTATCCGCTCGCGTGGAGTGCCTGCTCTTCGAGCATCTGATTATGATATAGTGGAATTCTGATGGGCGAGGACTCTGAGAAGCCTGGAGAAGAGAATAGAAGAATGATGGAAGCAGGAGAAGTGCGCAGAAGGCAGGGAGAGGACGGCGAAGAGGAAAGATCGCACGCCAGTGGTATCCGCTCGCGTGGAGTGCCTGCTCTTCGAGCATCTGATTATGATATAGGAGAATTCTAATGGGCGAGGACTCTGAGAAGCTTGGAGAAGAGAATAGAACCATGCTGCAAGCAGCAGCAGCGCGCAGAAGGCAGGGAGAGGACGGCGAAGTGGAAAGATCGCACGCCTCAAGGTATCCGCTCGCGTGGAGTGCCTGCTCTTCGAGCATCTGATTATGATATAGGAGAATTGTAATGGGCGAGGACTCTGAGAAGCTTGGAGAAGAGAATAGAACCATGCTGCAAGCAGCAGCAGCGCGCAGAAGGCAGGGAGAGGACGGCGAAGTGGAAAGATCGCACGCCTCAAGGTATCCGCTCGCGTGGAGTGCCTGCTCTTCGAGCATCTGATTATGATATAGTGGAATTCTGATGGGCGAGGACTCTGAGAAGCCTGGAGAAGAGAATAGAAGAATGATGGAAGCAGGAGAAGTGCGCAGAAGGCAGGGAGAGGACGGCGAAGAGGAAAGATCGCACGCCAGTGGTATCCGCTCGCGTGGAGTGCCTGCTCTTCGAGCATCTGATTATGATATAGGAGAATTCTAATGGGCGAGGACTCTGAGAAGCTTGGAGAAGAGAATAGAACCATGCTGCAAGCAGCAGCAGCGCGCAGAAGGCAGGGAGAGGACGGCGAAGTGGAAAGATCGCACGCCTCAAGGTATCCGCTCGCGTGGAGTGCCTGCTCTTCGAGCATCTGATTATGATATAGGAGAATTGTAATGGGCGAGGACTCTGAGAAGCTTGGAGAAGAGAATAGAACCATGCTGCAAGCAGCAGCAGCGCGCAGAAGGCAGGGAGAGGACGGCGAAGTGGAAAGATCGCACGCCTCAAGGTATCCGCTCGCGTGGAGTGCCTGCTCTTCGAGCATCTGATTATGATATAGTGGAATTCTGATGGGCGAGGACTCTGAGAAGCCTGGAGAAGAGAATAGAAGAATGATGGAAGCAGGAGAAGTGCGCAGAAGGCAGGGAGAGGACGGCGAAGAGGAAAGATCGCACGCCAGTGGTATCCGCTCGCGTGGAGTGCCTGCTCTTCGAGCATCTGATTATGATATAGGAGAATTCTAATGGGCGAGGACTCTGAGAAGCTTGGAGAAGAGAATAGAACCATGCTGCAAGCAGCAGCAGCGCGCAGAAGGCAGGGAGAGGACGGCGAAGTGGAAAGATCGCACGCCTCAAGGTATCCGCTCGCGTGGAGTGCCTGCTCTTCGAGCATCTGATTATGATATAGGAGAATTGTAATGGGCGAGGACTCTGAGAAGCTTGGAGAAGAGAATAGAACCATGCTGCAAGCAGCAGCAGCGCGCAGAAGGCAGGGAGAGGACGGCGAAGTGGAAAGATCGCACGCCTCAAGGTATCCGCTCGCGTGGAGTGCCTGCTCTTCGAGCATCTGATTATGATATAGTGGAATTCTGATGGGCGAGGACTCTGAGAAGCCTGGAGAAGAGAATAGAAGAATGATGGAAGCAGGAGAAGTGCGCAGAAGGCAGGGAGAGGACGGCGAAGAGGAAAGATCGCACGCCAGTGGTATCCGCTCGCGTGGAGTGCCTGCTCTTCGAGCATCTGATTATGATATAGGAGAATTCTAATGGGCGAGGACTCTGAGAAGCTTGGAGAAGAGAATAGAACCATGCTGCAAGCAGCAGCAGCGCAGAAGGCAGGGAGAGGACGGCGAAGTGGAAAGATCGCACGCCTCAAGGTATCCGCTCGCGTGGAGTGCCTGCTCTTCGAGCATCTGATTATGATATAGGAGAATTCTAATGGGCGAGGACTCTGAGAAGCTTGGAGAAGAGAATAGAACCATGCTGCAAGCAGCAGCAGCGCGCAGAAGGCAGGGAGAGGACGGCGAAGTGGAAAGATCGCACGCCTCAAGGTATCCGCTCGCGTGGAGTGCCTGCTCTTCGAGCATCTGATTATGATATAGTGGAATTCTGATGGGCGAGGACTCTGAGAAGCCTGGAGAAGAGAATAGAAGAATGATGGAAGCAGGAGAAGTGCGCAGAAGGCAGGGAGAGGACGGCGAAGAGGAAAGATCGCACGCCAGTGGTATCCGCTCGCGTGGAGTGCCTGCTCTTCGAGCATCTGATTATGATATAGTGGAATTCTGATGGGCGAGGACTCTGAGAAGTTTGGAGAAGAGAATAGAACCATGCTGCAAGCAGCAGCAGCGCGCAGAAGGCAGGGAGAGGACGGCGAAGTGGAAAGATCGCACGCCTCAAGGTATCCGCTCGCGTGGAGTGCCTGCTCTTCGAGCATCTGATTATGATATAGTGGAATTCTTATGGGCGAGGACTCTGAGAAGCTTGAAAAAGAGAATAGAACCATGCTGCAAGCAGCAGCCACTGGAAGCGAGCTGAGCCACTTGTGTGCGATTGATTCGCTTCGCCGTCCTCTCCCTGCCTTGTGCGCACTTCTCCTGCTTCCATCATTCTTCTATTCTCTTCTCCAGGCTTCTTAGAGTTCTCGCCCATTAGAATTCCACTATATCATAATCAGATGCTCGAAGAGCAGGCACTCCACGCGAGCGGATACCTTGAGGCGTGCGATCTTTCCACTTCGCCGTCCTCTCCCTGCCTTCTGCGCGCTGCTGCTGCTTGCAGCATGGTTCTATTCTCTTCTCCAAGCTTCTCAGAGTCCTCGCCCATTAGAATTCTCCTATATCATAATCAGATGCTCGAAGAGCAGGCACTCCACGCGAGCGGATACCTTGAGGCGTGCGATCTTTCCACTTCGCCGTCCTCTCCCTGCCTTCTGCGCGCTGCTGCTGCTTGCAGCATGGTTCTATTCTCTTCTCCAAACTTCTCAGAGTCCTCGCCCATCAGAATTCCACTATATCATAATCAGATGCTCGAAGAGCAGGCACTCCACGCGAGCGGATACCTTGAGGCGTGCGATCTTTCCACTTCGCCGTCCTCTCCCTGCCTTCTGCGCGCTGCTGCTGCTTGCAGCATGGTTCTATTCTCTTCTCCAAGCTTCTCAGAGTCCTCGCCCATTAGAATTCTCCTATATCATAATCAGATGCTCGAAGAGCAGTCTCTCCAAGCGATGAGAGCCACAGGCGTGCGATCTTTCCACTTCGACGTCCTCTCCCTGCCTTCTGCGCACTTCTCCTGCTTGCAACATTGTTCTATTCTCATCTCCAGGCTTCTCAGAGTCCTCGCCCATTAGAATTCTACTATATCATAATCAGATGCTCGAAGAGCAGTCTCTCCAAGCGATGAGAGCCACAGGCGTGCGATCTTTCCTCTTCGACGTCCTCTCCCTGCCTTCTGCGCACTTCTCCTGCTTCCATCATTCTTCTATTCTCTTCTCCAGGCTTCTCAGAGTCCTCGCCCATCAGAATTCCACTATATCATAATCAGATGCTCGAAGAGCAGGCACTCCACGCGAGCGGATACCTTGAGGCGTGCGATCTTTCCACTTCGCCGTCCTCTCCCTGCCTTCTGCGCGCTGCTGCTGCTTGCAGCATGGTTCTATTCTCTTCTCCAAGCTTCTCAGAGTCCTCGCCCATTAGAATTCTCCTATATCATAATCAGATGCTCGAAGAGCAGTCTCTCCAAGCGATGAGAGCCACAGGCGTGCGATCTTTCCTCTTCGACGTCCTCTCCCTGCCTTCTGCGCACTTCTCCTGCTTGCAACATTGTTCTATTCTCTTCTCCAGGGTTCTCAGAGTCCTCGCCCATTAGAATTCTACTATATCATAATCGGATGCTCGGAGAACAGGCACTCCACGCGAGCGGATACCACAGGCGTGCGATCTTTCCTCTTCGCCGTCCTCTCCCTGCCTTCTGCGCACTTCTCCTGCTTGCAACATGGTTCTATTCTCTTCTCCAAGCTTTCAGAGTCCTCGCCCATTAGAATTCCACTATATCATCATCGGATGCTCGAAGAGCAACCACTCCGGTGACAGTTCCATGCTATGTTCAAACAGCGAGAGATTTCGCCGTGAAGAAGCTGAATAAATTTTATGGGGATTCTGAAGAAGTAACCTTGTATCCCATTCATTCATTTTTATGCTTTCAGGCTCTTTTACATTGATTCTCCTCTGATTTTTATTGAAATCCCTGTCAAAATCCAACAAATGCCACTTTCTGCTAAACAAGGCGCAGTACGATGCTTCAAAAACCGGCGGGTGTCCGCCGGGCCTCCAAAACCGCTAGCTGAGCAAACGCTAGGTGAGTGCGCCAACACTCAAAACGCGCAAGAGGTTCTACTAACGCGTCAACGACAATTTTTTAACAAAACAACGCAATTTTCAAGCCTATTTCGTAGATTTTCGTTCTCTTAAGTCAAGGAAAATCACAGAATCGAAAGATTTCAGAGTTAAATTGTCATGGGAAACAAGAGTAAAGAAAAGAAAAAAGCGAGAAAGCGCCAGCTTTCAAACTCGAAAACCAACGAAGATCTCGAAGTTATTGAAGTATCCCTGCAGAAAAAGCGTCTTCTCGATGACAACCTCGAAATAATTCAAGCCGGTACTGCCGAGTCGGTTGAGAAAGGTTTTGAGCACGTTCGAACAAGCTTTCCACTGATAATTCCAGAAAAATGTGCGGAGATTCTACCGACTCGTGAACTGTTAGGAAATCAACTAGTCGCTGCTGTTAGAAATGGCCACTTTGCAATTGTGGAAGGTCCTCTCGGATGTGGAAAGACTTTCCTTGCTCGTTACGCTGCGAAAACACTCGACATCCCGCTGCACATCATGCAAATGGGTGATCAAATCGATTCAAAGGTATTTCTGCTCAATCAGTCACCAAAAAGCTTTAAAATGTTTTTCAGACACTGTTCGGATCTTATCACTGCACAGAAGTTGCCGGCCAGTTCGTTTGGAACGAATCAACATTCGCAAAGTGGCTTCGGTCTCCCGGAATCGTCCTTCTCGAGGACGTCGATGCAGCGAATGCTGATGTGATCTCGAAAATTGTCGAAATCGCAACTCACCGTCAAACGGATGCCTCCAACTCCGAAAAGAATTCTCATTTTCATCAAGACGTACGAATAATCGCTACAATGTCGTTAGTTTTTTTTACAAATGTAATCTTCAAGAAAGAAACATTTTCAGAGGGAAAGGAAAGAAAGCTGCTGTTTTAGACGGCGTTCCCGTACGAATTCATGTTGATCAGTTGACCGATGAAGAATTGAAACGACTTGCGGCAAAGGCTTTCCCCAGAATCGCCCATCTCTCCAGGACACTGATTTCGATATTCAGAAAAATCGAAACGGTTTCAGGAACAGGAAATTCACGGCAGCTCACGTCTTCGTAAGTATGGAATGCCTCAGCTGTTACCATGTTAAATTTTTCAGGGATTTCCTGCGTGCTTGTGCTCGTCTCTCGATCCTTCCCGACATTTCTGCCAACGTGGAAACATTCGCGGAACTCACCGATGTCTGGTGCCTTGCTGATCCCAAACCAAGATGCGTTCAACTGTGCGAGCAGGTTGCCGCTTCTCTGAATGTCACCCCTGACCGTATGCACACGCATCTCTCAGTCCGTCAGCCCGAAGTCAAGTACGACGAAAAAGTGGTTTCTGTCGGAAGAGCACATTTGCCACGCAAGCTGTCGATGATCAAAACGGGAAGACACAAACTCGGTCACACGAGAGACGTCGTTCAGTTGATGGAACGAATTGTCGTCTGTGTGTCGCACAACGAGCCGCTCCTTCTCGTCGGAGAAACGGGAGTTGGAAAGACTTCTGTCGTGCAGGCGGTGGCCGATCTCATTGGAATCACTTTGGACGTCGTCAATGTGAGCCCCACTTCGGATTCAGATGAACTCATTCAAGGGTAATCATTCTATTCAAACTGAAAAAGGTTCAAACTAAATTTGCAGTTATAAACCGACGACAATCGGCCGATTAATGGAGCCGTTCACTAAGTTTTACATGGAAGTCTTCACGAAAAACTTTGACGTTTCCAATAATCAGAAGTTTATCGATAATCTGGAAAAGTGTTTGTCTACTGGAAGATTCAAAGACTATCTTAGCCTCGTGGAGGCGACTGCGAGAAAAGCATTGCAAAAGAAAGGAACACAAAAGGATGAAAGATGGGCGGAGCTTCTTGTCCGTGCCAGACAGATCAGAGACGGACTCGACAAAGGTGCTGCTCCGTTTGCCCTTCAAAAGGGAGCAGTCCTGGAAGCAGCGGAAAAAGGACACTGGCTTCTCGTGGATGAGATCAATCTGGCGCCTCCGGAGTGTCTCGACGCCATCGTTCATGCTCTTTCGGCTTCTGGAACTCATCCGAATTTTCGCCTCTTTGCGTGCATGAATCCGGCCACCGATGCTGGAAAACGACGACTTCCACCTAGTGTCAGAACACGGTGAGTAACGCCATTCATGCTTTGGACCATAACTGTTTTGTAGATTCACTGAATTCTTCGTTTCGGAAACGACGGATCCGTACCAATTATCTCTGATTGTCTCCGCGTACTTGCCGACGCTCGCTCAGTCGCCTGTCGAGAATCTCGTTCAGTTCTATCTCTCTGCGAAGCGACTCTTCCCTTCCTGCTACTCGCTCCGAACTCTGTGTCGTGCTCTTCTCTTTACTGCCGATAACATGTTTGGAAGCGTGGATCAATCGATTTACGAAGCCGTTTCGATGGCGTTCCTGACAAACTTGGAGGACGCAGAGAAAACAGTGATGAGTGCGAAGATTCAGAATACGTTCCGATGCAAAGTTGCCACGATGCCAGTGCCGAAACAAATGGAGAAGTACGTGAAAATCGGAGGATATTTTGTAGAAAAGGGAACTCTTTTGCCTCAAAATGATCCGAAATACGTTATAACAAAAACAGTGAAAGGAAATTTGGCCGAGATTGCTCGTATCGTGTGCAGTGGTCGCTTCCCGGTTCTTCTGGAAGGAGAAACGTCTGCTGGTAAAACTTCTATCGTTTGCCACCTGGCGAAAGCGACTGGAAACAAGATTGTGCGGATCAACAACCATGAACATACGGATGTCCAAGAGTACATGGGATCGTACGTGGCTGACATGGGAGGCCGACTCGTGTTCCGCGAGGGAGCTCTCGTTCAAGCAGTTCGCGATGGCTCATGGGTTATTTTGGACGAGTTGAACTTGGCCCCCACGGATGTGATTGAGGCTTTGAACAGAGTGAGTCAGACCTCCGTGTATTCATTATTAATCGTTTGCTTTCCAGCTTCTCGACGACAACCGCGAGCTCTTCGTTTCGGAAATCAACGAGACTATCAAAGCTCATCCCCGTTTCCGTTTGTTTGCAACTCAAAATCCAGCAGGATCGTATGCAGGACGTAAGAAGCTTTCGAGAGCTCTCATGTCCCGCTTCATCGTGCTTCGATTCCATCACCTCCCAATCGATGAGCTCTCCGAAATGGTGTGCTCCAGATGTGAAGTACAGCCGAATGCCGCTCTGAAGATGATCGAAGTTTTGCGTGAACTCAGAAACAGAAGAAGTCTTTCCGGATTGTTCTCAGCCAGAGACGGTTTGATGACGCTGCGAGACGTGTTCAGATGGGCGAAACGCTTAAAAACCGACGAGACGAACGACGATTGGCTGCAGATTCTTGTGAACCACGGATATTTTCTTTTGGCTGGAAGATGCAGAAATGAGAAGGATGAAGTGACTGTTGTGGACGCACTCGAGAAAGTAATCAAGAGGAAGATTGACAAGGACGCGCTCTTTTCGATGCAATCACCGTACATGCCGAAAAACGTCGTCACCAACCACGTCGTGCTGACTCTTGGAATGAGAAGAATGCTGGTGATGACGGAGCAGGCCTGGCTCCGGAACGAAGCGGTTCTGATGGTCGGAGAGACGGGTGGAGGAAAAACGACACTCTCGGAAGTGGTCGGAAGAGGGAAACTGCGCAGTATCAACTGCCACGAACGGACTGAGACGGCCGATCTGCTGGGAAGACTCCGCCCGAAACAAGACGGCGGATTCGAATGGTCGGATGGAGTTGTGATCAGTGCGATGAGGGACGGAGTGCCACTGCTTGTCGATGAAATCTCTCTTGCTGAGGATTCTGTCCTCGAGAGACTCAACCCGCTTTTTGAAGAAGACAGAGCTCTCCTGCTCTCCGATTCCGGAACAGAAACCGAAGTGATTGAATCGAGGCAAGGATTCCAAATGATCGCCACAATGAATCCGGGAGGCGACTACGGAAAGAAGGAACTGTCGAAGGCGTTACGCAACAGATTCACCGAAGTTTGGACGTCGAGCGACTACACTGTTTCCGATCTCATTACTATTTTTGATCAGAGACTCGGAAGAGTGGAAGCAACGAAGGAGGAGGCCACAATAACTCCGACTAGAACTGCGCAAACCATCGTTTCGTGGATTTCTATCTTTTTTGAGAAGTATGCGCATGTATTCCGGTGAGCAAGTTATCTATATCTGTCAGAATGTATAACTATTCAGACATCCTCCTTCTGTTCGTGACGTTGTGGCGTGTGCTGAGTTGTATGCCGCTGCGATTAGCGCTGGAATCGAGAGATCCACCGCCATCAAAGACGCCCTCTGTGCCGTGTTCCTTGATTCACTCGCTGGTTTGACTTCCAATTTGCTCATCAACCCCAATGAAATCTTCGATGATGCACTCACTATGGTAGTATTTCCTACCCAATCCTGCGAACAACTTGTCACTTTCAGCTCCATGCGGAACTTGTGAAAACACAAATCGTTGGCAGTCTCACTTTAGTTCAGTCGTTACTCACTGAAGCCAAACAGGAAACCCTTATCGATCAAGCGTCGGATCATCTGAATGTCGGTCACTTGCGTGTTCCGTTCGGACCTACCACTCCCAAGATCCCAAGGGCCTTCTCTCTGAAAGCTCCGACTTGCGCCGAAAACTTCTATCGAATCGCGAGAGGTCTTCTCATCAACAAACCGATTCTTCTCGAAGGAGCTCCCGGATGCGGAAAGTCGTCTACTGTGATGGCTCTCGCTCAGCTCACTGGAAATCCGATTACTCGGCTCAACTTGAGTGATCAGACCGACCTGTCAGATTTGTTCGGAAGCGACGTTCCAGTACTGACTGAAAACGGAACGATGACATTTCGATGGGAGGACGGACCAGTTTTGAAGGCTATCAAAAGAGGAGAGTGGGTGCTTCTTGACGAAATGAATCTGGCTTCTCAGTCGGTTCTCGAAGGACTCAATGCGTGTCTAGATCATCGAAGAATACTGTACATTGCTGAGCTGAACAAGGAGTTCGAGATTCCAGCCGCGTCAAATTGCCGTTTCTTCGCCTGCCAGAATCCGAGAGTTCAAGGAGGAAACAGAAGAGCTCTACCGAAGTCGTTCATCAACAGATTCACGAACATTTATACCAACGACCTGACCAAAAACGACATTGATATTGTGCTGAAAGGAGTGGACGAAAAGAGTGTTTTGACCGAAAGTCAGAGGGTTGGAATGGTGACAATCAGTGAGCAGTGCGGTTTGGAATCGGAACGAGGATCATTTGTTGGAGGACCACATTCATTCAATTTGAGAGATCTACTGAGGTGGTACGAGTTGCGAGCTTCCGGAAGATCACTCGGAGAGGCATTTGAGACTGTGTACATGACTAGAACTCGAAGAGGGGAAGACAGAGAACTGATGAGGTCGATTTACGAAAAAACGATGAATGAGAAGTTGGTGACGAAGGGGAGAATGCTGACAGTCGGCGAGAAGGACATGCGCATCGGAAGGTGTACTCTGAAGAGAAAAGAGAGTGTGGGAGTACCGGTTCCGAATAAGAACAGACTGCTGGCTTCCCAGATGGCACTCACTCATGAGATCGCCACTTGCGTTGAAATGAACTGGCTTGCTCTTCTCGTTGGACCGAGAAATTGCGGAAAACGAGCAGTGATCGAAAATGTGGCGAGCATATGTGGGAGAAAGTTGAGAACGATCGCATTGAACGCGGACACTGATGCTCAGGAACTGATTGGAAGTTACGAACAAGTGGTCGACGAGGATGGTCTGCCTGAGGCAAAGAAGAAAGTTGTGGAGATTCTGAAGAATAAGAACGTGAGAAAGGCGAAGATAGAAAAAGTGGCAGCTGCAGATACGCTGATGAAGCTGGAAGCCATTGTCGAATTGATTCTAGCAGAGATCGGAGATATCGCAGAAGTCAGGGACGTTCTCAGCGACGCGAATCAAAGTTCGATGCGCTTCGAATGGACGGATTCCGTGTTTGTGGACGCCTTCTTGAAGGGCGATTGGCTGCTGATTGAAGATGTGAATCTGTGCAGTGCTGCCGTTCTCGATCGTCTCAATTCGTGTCTGGAGAGTGGCGGAAAACTCGTGGTAGCCGAAAGACAGAACTCCTATGAACCACTCGAGCCGCACCCCGACTTCCGTGTCTTCCTTTCCATGGATGCCCGAGTTGGAGAGATCTCAAGGGCGATGAGGAACAGAAGTGTGGAGATTTGTTTCGACGAAGACTCCAAATGGAATACGTGGCCTGATGATGTCAAAGCAGTTGTTGACCCGAGACTTTCGACGGAATACAGCAAGAACATTGCTCGTTTCCTCACGTCTGAACAGCAATTGCATCTTGCCGTGCTGCTAGAAGAGAATGGAGAGCACTTCTCGACAGATTTGGCGCTCAAATTGATTGGAGGACATGCTGATGAGCCGATGGAAGAGGATGACGAAAAGGAAATTATTATGGAGAAAACAGAAGTAACTCCGAAGATTTCAGCGATTTGTGGACTCTCGGGAGACTATGAAAAGTATCTCATTTCGACTTGGAGACGAGCAGCTGGGAACACTCGAACGGCCACCGTCGAGGCGGCACTCATGGCATTCCTCTCGACCACTCCGTGGATTTTGTCGAATCTCGCTGAAAACTTGAAATCTTTCCTCGGAAATGCAGTTGTTGGTAAGTCTCTCCTCGCCAGTGAAATGAAAACAAAGATATCAATTTCAGAGTCAATCCTCAAACGAATCCCACCAAGTATTCTCAAAAGTGCCTCTCGTCACCTGGTCGATTCCGAATTCTCTTCCACCGTTTCGTGTCTTAACGCGAACATCGAAACGAAATTCTGTAGAATGGTTCTGTTCGAGTGGATGCTGCAAATGGTTTCAAAGGTTAATGTGGAGAAAGGATCTGCAGAACAACTGAGCAACACGTTGACGAAATGTAAACTTTGCCGAAAGTGTGTTTGAAAAGCATTGAATTTCAGATGAAATAGCCACTTCCGATGTCACGTTCAACAACCTCCCACTGATTGGAAGCCTCACTCGTTCGATCGTTGAAACGTGGAAAACGAGTGCTGCGATCTCTTCGCAAGCCGTCCACGAACTGTCTGTTTCGGTTTCGCTCCTTTTGCTCATTGCCGCTTCTCGTCGGAAACTGACCACGAGAACTGGTTGTGCTGCCATCTATTTGGCTTGGAACGACTTCAAAACCGAATCTTCCAAAACCAGTGGCATCCAAGGGTATTGTTAAACTGAATGCTTTAACATTTTCTATAACAAGTAGTTTCAGATCGAGCAGTTTTATGTCTGTCATCGACAAAATAAATGAGGGATGGACTTCAGAATCCTATGAAGAGTTTGTGAATGAATACATTCACAAATGGAGAAAGTTCGCCCTCTGTCAGCCATTTTCGACAGAAGAACAGTCCCGTGTGTTTGTTGAGCATCTGGAGGCTCTGTTGGCGGGAGAAAGGGAGGATGAAGACGTGGAAATGACGGAAGACGACGACGAAGAAAATGAAGAGAGGAAGAGAAAGCCGTTGGCTGTTTCTCCCGTTGAATTGTCCACGACTGTCATCGAAAGTGTCGATGCATTGTTCGAATTTCTTTCGACCGGAACGGTTGATCATGAGAACAGAGTGTTCAAGAAGACCAACGTGTACAATGGAGTCGAGTGGAAAGAAGAGACTGCTCGTTGGATTCGCACGGCAGCCGTGTTCTGTGAAGATGTGGCAGTGAGCAAACTGAGCGACGAAGACTCTGAAGAAGGGAAGGTCGTCGTGTCCGATTTGGTTTCCATCGGCGGAGGAGCACACTCGATCGCCACCAGACTGTTCTTTTCGGCGATTCACTATAATCCTGCGATGCCTAACCTGAGCATCGCCCATCTCCAAAAGTTCCCTATTAAAGAGCTCAGTACTAAACTCTGGAGGCTTTCCATCGATTCTTCGTTAATCCGAAATACCTTGCAACAATCTTTGGAACATTTAGGAGTTGGAATAGAAGGATGGACGAGTGGAACCAGAAATGGAATGGAATGTGGAGTGGAAATGATGGGGAAGGCGCTGCCACCGAAAGAAACGCTCGATCCAGTCATCTTTGAAGAGGAACGCCTTCTGTTCTTGAGAGCCAAACGAAGAATTGTCGAAAGACAACTGAATTATCTGGCAGAGTGGAGGAAACTTATGGGAAGACAGACGTCCGACTGCGATTCGGCTTCTTCTCAAACTATCATTCATGGACTGAACGAATTGGAAAAGGAGCTGCGTCAACTGAAGGAAGAAGAAGGCGATCAGCAGCCAGAAGTGTTCAGGCAATCGGCCACACAGTACAACCAGCTGTGCGCCGAGCTCCGTTCGTTCCTGGATGTTGCCAAATCGGCGATTGCGGACTCGAAGAAAAGTGATGACGTGACTAACGAACAAATTTCAGCCATCCGGGTAGCGAGAATCAAATCGTTCCTTATGAGTGCTGCGAACTTTAGAATGGTATGTAATGTTTTCAAAATGACAAATGCAAACAACCATTTTCCAGAGCATCTTGAGAAAGTTCGTCTCCTTTGTCGATGTGTCGATGCCCTTTGTGGCTGGTCTTCTTATTCTCGAAATCGCTTTCAATGAAATTGCTCTGAGGTGGCAACATGAAGCCAAACGACTCCACGCCTCTTCCTCTTCTGCATTCCCTCGATTCCTGACTACTGTGGCCAGTCCGTACGGATTGGTTTCGGACGAAGTGACGGCGTGGGCGGTGCGTGATGCCTCTCCGATGCCACTTCAATTGAAGTCCGCTGTTGTTCGGCGGAAGTTGGCAGAGATGAAAACAGACGACGGATCCGCAATCATCGAGATTCAATGGACGAGAAGCCAGTGGAAGAAGTGGTATGAGAAGAACATCGCCAAAGCGGAACAAAAAGATTTCGTCTACCGAACGAAGACTGAAGAAGAAAAGGACGATATGGATATTGAGGAATTCTTTTCGAACACGGAACAGGACTCGCAAGTGCTGCCGGACTCTGACGTTTCCATGCTTTTGGAAGCAGTCGAGAGGAAGAAGTGCTCTCTGATCGACGAGAAAAGCAGGAAAGCATCGGAAGAGCGATACGAAATGGCGATGGTTTGGATGAGACACGTTATGAGCGAAGTCGGAGCGATTCCGACTGACGAGACCGTTTGGAATCAGTGCATTGGTGAGTGGTTAATGTGCAAAAAAGAAAATAAAGCTTTTTCGTTTCAGATGGAGACCAGAAGCTATTCGAGATTCTCGCCTCACATGAAGGATTGTCCGACGACGGGGACCGCGAAGACACAAAGGTCATTGACGTCTACCGGAATTCGTCAATTCGTGAATGCCGGCGTGTCGCTGTTGTACTCGAGAGGCTGGCCGCACGGACCAAGGAAGTGCTCGAACGGTGGCCGGAAGTCGTTTCCCTCAAGACCATCGTCAACACAATCGAAGAGTTCTTCGCTGTTTCCGTGTCCACCCCCCACATCCAGATTTCCACGCAAATCGAGAATTTGATCGAAGTGTGCGAGCAGTGGGAGATGATGGCTGATAGACAGAATTCGCTGAGAGATCCGCTCGGAGAACTGCGTCGTCTTCTGGTTGACTGGAAGAAAATGGAAGTAAGATGTTGGTCGAGTCTGTTGGAAAACTGCGAAAATGAAGCGAAACAACGGGCGCAACTTGTTGCTTTCCCACTTTTCGAATCGCTTTTCGAAGCGTCTACTCCAGAAATGGAGGCGGCTATCATTCCGATGAGCATTGAATGGATGCACAACGCCACACTCGTCGACTTCTCGACAAGAGTTCTCACTGTCCAGTCGTTGTCCAGATGGGCTAGAATCATCGAAAAAGATGTTCTGGCAACGCAACTAGAAGCCGCTTCGAGACATTTTGGAATCTTCATTGCCCGAGTCGAGCAGAGATTGAAAGAGGCTCGTGAACCAGCAGAACACAGTTTGAAAGATTACCTGAAAGTTGTAAAGTACAACGATTTGAATCTGTGGAACATTCGTGTCTCTTCAACTAAAGCGCACGCACAGTTGTACAAGATTGTGAGGAGATTCAAGGACGCAATCAATCTGGAGGTGCACGACGACTTCGGAATACTGCAAAAAATGGAGGAATGGAAGCAGAGAGTGTTCGAGCAGGAAGACAACGGGAAGACGAATCCGAATGGAGAGGAACTGGCAAAGAGAATCCGTCAAACCAAGACTTTTGCTGCAGAAATTGAAGAGCAAGTGTCCATTCTTTGCGATACAACTGCCATTGAAGAGCTCAGTGAACAGACGAAAGCGGCCGACGAGGCAATCCGAACGGTGATCAATTATATCGGAGAAGACGAAGAGAAAGAGAAGCAGCAAGGTTACGCAAGGAATTCGAGACAGCGTCAGGTTGCAATGATGATCAAGGAGGCTCAGGCTATCGGACTGAATGCGAGAAAAGCGGTGCTTCTGGCTCAGGAGGACATCAACAGGCGGTCTATTGTCGGAGTGCTCTCGAACGGAGAGTGCGAGAACGAAATTCGGATCTGTGCTTCTGGACGAAACATTGTGATCCAGAAAGCCAACAAGATCGATCAGCAAGTGGGAGTGTCCACGAGAAAGCATCTGAGTGGAATGATTGGTAACCGAAGAGAAATCTTTATGATATAAAGTTTGAGCTTTCAGAATACGGAATGTCCTACATGCTTTCTCTTCAAGAGAGTATTGGAACGTGGAAGAAGCAGGTCACACAGCTCCGTTTGCATTCTGGAGAACTCGACGTCATTTGTGAGAATCAGGAAAACGAATGGGTTGTTGATCACGAGATGGCGAAGGGAAAAGTCGAGAAGACGACTGAGTCTGTCGAAAGAATGGAGTTGGTGGTTTCTGCGATCAGACGGCGATTGAATGGAATTCCTGCCAGCCCTGATGGTTCGTTCGTTCTGACAATCAGGTTGATAATGTTTTATTCCAGAAGGCACACAAGCCAAGACTTACGTTCATCCTCTATCGAAACTGTCGCAATCTGACGAAAAGGCCAAGAAGTTGAATGTTTGGGTTGAGAAGCTGAGCACTCTCATCGGAAACATGAAACGGACTAACGACCGCCTCGAGAAAATGAAGGAATCCGTGTTCGAATGGAATGGTTACGCCGCCTGGTGCACTCAACTGCAGGGTGACTCCGCAGAATTGAAGACCGAACTGCAGCTTTTTGACGGCTATTTCGACATCGAAAAGAACGAAATTGGAAAGATTCTCAGTGAAATTCCAAAATGGGCAAAGAATATCGATTCCAACGAAAGTGTCGATGAAAATGAAGCCGATGTGACCCAGATTCTGCTGCTCGTCCAGAAAATTTACAAGAGATTGGAGAAAGTGACGAAAGGAGAAGAGGGCAAAGCTCTCGATCAGATCAGCGTTCTTGTTGAAGCCCTCAAACAATGCGATATCATTTCCGTCGTACAAAGCATGTCGGAAGTGGTTGCAGCACACTGCGGAGGAGAGAAGAAACTGAAATACGCGGGAGGAGTTGCCGAGTTGGGCAGAATCTGTGCGGGAATCGTCGAGCGATGTGTCACCCAACTCACTAACTGTCTCGGCCATTTCTGCGTTCTTTACCATTCGATGCTCTCGATGACTGTTCAATTGTACGAAAAGGGCTATGTGAACACAATTCCAAAGGCTGAAAAACAAGAATCTGGAGAAGGTCAAACGGACGATAGCGGAGAAGGCGGAGGAATCGGAGAAGGAGGAACTGCAAAAGATGCGAAGGACGTGACGGAAGAAATGGAGGAGACGGGACAGATTGAGGGGTTGGAGGACGAGCAGCCTGCTGATTCTGAAGAGCACGAGGCGAAAAACGACAACGAGAAGCCGATCGACATGGAAGACGACTTTGCGGAAGATCTGCAGGACATCGATAAAAATGAGAAGGGAGATCAGGAGGATGGAGAGGACGAATCCGATGAGGAGCCCGAAGTCGAAGATCAGATAGGCGATGTCGAGGAGGAAGATGAGAAGCAGCTGGATCCGAAGATGTGGGATGAAGAAGAGAAAGAGAAAGATCAGAAAAATATAGATGAGGAACAGCAGGGCGCGGAAGATCAGTCTGAGGAAATGGTCGCGAAGGAAGACGACGCCCAAGGAAAGGACGAGGAACAAAAAGATGGACAAGAAGAGGAAAAAAATGATCAGATGGAAGAAGATGAGCAGGAGAATGTGGACGAAAGAGATCGAGAAAACAATGAAAGAGCTGAAGATCAGATGGATATGGAAGAACAGAGCAAGGACGAAATAGCTGAGCAGGTAGAGATTGATGAGACCGAGAACGGAGATGACGGAGATGAGACGGATAAGGAGGAGGAAGAAGAAGAAGCGATCGGAGGAGACGGCGAGGAAGAACGGAACGAGCAGCAGGAGCTGGAAGACGTGGATGATACGAAGCCGACTGACGAGGAGAGTGAGGAGAAAAAGAAAGAGGAGGAGAATCTGGAACAAGGAACCGGTGGAGAGAGGAATGAGCATGAGGAGAAGAACGACGTGGCAGAAGGAGGAATGGTCGAGGAAGAAGAGAAAGACGAACAGGAAGAGAAAGAGGAGAAGGGAGAGGGAAAGAGCAAGTCTGATCCGAACGGAGATGGCAACACGGGAGAAGCTCCGAAAGAGAAGAATAAAGAAAATGAGGAAGACGAGGAGAAGGAGGACGAGGACACAGCTGAAAGGAAAAGAGAGCTGGCTACGGAGAATGCTCAAATGGAAGAGGCCGAAATGGGAGATGGCGATGAGAATGATACAGGTCAACAAATGGAGAATGCAGAGGTTTCTGATAGGCAAATGGTCGGGAAAGGAACGATCGAGGAGGCTCGACAGACCAAGAGAGAGGAGAAACGGGAAGAAGAGAAGAAGAAACGGCGCGATCTGAAACAGTCGATGGAAGGAGAGCAAGGCGGAGAAGGGGGACAACTTGACGACGAAGGTGCCGAGGAAACGAATAAAGCACGCATTCACATGGATTCTCACGACGTCTTCTCAGCGGTATTGTTTTGTTACATTCCGTCCCAGATTGACCAAGTTTTTACAGACCGAAGAGGCTTCGAATGATCCTGTCACCGGAATGATTACGGAAGAAGAAGAGCGAGAAAAAAGCCGGAACGGAGACCTCCCGGTGAATGCGAAGGCTGACGAGCAGTGGGCGGAAATGTCGAGAACTGTTGGAATGCTTGCTGCTGAACTGGCGGAGAATCTGAGGCTTCTGCTCGAACCGCAGAGGGCCAATAAGATGCAAGGAGACTACAGAAGTGGAAAGCGGCTCAACATGAGAAGACTCATTCCGTACATTGCCAGTGAATACAGAAAAGATCGTATTTGGATGAGAAGAACGAAAAGAGCGCAGAGAGAATATCAGGTGAGACTGAATGTGAAAAACTAATGAGAGAAACTTTGTTTCAGATTATGATTGCCGTTGATGACTCTGAATCGATGAACGAGAACGGCATCCATCAGAGCACGTGCGAATCTGTCTGCATTGTCGAAGATGCCCTTCGAAGGTGCGATGCTGGTCGAGTTTCCGTTTGCTCATTCGGTGGCGATGTCTCCACAATCATTCCGTTCGGAGAAGCATCGGCGACGAGCAGCATAGAAATGCTCAAGCAGATGACGTTCTCGCAGAAAAAAACGGATCTTTTGCTGCTTCTGAAGACGGCGAAACAGCAGTTGGACGAGATCCGCACTCCCACTTCCGAACAGATGCTCATTGTGATTTCCGACGGAAGAGGAGCCCTTTCGCAGGGCGCCGACAAAGTCCGCGCGGTGTATTCGGCTCTGCAGGGCGTCACCGTTCTGTTCGTGATTCTGGATTCTGGAAAGAAATCCATCGAAGATCATACGGTTGCCTCATTCAAAGACAACAAAGTGGTGAGTATCGGAAAGTTTACCCACGCTCTAACACAACATGTGTTAAATGTTTGTTTTGATCAAATTTTTTGTAATTGAATATCATCCTGTTCTATTTATTTTCCATTTCGGCCGTAGTCAATTAGACTACAAACTACACATGTGGGCGGTCTGTTTACCCTGTCGAAACTGCTGACAACTCACCGAATGGCACGGTCTTTCAGGTGCTCACGCCATACCTCTCGTTGTTCCCGTTTCCGTTCTACGCCATCGTCAAGTCCGTCCACCAACTGCCTTCCATCATTTCCGAATCTATCCGTCAGTGGTTCGAAATGACGACACAACACGCGTAGACATCACACACAAACACACACACATTTTAATCACATTTTGTTGGATTTACTCTTATTTTGTCATTTCATCATTGTTGTTACTGTTGTTACTGTTGTTCAATTTGTTTTTTTTTACAGTTCTCGAACATTTTTTGTTTTTTTTTTAATTTTTTTCCCACCCTTTAGTTGTTTTTTTCAAAAAGAATGAAAATCGATTCGCTAGCGTCTATCACTCGTCATTTCAATGGGCTGACCTCCCACAAACTGTTTTCTGATCACTCCTATCACCCCATTCCTCTCATTTCAAGTCATCGTTTTCTGAAGGTAACCGCTGAAAATGAGTTCTGTTCTCGAGCAATTGAAGGCCAGTTCTGTCGTTGTCGCCGACACCGGTGACTTTAACGGTGAGAGAGAGAAAGAGAACTATATTATAGACGCTCCTTTTTTCCAGCTATCAAGCAGTTCCAGCCGACCGATGCGACCACAAATCCGTCGCTCATTCTTGCCGCTTCCAAGATGGAGCAGTACGCTGCTCTTATCGACGAAGCCGTCGTTTACGCGAAGAAACACGCGAAAGGCCACCAGCAGACCGTCGGGGCCGCCATGGACCGCCTGTTCGTAGTGTTCGGAAAAGAAATCCTGAAGACGATTCCCGGAAGAGTTTCGACCGAAGTGGACGCCCGTCTCTCGTTCGACACCCAGGCATCCATCGATCGGGCTCTCGGACTGATTGCTCAGTACGAAAAGGAAGGAATCTCGAAGGATCGCATTCTCATCAAGCTCGCCTCTACGTGGGAAGGAATCCAGGCGGCCAAGTGAGTGCTCCAGCCATTCTCCTCGCATTCTCCCGTTTCAGGTATCTGGAATCAAAGCACGGAATCCACTGCAACATGACTCTTCTTTTCAACTTTGAGCAGGCCGTCGCTTGTGCCGAGTCAGGAGTCACCCTTATTTCTCCTTTCGTCGGCCGCATCATGGACTGGTTCGTGAAAAACACCGACCAGAAGACGTACACTCGCAAGGACGATCCGGGAGTTGTGAGTGTGGCTCGCATCTTCAATTACTACAAAAAGTACGACTACAACACCCAAGTGATGGCCGCCTCTTTCCGTAACACCGAAGAGATAAAGGGCCTGGTCGGATGCGACCTCCTCACAATCTCGCCGGCTCTTCTGACCCAGCTCGCGGCGGAGACGGAAACTGCTCCGGTTGTTCTCAACAAGGCTCACGGTCAGATAAATTGAAGTCACTGCCGTCTTTTACTCTGCCAATTTCAGCGAAAGAGCTCGATCTTCCGAAGGTGACAGTCGACGAAAAGACATTCCGTTGGGCCCTGAACGAGGACGCGATGGCCACCGAGAAACTTGCTGAGGGAATTCGCAACTTTGCGAAGGATGCCAGAACTCTGGAGAAGCTGATCGAAGCAAAACTCTAATCATTCCCGTGGAATCCCGTTTACTAGTGTTGTGATACTTCTGAAGCTCAAAACTTTTAAATAAATACTTTGCATGTACCAGATTGCACGTGAGAAGTTGCCGAAAATTGATGAAAACCTGAACAACATCTTCACGAAAAAGAAACTACTTACTATCGGGGTTCAATGTGAATGCAATGATTGCCCGGCGTAAAATAAAAAAAGAAAGTTCTTCTTATGGAAAACAATTGAAACTCCTCGTTTCGCGCCTGAAAAATTAGGCCCCCGATATCACAAAAACGCATAGTTGTGATTTTTAGGCCCGGCCCGCATTTCAAAATTATAAATTTTTAAGCGCTGTTTTCAAATAGTGCAAAGCCTCTGTGCAAAGTCTGCATTTGAGCGTCGCGGCGGTTGCGGATTTTAGGCGACGATCGGCAGCGAAGGCGGAAAAGTCCGCGAAAAATGCGCCGAAACGTCATTAATGGGGCTATTCAGACTGTGAAAAAAAAGATTGTTTTCCGTTTTTTTACGTCAAAAAATCCAATTCAGCGATGTAAAAAAACGAAAAAAAAAACGGAAAACAAACATACGCTGAATAGCCCCATAATACTGAGAAATAGTGTGTTTTCATGTCGAACAATCATTTTTCATCGCCTTCGACCACAAAAATCAGAGAAAACCTGCTCAATTTATGAAAACGCCATTTGGCCGTGGCCACGCCCAAATTATCAGCTCTGGAGACCGTGTCCCCTCAAACACCTGGTGTCCTTTCTGACAGAGAAAGTTTCTGTTATTTTTATTGTTGGCTGCTTCCTCATACTACTTACTCTTCGGAAATGAATTTTAGAAACAAGGGACGCACAAACGGAGAGAAATGCGCAAATGTTGCTATTTGCCCGAAAGAGACCATCCGTAGAAATTTCCATTACGGCCCGGCCCGTGACAAATATGCAAAAACGGACAGAGCTCATTCACACTTAAATGTCCCGATAGTAGAAACCTCAACTATTCCTTCTCCGTCGTATTGAAAATGTCCCATTATCCCATCAGAACGGCATGGTTAAAACATATTGTGTAACAAGTTTTTATTTTCAACAAAAACAATTTAGGCCTTTCCGAGATCACGGGCACGAGCGCGCTCAAGCTTGATCTTGCGAGCATCGGACTTGGCGGACATAACTCCTCCTCCCCAGTGCTTGCGAATCTCCTCGTGACGCTCACTGAAGTTGTTGTTGACAGTCTCCACCAGCTTGTTCAAGGCAGACTTGTCCTCTCTGAAAAATGAACAGATTTACATTTGAGGCGCTTCAACTGAAACATACGGGTTGACATCAACGAGAGCAACAGCGGCGGTGGTCTTTCTGCGTACAACAGTTCCGAGGGCAGCCTTTCCCTTGATAATGGCGTACGGGACGTTGAACTTTCTGCAGAGAGCCGGCAGATGGAGAACGATCTCGACCGGGTTGACGTCGTGAGCGATGAGAACCAGTTGAGCTCTACGGGTCTCAACCAAACGGGTGATGGTGTTAATTCCGTGGCGAACAGTGTTTGGTCTCTTGGTGACGTCCTCCTTCTTCCCTGCGGCGCGAGCCTCAGCACGAGCGCGAAGACGCTGCTTCTTAGCATCGTTGGACTCCGGACGGTACTTGTCGAGAAGCTTGAACGCTTGCCTAGCTGAAAAATAAAATTGAACTTTGTCCGACTATTGAAATAAGAATTAAAATCTTACTTCACCGATCAGAGTAAATGCGTCAGTGCAGAGCACGAAGCTTGCTTATACTACATGACTCTGATTATAAATTAGCTATACCAACCGGACTGGCTGTCGAGAGCGGTCCTGAACTGGTTGATGGTTGGCGGGATCTTCAGACGCTTCTGGAGAATGGCAGCCTGGCGTTGAAGACGAATGTACTTCGGCCACTTGACGAAACGAGTCACATCTCTCTTCGGCTGGATGTCTTGGCCTAAAATTTCAAATTAATGAAACTGTCGTATTTTTGTAATTTGCATGGTTTGTCCTAACCGTCACGGGTCCATAGGATCTACGGAAGGATAAGGAATATGCAATTTAGCCCGGGCATCTCAAGTAGCGGCAGAGGGCCACACAGACTATTGATATACGACAAGGTGGACCAGGGTCAACTCCACAGAAAGCCCCCGATGCTCCACAAAGAAAGGCAATCAACCCCGAAGAGGATCGCCAATCGCATGTCGTTTGAGATGTACGTCGTTACTTAAAAAACGTACCGATGTTGAAGTTGCGCGGTCTCTTCTCGAAAAGTGGGTTCTTCACCTCCTTTTGGACTTGAGCTTGAGCGCGGATGTGCGCCGGAACAGCGGCGACTTTCTTCTTGATGACCTTCTTGCTCGGCTGAAAAACCGAAGTTCGGTGCATTAATAAATATAAAGACAATGCCGCGTTCAAAGTTAAAGTAAATCACAGCAAAATCCGCGTGATTTCCGTTTTTTTTTAACTTTGGACGCGGCATGACGAAAATTCTACCAGTTAATTTCTAATGCCTGAATTTAAAAAAATTTTCCAGAAGACACAGAAAATTCAACTTAACTTAAAAGAAAACTCACCATCTTGTATGGACGATCGGCCCAAAAGTGAATAGAACAAAAAAGTTTAGGCCAACGGAAACGTTGCCTGAGTATTCAACGTTTGATACGCAGCAGCCAAATGTGTGCGGCAGCGCGCACTTGCATCGTCACTCAAAACAGTTTTTCTGAGAGCGAACAATTTCGTCCGGATCCGGCCGGAAAAGTAACAAAAATGCACAGATTACTCTCCAAATCGGCTCTCAGTTCAAACGGAAAATGTATTCAAACTTAGCGGAATTATACACAAAACGTCACATTGTGCTTGCAGACAGCTCCGAAATATCGCTTCCTGGAAGCTCCGGAGACGGTCCTTCAGATCTATCTTCTGATGAACACAGGAGATGCAACAGTTACTGATAATGGCGCTGGAAAAACTACAAAATAAACATTTTAGGCCGGAAAAGGAAACACAATATAACCTTCGATCGAATTGACACCAGCTCAACTTCAACCGAAGAATTCGAAAGTCCGCACAAGTTCGATGGAATTCCGGAGAAAATTATTGATGGCGTTCCTTTCAAAGTATTTCCGTAGTTAGTTAGTTCAGTGAACACTTCTTCGTTGCAGGGTTCGCCGTTCATTGCAGACAAACGTGAATGGGACCATCTCCTCGTTTCGGGTTCGATTCGTAAAAAGCTCTACAAGCGATCTGCTGAGATTGTACGCTTTGATCAGTTCTCACAGTTCCGTACACATAGTACTAAGTTAATAAAAACGATAAAAAGTGATCCAGAACTGAACGGTTATTTCGATTATAAATTGTCAAACCAGGAGAATAAGATCAAGACGTATCGTTTTTTGGGTGAACGTTGTTCCGAATCCATCAATGGTTTCCAACGGGAAGAAGTGAAAATCACTTTGCTCGAAGATTCAGAGTGGTCTGGAAGCGAAGAACGCATTAAAGTGTAAGCGACACTTTCGAATTTTTCAGCACAAAATTGTTCCAGCTACTCTAAAATGAAGAAAGAAAAGAGCAGAATCAAGCAACCGCCAAAGTGAGTCAGTCAACTATCATTCAAAAATATTCATAATCTACTTTCAGAGAGCTATTTGAGTACGCCAAAAATGGATATCAGTACATGGCTCCGAAGAAACGCATTGGGATTACCCGAAACATCACGTGCAATATTTTTGACATTGTTCCTGTTTATTCGGATGTGCCAGGCGAAACTCTTGAGACACTTGATATTCCGAGTACCTTTGTCTACAAGTACAAAGACGAGAACATGATCAACGCGAAGACTGAACCAGATTTGATGCTGGCTTCTCAAATGGCATTGCATGAGCAAAACATGGTAATTGGCTCTTTTTGACAAGAGATCGTTCAAAACGAACACCCAGATTCGCTGCGATTGCTGCTCCAAAGATCCGATCGTCAAGTGCTATGAAAACCCAGACTGTCCTTGCTTCAAATTGAATAAGAAGTTGCAAAGGCTGCAAAAAAAGTTGAGAGAAGATGCGGAGTCAACTGAATTCGTGAGTGTCAATGAAAATAAATATAAGAATTTCACTTTTTTCCAGAAAACCTTCAAACCAATTCTATTTGACTCTTCGCAAAATGTTTTCTACGAAAATGTTGGGTTTGCGTGCTCTGAATCATGCGGCTGCAAGGGAAGATGCGATAACAACAGCCTTCTATTGCTCCATAAGAAGATTTTCCCATTTGAACTGTACCGCTCAAACCCTATTCTCGGGTTTGCTCTCCGTTCTTATGTAATGATCCCAGCTGGGACACCGATCATGGAGTTCACCGGCGAAATTATCGCCCAAGAGCGGCTGCATTACGATAATCAGGACTACGCTTATCAGGCGACTTACACAGAAGATTGTGCGTTCAAAGAACTGACGGATGAGATGGAGTGGACGAAGGAATACAGGGCGCTGCTCAATAAACTGCACCGTTCCAACTATTTCATCGACCCGAAGAAGTTCGGCAACATTGCACGCACTGCATCTCACTCGTGCATTCCCAACACGGATATCCTACGTGTCTACCAGAAAAGTCTTTCCCCGGCTCATGTTCGTCTCGTCATGATCACGTTAATAGATATCTATCCAGGAATTCCAGTATGCTCTGTTTTTGAACGGTTTTGATTCTTAAGAACCTCATTTTCTTTTTATAGATTACACTGGATTATGGAACACAATATGTTACAACCCAACTGAAGGACAAATGTATGTGTGGCACGTTCGCTTGCCACAACGGGAAACACTTTGAGAAATTCAAAAAATTGGACTATTCGGAGGTAATTGCAAAGAGAGCAACGAATAGTCAGAATTTGTTAATTTCAGCTGGCAATGTGCGTCTCTTTCATTTCGTCGATCGAATATGACATATATGTTAACGAAGTGGTGAAAATCAGTAAAGAAAAAGCTGCCAAGAGGATTTTCGAATCACCGGACATCGTAGAGATCCCGTAGGAATATTCTTGTAGATTACTTTCACAATTTACACTTCGTTCATTGTCTCATCACGATTTAATGCATCAGATCTCGATAAATATATCTACTATAGCGGCAATTCAATGAAAATGAGCTCTGTTGAGAAACCTCTATTTTGGTGATCTCTGGGGCCTGATTTTGCAGCCGCAAAACGAGTTTCAGTAGTTTTTTATCTTAATGCTGGAAGTATTTTCTGTTTTTAATGGTGCCGGGCTGGAGATCACATTCACAACGGAGTACATTCACATTGAAGTGCTTCCTGTCGAAATTAAAAATTATTTTTCCTAAAATTCAATTTTTACGGCTGTTTGAATAAGATGATTTATTAAAGAATAGTCTTTCAAAAATTTCCGGGATGACTTCCCTTTATATTTCTGTTGTATTCTTCTCCGTTTTTTTATCGTTTCTGCCGAATACTGTTGTCGATTAGCATAATTTTTGGTGCCGGGAAGGAGGGAAGTGCCCTTTCGAAAGACCTTTGCAGAGCGATTTCTGCAGTCGGCCGGGGAGTCTTCCCTTCCCTCCCCGTTCTTTTTTCCGACCGCCAATCATTCGTCCTATCTGTAAACGGAGAGCCGTCCGTCCGATCAATCGTTGCTCTGCGTCTCTGTTTCCTTCGCACTCTGTCACAGTCGCTCCCTTCCGACCCGCCTCAGTCTTTACTTTTCCCCTTCATTCCTTCCCTTCTCTTCTTCTATTTCCTTTCCAAGTTTTCCCGTTTTTCAGAACTTGGGTGAATCGTTACCACGTGGGAAGTGGATCAGCAAAAACGGGTGGTTCTTCGAAGTAGCAGGTCAGTCCTTTCTCAAAACTATCACGACGATCGAGAAAAAGGGAAACAAAAAAAATTGGGAATATGCTTTTCTGCCTTCTCGACACATTTCCTCGAGATTTTCCGCAAAAAGGTTTGCAATGCGTGCCTAGTCAGCCATAGTTTTGTCTATAAACGGGTGGCTTTCGTCATTTCGGAATCAATTAAACTGCCTCCGCACCGCCCGATTCTCGACCTCTGCTCATGAATAAGTACCGAGAAAGCGTGCAGTGTTGGAGGAATCCAACCGATTCTCCGCCAATCACGCCAGCGGCACTTCCCCTTCCTCCCCATTCACCCCGTATAATCCGTTTTGGTTATCTCGCTCTCTTTTCGGCTAATCTCGCGTTCTTCCCCCATTCTGGTTGATGGTCAGAGGAAATTGTTCACCGGGGTGAGCAGGTAGGATGGAATACCACCAGACAGACACTCTTCGGAGCTCTCCGTTTCCTTTTCTGCTTCCATGCCACTCAAAACGCGATTTAGTCTTTCACTCCTCCTTCGAATGATGCTTTCTTCTTCCAGTTGATTTTACTCTTAATTTTGAACTGAAGGGAGCAAAAATCAATTGAATCCATGTCCTGCACATTGAGTGAATTATTATAATGGGAATGAATGGGCCGATCCGCCTTCTTGCGACCGCTTATCCTTCTCAAAGCCTAATATCACTTCCATTTTCAGCACTTTCAATCGTCACTTTTCATTCATCCTAGAATATGACTATTCAGTGATTTAATGTAAAAAAAAAGCATTCTCCAGCGTACTCGTTTTATTTTTATTTGTCTAAATTCAAAAAGATTGGTGAGAACGCTCCTTTCTCATTGGTTCTCATGCTCGTAAATAAATGCTGTAATCGATGCTCCCGATCGTTACCTCCGAGCACAGAGAGCGACGGAAGAAGGAACACAAACAGAGAGTGTGCCATTCCGTGTCGGTTTGATAAATGAAAAAAGAGAAGCTGGCTACATAGGATAGGATATATTTCGGAAGGGGAAACCAACTACCTCACCAATAATTCTCTTATCTCTTCCTCTAAACGGACACACACGTTTGTATATGCTTTGACACGGGTCTGGAGACAGTCGAGGAAGGAGAAGAAGGAGAAGAAAGCGTCGAAGTGGGAAGCAGCGACGATCATCATCAGTGACGCCGATAAAAACCAGTTTTACGAGTGTGTATGCCACCACACAGCCCTTCGGCATCAGCAACAGTCGGTACGGGACTGTCTTCTTCCCTTGTCCCTCTTCTTCTCCATCCTCTTCCTATTCTTCGACGAATCGCGGCGGCGGCGTCGTCTTCGTTTTGTATTGGTTGGGCCCGGCCTTGTCGAGGCGCCGTTTCTGTATGTTTTGTGTGTGCTTTGTGGGCAAACGAACGAAATGTATATCACGATTATCATCACTGTTACGTCTTCTTCTCACCGCTTATTTCCTGTCGTTCCTATGCTTATTTACGTGACGCAATGAGCTAGATAACGAACGAAATGGATGCCTTCTATATAGTAAACTTTTCGGATGTTTTACATTTCCAGAACTTTCTTGAATCAAATCAACAAAACTTCAGCTTACCAATTTTTTTCGTTTCCAAATGTCTCCAGTAAAAATTTTTTATGCGAAAAAGTGTGAAACAGGTTTTCTGGTTTTTTGTGATATTCCGTCGGCATGCCCACAAACACCGAAATCCTCTGCCCCTGAGGATGATCTGTGATGCGCGAAAATCGATCCGTTTGGCTGGCGCCTGCTCTTATTCCCTTCGAGCCTTTACTTAATCGGATGTGTTTAATTTCGAGCGCCCTTCCCTGTTATTTTGTTTTTAATTTTCCTGTCTGTCGAAGTTGGAAAAAAAATCGGGCGCCTGGTCCTGCGACGAACTTTACTGAGAGTGTCTGGTTTGTCGAATGAGTCACTCTCGGTGAGGTAGTCACTTCTTGCACGGAGACGAAAGTCTGAATGACCTAGTTATTGTATTATTTAGGCGGAAGGCAGGGAGTTTGTGTTGATTAAGAGGGAGGTCGTCCCGGTGCGCTTATCCTACTTCGGTGTCCCCTTTCCGTTTCGGAATCGCTTTCTCTCATCTCAGAGCGAAAGTTGTCGTTGTCGTTCGTTTGGTTGGCGCCTCATCGGGCCTTTTTTGCTGAAACGAGAAAGAATTTGTGAAGAGAAAGGAAGCATCGAGGTAGACGGACAATTGAGGAAAGACGACGTTTGCGAATTTCGATAGGTGATAAGAAGAGAAAAGGGAAAGTGGTTTTGATGTACCGAACCGTTTCTCGATTGGTGTTTGTCGAACGGAATCAGTTGTTTGTAGATGCAGTTACTTATGTTTTCAAATCGATGAGTCAGTGGAGGAAGTGACCGGTTGATTCGAGCGTTTTTCCATTTTTGACTCATTCGTTCCTGAAAGGAGTAGGAGTACGTTTTGCTTTTTTGCAGAAAAAAGTGTTATAATTTCTGATTTTTAAAGCTCATCTCTTCCCTGGAAAGAATTAATTTCTTATCAATGCTCTTTTTACATTTTTCTATTCTCTTTTTCGTCCATTCCAAAGTAGAAATCAGTAGATCCCGATCATGCTGACTTTAATGGAGTTACACGGAGATTAACATTTGTTCAGTTTGGAAATGATTATAAATGTCCGACGACCAGATAAGATACGCACCGACCTGGTAACCTAACTTTTGTCTCTTGGAAACCCATTAACCCTTGCAAAAAGCGTCTGTTATGATTACAGTATTCAGGGATTTGACAAAAAGAGGAAGATCAGTGAGGGGAAGGCATCGACTGCTTCCTCCTCTTTCTCCCCGTGCCACTTCTTGATCGTTTCCCTTGTCTCTCTATCTCTCTGGACATCTTCATTTAGCATACAGTCTCCACTTTCCTCACACACAATCAGTGAATGGCTGGGTGCGCGAAGGCGGTGCGCATGTCGCTTGTGCGCGTCGCGGACTGGTTTTCCGCCGTTTCGTCGTCGCTGCCTGTGTCTGCGTCTCCGGAATTCTCCAGCATTCCGCGACGACGACGCAATGGGTGTACTATTTCCGCGCCTCAGCCGCGCTCTTTGCGTCGAAGCTGGCGGTGCGCGAAGGAAAGACAAATTTTGTGAGAGTGAACCTGCAGCCGCAGCAGCAGCACAGATGGAAAAGAGCAAAATTCTGGGGCACCAAGTTAGTACTGTGTTATGTGTGCTCGCGGGCAGGAGGAATGTTCACGCAGTGCGCGGCGCGTTGCCCTGCTGCAGGATTTCGTGTGGCGTCAACGAAAAAGCAAACCGTCCCTCCGTCCGACCGTCTCCCCCTTCCTTTCACCGTCTTTTGCCCATACGCACACAAATCGAAGCAAGTGAGAAAGAGAAGAAACGACATTCTCTATTATGTTGCCACCGTTTTTTTCTCGCGATCACCGCAGCAGCAGCAGTCGGCGCTTCTGAAACTTGCCCTCGGCGCCCCTGTCTTCTTCTCTTTCTTTTTCTTCTTCTTCTTCCTTCTTTCACTTTCCGCTGTGTTCGCAAACCGAATTCCTAGCCCCTCAATGACGGAAACCAGTATACAGCATTGTCATTTTCTGCACTACGACATCTGAAAACTAGGGTACATTGCGCTGTGTCTGTAAAGAAAACGGGAGATGTCTTCGTCACGTCTTAGTTAGTTTCCTTCTCTCATTTCCTCGTAATATCTGTCATCTCTCGTCCATTCGTGTGGACAGTCTTCAACAGATTCCTATCTAAGTTTCCCCCCTTTTCGAACTATTGACGGAATGTTATACCAAGTCGTCAATGTGCACGAATCCATTTTATTGTCTTGAGAAATACTCGTCTTAATCACGGATTTTGACCGCCGTACTGTATCAAGTTAGTAGAGTTGAGTGAAAAAAGGAAAGAGAAAAATTCTATTTCGTTCTCAGGATCTCGTTTTGTCGTTTTTCTTCCCCACTTGTACGGTATCAATCTAAGACATATTTGTTGCATTTCACGGAACGAATGTTGTGGAACAAGTTGTCATATCGAGCAACGATCCGTCTTTCCCACCATTCTTTTCTCAAGGTTGACATGCTCCGTCTGTCTCATTCACGTCTCTCGCTCTCCACGTGACTGCACGAAACGGGGTTACTGTTGTCTGAGTTATATATTGATTAGGTGGAGAAAGAGTAGGCGAAGAAACTGGTTCCGATTCGC